CGGATGCGCTCGCCAAACCCTGCGACGAGTGTGCTGAAAATCTGCTGCTTTGCATGCGACCTGGAGGCCGCCAAAGAGCGTGCACGCGTCTGGCCTTTCTCCCCCACCGGCGATATCCATTGCAGGACCGTAGCTCCTCATCTCCCTCAGGAACAAGCAAAACAAGCTCCTCTCAAACTCTCATCGTCTAATATTCTTTTTTTTCTTTTTTTTTTTTGTCGTCGATAAAGTTCTCCTTTGGTGATCAGGAACCTCAGCTGTCGGTGAGCGCATGCGTCTGCGGAACTTGCCTTATGCTGGCACTGCATCAGCAACAACACACACTGTTATGGCTGTTATGGGTGTGGGCCTGTCCCAGCGCTCTTTCCTCTTGTTGTTTCCTTCAGATGACCTTGCTACACGCGTTGAGACTCCCTTCCTCGGAAAGGGCGCTTTTCGTCACGGGCGGGCGCCGGTTCACCTGGGCATCACCGGAGAATTGGGTCCTATGTCTGCTAATTCCTAGGCCGGTGCTTCTGCGAACAATCTCCTCCGTTCTGTACCTGCATGGCCATGCCATCGTGAAGAAACCGTCCCAAGGCTGCTTTGTGGCAGACGCCAGCGTCCCACCATCCACTCTCGAAGATCCGATTGATCCCCCATTGTCCCGAGCATCAGTAGTGGCAGTCACCGGCCGTGTGGCCATGCGCCAGTTATCGTGCTTTTCTACTTGGCTGAACGCCATCGAAGCCATCACAGCCATCACCAAGCCATCGAGCCTAGCCCAGACGGAAGCGCTGTATGTCACCCAGAGAACGAACAGCCAAGACAGTCTTCCTGTGTTCATCGTGACGATTAGCCGATCTCCTCTGCTGCAAGTGACTTTGCAGTCCAACGGCGAGATACAAGATCCTGTGGAGCATTTCACACGCCCGTCACTGCCTGGCCAACTCCATGTCAGACCCTGAGTTGCATACCCGCTGACAGCAGCAGCACCGTGAGCCTGGTTCTTTCGTCCTTCAGAGGCATCCGGGGCGTTTTTTTGCCTCCTCGTGTCGGACAGCCTTGAGCGGCAAGACTAGGTCTTCTATTCATCCCCATTGGATGGGTTGGGATCTGATTTCATTCGCCGCAGCCTTTCAGCAAGTGCTGGATGACCTGTTCGGTGAGAGACAATCCACCAATCTGCACCGCCGTGTTCGCACAGGGCTTGTTCCATCCTTCGGTGTGTTATCGTCAAGCAAAACTGGGCCAATCGCGACAGAGAAAAGTCATCATTTTCATGTAATTCCGCAATCCAACTGGAGTTTCCTGCACGCCTGTACGAAGGCTGTCTAGCCTTGCCACTGACAGCCCTCCCCGCTCCTCTCCACGCCACTTCTCGTCCACTAACATGCTTCCGTGATGCCCTTTCGCGCCTGCAAAGCATGCCGTTCCGGGGAGTAAGGACGACGATGAGACGCTCTGCAACTCTCCCACCACCGATATTGACTCCTAGGAGCAGTAAAACAACTGGCGATGCGGACAGCACCTAACAAATAGGTTGGGGTCATTCAGGACTCTGTACAACTACGCCTACGTCCAGCATACGCGTGAGACCGCCCCAGATTAGAGATTTGCGGCTTCAGTCTGCATCCAGACTCCGTCCCGTCGCAAAAAGCTTTTGAGGACCGTCAGGATAACTACCTTGGCGCCCGCTCACAATGCGAATCCGAGAATGAGTTGGCAAATCAGAATTCTCCCCGAGTATGTGACTGGATATCACTCTGCATGCCACTGGACAGTTGAAGTATTGCAATGCAGTCACTCCTGACTTGCTACCATCTGGCCTCTATTCTAGCATTAGTAGTTGCAGTATTGTATCTGTCCTCTCCGCAACCTTAAGACTTGCAACTGCGGAGCGTCCACGTGCAGTTCGCTCACACTGTCAGAACTCTCCGACTTCGTGCATCCCCTAAAGCGAGTTTATGCATCCAAAGTCCGTCTTACATGATGGTCTTCCAGTGTCTACGCCCCGAACCAACATTATGATCAGTCGTCTTTACTAACTGTGTTTGGTCTATAATAAACACTAGATAGACTACCTCGATCATGCGCCATTCGTCCTTGCCGCCTGGCCATCGGACCCGAACGAATACGAGTCTCGGCTCACATAAGATGTGCGAACCTGCGAACGTGACGGCAAGAATGTGCTGTCCGGTTATCTAGTACGATCACATCATGCACATGGGATTGGACAGGGTCGTCAAGCGCGAAATGTGGTGTGGTTTCCTTTCGCTCCCTCAGGCCAACCCTGCAGGTGGTGGAGGATATCGCGCTCGGGGAGTAGGGCGTCGATGCTTTCTGAGGAAAACCGACCCCGCTAGGCTCACCCTAGACAGTCGGTCACTTGATTATCTGCGGTATTCTTGAGAGCTCTTTAGCCAGAGTGCATACTATCATGGTGTTGGCTGTTCGCCAGTACGCTTAGAGGCATGCTGAGGCTTAGAAAATATGTTTTGAATTCAACGTCGAACTTTCTGCAGTAATAGCCTCAAACATGGCCTCTTTAACGCATCTCTTACTCTGCCACTCTGGCAACTCTCTTTCGTCGGCAACACACTAGGCCCTTCTTCCAACACATGCTCGCACTGTTTTTTCCAGTCTCCGCTTTAAATCCTGCCCTCCCTGACCTGAGCCCTATACACTCGAGAATACGGGGTGCACAAACGGCACTTGGTATTTACGGTAGCTAAAGACTCGAATATATCTTTGTGTGTTTCCGTTGCCGAAATCGCTGTAGTCTGGCGGTTCTGGAGACGGCGGCGTTGGTGGTTGTGCGTACATGCGTCTATGGTGGTGATGGTGATGGCGATGGTAGTGGTGGTGATGATAGTAATGATATAGTGATAAGAGCAGCAATTACACAATATAGTAGGACTGGTTGCAATAGCGGGAAAATGGTAATTGCGATGATGATGATGATGATGATGATGATGATGATGACAACCATTGCAGCACCTGAGCCTTACGGGTGGCAACTACTCGCTGCGCTCCTTGCACACCGAGACAAATTCTCCCATGCGTGCTAATGTAAATGACTTTTGGATACCCGAGACATGTGTCTCGACGTTTTCATTTCAAACTTGACGGACGTAATCCATATGGGCACCGTTTAAGTGGGAGCTAGGGTTCTTTGCTCGACTCCCATCGATGCCACTCCGGGTGATTTGTATGAGGGAAATTCTCATGCGCGTTGATGTTTATTGGTTTTGGGATACTTGAGACATGCATCTCGGCACTGTCGTTTCATACTTGATGGACATACCCATAAGGGGACTGTTATAAGTGGGACTGGGGTACTTTGCTCGACCCCCATACATAGAATCCATGGAAGCCATTCTGGGTGATTCGGATGAGGGGAATGCAGGATGGTAGACAACCTCATAACGCAGTATATGTCGTGTTTCGTTTGAAGAAACCATGGTAAGCTCGTTCTCAATTTCTTCTCTTGGTTCTTTCCGGTTGTCCATTCCCGTCACACTGGAGTCTTTTCGTGTTTGCAAGTGGAGAGAGGAGACTCATGTAACCCTGCGAAACCATGTTTGAGTGGTTCTTTTACGGGGTATTTCTTTTCTGGTGACGTCGTTTAGGGGATGTAGAGACACAGGGGAAACATGTGGCATCCCAGATTCTACTTTTGGTCCAAGGGAACTTTGTAGTCGAGAGTGTCTGTTGTAGGTACCGGACATGTATCGGCAGAAACAAAAATCTTTGGGAACGAGACGGGTACCGGACCGATGGTGTATTTTAATTTCCATGAAAACCCCGATCCAGTGTTTCCGACTGAAAGCATTGTTCTTTAATGACTACCATGACAATTACCCTAGGTATTGTGCTAAATAGCGTCGGCGAACACAAAGCACGAACTAGTGAACCGCAATAGAGAAATAAAGCCTAGAAAGGGGGCAAGTATGCTCATCTGTGCTTTAATTCATCCACGGTGGTGTAGGTCTAGGGAGAAGGTTGGAAAAGGATCCGGCACATTGCGTTCTTGGGCAACACTTCAGATTTTGAGAGGGGCATTGGGACAGTGTGTTGATGAACAATGGACATGGAGAAGCAAAGAGGCGTTCATCGTATCGGGTTGATGTGATAAGATTCCCACGACCGTGCAGATTCAGTGCTTTTTGTAGTTGAGAAGGAGAACTTAGAAGCGCTCTGGCACGTCGCGTCATGAGTCGCTTCCAGTCCTTTTGAGAAGAACATTTCCCAATCGTTGAAAAGGTAATTGATATGTGGCAACAGAGAGGGGAGTTTTGTGTTAAGTTGGTGTCTTGCGCGATTTCGATAATTGTGCGGACCTGGTGTTGTTCATGGCGGAGGAGGCCAAGGAGTTTCTAGTATGCGGCGCCATTTGGGCTTGCTTGGTTCCTTTAGAGAGGTACATGTCTGAGTTTGCTAATGGATAAGAGACATGTATGGGACAGAGTAAAGTTCTTTGTGTTGGACCGGTGTACTGCGCGATAAGGCCCAGGGATTGGGAACGGGGAATTATAGACAGATCCGTACATGTCCTTTCGCCACGGAGGTCTTCCGGAACCCCTGAAATATCTTTCTAGTAGAGGTTACCTGTCTGCTTATGGACATAGGAATGCGTTGTCTTCGATGATGAGCAGGAAAGTCTCCGGCGGTAGCGTGAAATCCATCAGGGTTGCGTTCGCCGTTGACTCCTCTGGCATCCTTAGGCTTGCGGTTATTTTTCGTAGGAGATCCAGTTCATGATAAGGATGTCGCACATACCGCGTCATCACAGTGTCTGTTAGACAAATAAGTAGCACATGATCGACCGTTCATCGCATATTTCGGATCCTTTTACAGCTTCTTCGGATTCTTCCATGGGAAAAGAAGGTGTCAAAGAAGAATGCCTGTGATGCCTTTCTCTCGATCCTTTTGGCGACGGAGAGAGAGCCAACATATCTCATTACCTTGCTGGTTTCTGAAGAGAAGTAAGGAAACTGCGATTCCCATGAAGAGTAGGACTAGGTGATTCTGGATGCGGGATGCGGGGATTGGTGCAACACAACATAGTGAAACACTGTTTCCTTTTTAGCGTGGATGTATATATCCGTTCCATCGCCCCTCGAAGTTTATTCTTAACCTGTGTCCGCTGCTTAAGAGAATGGGTAAGAGCTCAGGGACATTATATGGTTCCAGCGACAATTCATTTGTCTCCCTTTTAGAGTACAAAAGCACAGGATATGCCATTCGTGTGGTTACACCGGCCGGTGCTGCATTGTTCGGTTGTAAGGGGGTAAGCGAGAGGGGAAAGAATATATTGTTTCATCAGGCAGGACAACAGAAGGCTTTGCAATCGAACTCTACAGCCGCTGCATTTGTTGCTGTTTTTATGGAGCAAGGTTTTGAACGGGACATTGGTAGGCCCTGCCTTAATTTAAGTAGAAGAAAGTGCTGAAGTTTCGTACTCGGATTACTCCATTGCATTCAAATCTTCGATGGAAGAGATGGAGATGGAGGTGGAGGATGCAGGTGTCACACTGTATAGCAAGCGGCAATCTAGATTTTAGGAGGGACACTTTGCTGCATCGTTGTCGTAGTTTGCGTCTAGGACGATACATCGTAAAAGACTTGAGTACTCCCAAAAGATGGGGAGACCAAGGTTAGACGTCTGGCGTACCGCATCTCATGTTTGTGAGGATTCTTTGAGAAGAGAGACATAACCAATCCAACATCAATACTTTTCTACGACCACGGCCCTCCAGTGATCTGTTTTTTCGGAGAGAAATGGGAGCTGAACCACAACAGGAGGACATTCGTGATTCGTTTGTTCCTCAAGGGTAGCGATGGGGCCTACGTTGACGGACCGGCGTTCTGAGCAAATTCTTTGAACGGAAACGGGGTACTCTACGACTCCTATTTGTTCTCGAGGACATAGCGTGTATACTTTAATCATGTCCTGGCAGGGTGTCGAGAAAGACATAATGTCTCTGTCATCCTTATGGTTGACCGGGATAAAGTGGACGTTCCGTTGTGCCCACGGGCTTTTCCGAACGGAATCGCTGTGCCATATAGTGGCAATCAAACGCGTTGTATTTTCCCAGGCGCTTTTGACATGCGACAGGCTCGAGTCATTTCTTCTCCAACCTGAGGCGCGAAAGCAGTAGGCGACGTCATAAAGCTTTGATCTAACTCTTTGATTGTTCCCATTTTGATTTGCCTGTCTTTACTTTCACGTAGCTGCCAACTGGCCTTTTGTCTGTATCAGGAACGAGCAATATATCTTGCAGAATACTTCTCAAGTCAATTCATGCCATGTACCTCCACTTGGTTGCCAGTAATGGGTATCTTTGACTTTGGTTTTGCGGTAAGAGCGATAAACTTCTCTTTCCGTTGCCTTATGCTGATTTCTCCAGCTTCTCCATTGCTCTTGGGGAAAGCGGTCTCATTAACACCGGGGTAGCTCTGTCTAAGACCGTCATTCTGCTTAGCACCAGTAGAAAAATTCAGCCATTAGGGTCATCGCTGCTCCATTCAAAGTTTTCGACGGGCCCGAGAAAAAACCCTCAACCCTCAGTGGTATCCAGAATTGACGTGGAAAAAAGCTGTATAGCTCCCGGTAAATCTTTTGTCGTAGTCTGTTTTTGCATTTACCATTACACAGCAAGTAAATGCCTCACCCCCTGCCGCTATATCTGTAATGCGCTGCATAGCTCTTCTCCTTCCACTGTCCGCAGTTGATGTCCCATCCCCGGTGCAAAACTCCCTACTCTTCCGTTCAACGCCGGTTGTTGGATGTCCGTCCTCAGAAACAAAGAACAGTCCTGTGTCGGCGGATAGGGAGTATAGTGCAACGACAGAGCTGAATACATGCATTTTGTCCGTGAAGGTTTGCACTGGTGCAACATAATACAGCGAATGGACATACGAGACGGTTTAACTACTGTGCATTAAATGGGTCGGCGGATGTCTCTTGAAATGAACAGGTCTCTTCTATTCTCAGGATTTGGGTTCTCTTCCCTACCAGTCGGCGTTGGTGGCTTTGAGTTCGTCTTCCTAGAAAATGCTGGACATACCTCCTGCCCCTCTACGTTTTAAGTCTTTCAAACGACTTAGGACAGAAATCATGTTACTCGGTTCTTGTTTTTTCGTTTTCAGGACCTAGTCCCAAGAGCTATAATCCACAGGATACGAGTTGGCGAGTACCGAAACATGACAGCTCATTACCATTCCAGAAGGACTTATTAAAGTTGAATTTGTGTGACGTGCATTGGTCCACTCTTCCAGATCTTAAATCTGACATTTTCGGTCCTTCTAAACGTTTCTTCTCCGCTGTCCATTGCCAAAGTTCGTCATTTCTCTCGCACTTAGTGAGGAAGGCACACAAATCAGGCCAGTTCTTGCAGTTTTATAGCCCTACTCAATGAAGGACTGCTTTTTGCATCCGCGCAGGCACGGCTGCGGTGGCTGTAGATGTCCCATGACGGCTGGGGCCGCTATGTTCTGCGTCTGCCACTACGCGCGACCGTCTTTTGCGTTTGCCATGAAGCAGTCATCTTTGAGTCACTTTTGTTGACAGAAAAGGGTTCGCGCAAGGCACATAACACCCACATCTCAATCTTTTACGGAATTACGGAAATTGTGGGGACGGCTTGTATCCAGGAAAGAAAAGGGACAGACACATGTATCTTTTCGATCAATGTTTTGCGCGAACTGGATGCGGAGACATTGTTTGCATGCCAGTATCTGAGAATACTGGTGGTGTCTCCCGACGCATCTAGCGCGAGATCTTGTGTTTAAGGTATTACTTTACTTCTTTTGCTGCTCTGCCTTGTATGTTTGGGCGTGCGCCATGTATTTTGTAGATAGACATGTGTAATATTTTAAAATCATTAGCGATAGCAGCCAACATGTCACAGCGAAAAACGACTTTTTTCGAGACCAAAATATCACACGCTCGGAAACAGCAGTTTATAATATGTTGAGCAGTTGATCTTAGAGCGCTTGCATGCCGCTGCTTGCGGTTTTTCTCATGTGGATGGACCTGGTATATTTGAGAGTAATGGACATGTGCTTGTTTGTTAATCTTTGATTTTCGTTCCCTGCGGGAAAGACGCATGGAATGCAATGCCTTCCGTGATGCATGAAGGAAGACAAATCTGAGAGACCAAGTAGATAGCAAACCGGCAGAGAATTGCGGACATCATAACCAGATCCATCAGGTGTTATTAACCGCCTCGGACATGAATCAATTCCAGAGTGGCTGGTGGACCGTGTAAATGACATGCAGCAGCCTTGCATCGATTTCTTAAGACTCTGGAAGCTGTCTTTTATCTCCTGACTCCAGGGCGGCGACACCATTTTCTAACTTGCAGTTGGTATGAAGAGTCGTCTTCACAAACTGGAGCGGACATTGATCTCTTCGTCCTTTGTTCTCTTAAAACGTTATTTAATCTCTCCGATATTCCTAACAGACAGCCTACGATGGTCCTTCGTTTAGACCTCTTGCAGGCGCAGCCTTGACGCTGTAAAGACGCAGAGAGAGACAGGCATGTTATGCAAGGTTCCACATTTTTTTCTGATTTGCCTTTAGTACCAAGATTCATGACAGATCCTGGTACAGGAAGTATAATAAAGATTTCTCATTGCAATGGGCCATTGTAGAACTCTTTTCCAAATTTCTACAGTGAGACCGCCAGCGACTCATGGTGGTTCCATACTGGCAGTTTCGCCATGTAACGGACACAACAGGAACGCGCATACGCGGCAGATCCACGGGTTTACTAAGTGTGTAGTATGTTCAGGGAACCAGGAATGCGTTCGGATGTTGTAGTCAAGCCATGTTCACATTCTTGAGATTCCAGAAGACATGACTGTGCGTTCAGAGATCTTTGAACATTTCCTGCATTTGATGCGGCGGAGCGAGGGATCCAGTCATTGAAGGTGCTGTATTTGACTGGGAAGCCGGCGAAGCACACATATCTTCTCCTTCGAGGGTTTCAACCTGAGTTCTACGTCACAGGGCATGAGACTGGGGACTGCGTTTTATGGGCGGTCCGCACGCTTATACATGCTCTTGGACGCGAGCCAATCCGATATATGCGAAGTGTAAGTCGGGGAAGAGCACCTTTGTCCCATAAAGCCGTAATGAAAAAGCTTTAAATAAGCTTGAACTTCCCGCACGGAGAAAACCATCTCTCATATTCTCTCCCTTAATCTTGATTGGAGAAGTGAAGCGCGGTATTCCCGACGAATAAAAGGAGCACATCGAAAAGCGGTAGCCAGGTTCAGTGGTAAGTTTCCTACGGGCAGCGGAACATGGTATCTTCGACGTACGATATCTGATCTGGAGAAAGCGCGCCTGGGAAGGAAAGCACCTGCGCTCTCCAAGCCTTATTTTCGAGGGGTCGACACTTCCGGGTGGAAGAGAACATGGGGGTGACAGCAAAGGTTTGTCTCTTGTCACAGGAAACCACATGTCCATACCAAAATCTTATTTTTCAAATGTACCCCAGATCCAACCCAGAAAATCTTCAGAAATAGACGCGGTAAGCGGTAAAGGACCGAGTGATTTACATTTTTGAAAGCCCGTGAAATGACGCCACGAATCCATCGTCGTGCTGGAGTACTCGTTACTGATATTTGCATCATGATCTGGGTAAATTCACATATTTTGCTTCCCCCCTCAATGCGCTTCCAATTCATTCCCCGATTCCCAGGTTGTTCTTCCAATTGTGGGTAACTCGGATTCCAAAGGCCTCAACCGTGTGGGACTTCGGGAAGACGGGGTCACCCCATATCAGCTTTCTCTATCCGTGTTTGCAGCCATTTGTCATGGATTGTGCTTGTGGCAATTAATATTTGCTGCTCTGCTGGCGGCGGAAACCGGTACGTCTCTGATTACTCTGGCTCTGAGACTGGAAATTCCATCCAGATGAACCACGGGGTTTTTTTTACTCAGCGGACAGGCGGTGGACTTGGGAAGCACACGCCGGACATGAACATCCAGCGAGGGAGATTTTCCATTTTTGAGTTTTTCACATCCGAAAGGTTCAGAGTATCAATACGGGGCAAGGGAATATCTTGCCGACCAACACGACATAAATTGTTCAACCTTCATTTTGGGATATTGAAAGGCGCCCCCGCGATCATGAGGCCGCAGTGTGCAGTGTCGGATTTTAGCGAGGAGAAGAAGATAAGAGGGTTCCGATCCAAGTCAGAGGAATGCCATATATCTTTGAAAGCGTTGACCTAGGTTTTGGTTTTGGGATGCCGTACCACACATGCACGGGAGAGGTTGAGCGTCAATCCGGAGCGACTGAGCGTTCCAGCCGACCAAAAGGACATGGAATTCTCCATCTTCATTTTGAGATCTTGCCAGGCCTGTCCTGGTCATAAGGGCAAAATAGCGAATTTTAGCATGAAGGAGAGGTAAGAGGGTTCCGGAACCAAGTCAGACTTGTGCCACATGCCTTGTATCGTTCGACTTTTTTCAGGCGCCGGTTTTGGCAGACACATTTTCAAACACTCTGTTGAATTCGGAATGCGATAGGTGGTCGCCAGTAAGTCGAAACATAGGAACAGCTCGACCGACATCCAGATCCAGCACCGCGCGGCAATAGGTGCACATAGTGGTTCATTGTTGCGATTTCTGACTGCATGTATAATATCATGTCCCGCGACAGAGGGGAGCATGATAAGGACGGCGGCGCCTTTTTGAATCCAACAGAAACATCGGCTTGAATTCAAGGAACTTTTGGACTCTAACAGTATCAACGGTGGAGGATGCGAGGTCTGCAAGCGGGCCCAAGAGTGGCTGCATATTTATACTCTGCGGTTTCTAAAAGTCCGTTTGCCAAGCCCTCATGTTCGTTGTCGCTCAAATTTTAAGCGGAGACATATGATATGGAACACCCAGAGCATCCTCCTGGTACTTCGATTCGACGCCTAAAATATCATCGAACATCATCAGGCCCTAGAATCACCGCCTTCAACATGGTATGAGCAAAGGATGCACAGTGATGGTGCTGTTCATCAAAAGGGGGTATGACTAAGCACCACCCATGAAAGTCGCCCTTGTGAAATGCCATGAGAGATTTGGTTCGGCATTGGCGCAACATCTCCACCGTATAGGACTTGAAACAAACCGTCTACAAATCCGCTTCTGGCAGCGAGTGTCTCCATGACCGCAAGGTAGGCGAGAGGACCATACCCCAGCATGAACATGAAAAAGATAATCATACAATTCGTAACGAAATCTAATAACCTCGCTCTAACACATCCGATATCTCAACACCACACGCCCGAATTCTTACACTTCCTTCGGTACACTCTACCCAATCAACCCCTTCAACACCTCAATCTGCTCCCTCACCGCACTCTTACTCGTCCCGCCCACCGCGCTCTTCAACTCGACCGCACGCTCATAATCCAAACACTCCAACACATCATCCCCCAACCTCGCATCCACACTCTTCAACTGCTCCAAACTCAGCTGATCCATCGGCACGCCCTCCTTCTCCGCCAGCGCCACCACGCGACCCGAAATGTGGTGGCCCTCGCGGAACGGCACACCCTTCCGGACCAGGTAATCCGCAAACTCGGTGGCGAGCATTTCGGGCGCGAGCGCCGCGCGCATCTTGTCCGGGAAGATGGTGAGCGTCGACAGCACGCCCGTGGCGATGAGCATGCTGTCGCCGACCGTCTTGATGTGGTCGAGCAACGGCTCGACGCTCTCCTGCAGATCCTTGTTGTACGTGGTCGGCAGGCCCTTGATGGTGCAGTACAGGCCTGCCATGTGGCCAAAGGCGCGACCCGACTTGCCGCGGATGAGCTCGAGCGAGTCGGCGTTCTTCTTCTGCGGCATGAGGGAGCTGCCCGTCGAGTAGGCGTCTGCGAGCCGGACGAAGCCGAACTCCAGGCTCGAGTAGATGATGAGGTCTTCGGCCCAGCGGGAGATCTTGAGCATGAAGCTGGAGCCCCACTGGAGAGTCTCGAAGACGAAATCGCGGTCGCCGACGGCGTTCAAGGAGTTGTACAGGAGTCCATCGAAGCCGAGTTCCTTGGCCATGGCTTCGCGGTCGATGTTGAAGGGGTTGCCGGCAAGGGCGCCGCAGCCCAGCGGTGAGCGGTTCACACGCTTGATGACTTCGCGCAGGCGGTCGAGCTCGGCAGCAAAGCCGGTGGCATGGGAAAGCAGCCAATGCGACCAGCGGACTGGTTGCGCTTTCTGGAGGTGAGTGTAGCCGGGGATCTCCGGATTGTTAGAAAAACATCGAAAGACAATGCAATGTGACGACCTACCAAAACATCAATCTCCCTCTCCGCCCTCGCCACAGCCACCTTGATCAGATCCTTCAAATACCCCTCCAACCTCCTCAACTCCTCCCTCAACCACAACCGCATATCCGTCGCAATCTGCTCATTCCGACTCCTCCCCGTATGCAACTTGCCTCCAATCTCCTTGCCCACGATCTCGCTCAACCTCCGCTCATTCGCGGTGTGGATATCCTCATCATTCGGTTTCACCTGGAACGTGCCGTTGGCCCACTCTTCCTTCACTTGCTGGAGACCTCTCTGGATGGCGCTGAATTCTTCGGCGGTGAGGATTCCGTTGTTATAGTTTGCGCGCGCGAAGGCGATGGAGCCGGCGATGTCTTGGGCGTAGAAGATGCGGTCGTAGGGGAGGGAGGCGTTGTATTGTTCCATGATGGGGTCGAGGCCCTCTTGAACGTTTGTTATCAGTATCCATCGCAACTACGTTCAAAGCCAATTGAGACCGTTGGAGTGGGTGTACCTGTGAAACGACCTCCCCAGAGCATGTTTTCAGCAACCTTCTTTTCGGATGCCATCTTAATATGTAGCCAAAAGCGTTGGGAATACAATTGACGGGGATATACCAGTATGACTCTTTACATGCAGTTCCAAAAATTATGCTCCAGATACAGATTGCGCACGGTTCAGATGTGGCTGGGTGTGGCGCTTGCTGTCCGAAATCGGACAACACCATGCTGGCACGGAACGGAACCAACATCAAAAGGAGATTTCAAGTTGATGTTCAAATCACTAATCTTTCACGAAACAACTGAAGAACTCAATATTATAAGGATTGCAATCCATTCGATTAGCAGAGCGTCAGGGGTATCTAAACAGTGCGGTCATACTCCTTCCAACTCATCCAGAATGCATTCTTGATCCACAGCTCCTCCGTCTCCGAAAGACCTGTAGTCGTAGAAAGGACACGCATGTCGACCACTCCTTGGTCCCACCCATTACTCGCAATAATCGGTACCCCGTAACGCTCGTCGTCGTAATCATACAAAAGGAAGAAGAACGCTCTCAAAAGAAGAAGCAGGGGGTATTCGTCATCCGTCATCTGTCGCATCGGCAACTCGAAAAGTTGTAGAGTCTAGCATGAGTACCACCTAGACCGGCGGTACTTGACGCGATCCGCCGACACTGCACAGCATCCCTCGTTAACGCAGAAATGCAGGCAGCTTTCTAGGCAGCTGTGACGGCTGCGCTAGACTCTACTCGTTGTTGTTGTTGCATGCATACCCCTTCTTCTGTGGCCGGTGCGTCCGCATGTCAAGCAGGAGATGACGATGCCGAAGAGGGAGACGATGGCGTTGATGACGGCTTTGATGCCAGCGGCGATGGCGTTGACGACGGCCATGATGCAGGCGCCTATCGTGCGGAAGATGGATTGAATCTGTGAGCTGTGTTAGAAGGTCGTTGTTCAAGTTGTGCAGGTGAGAGGGGACGTACGCAGGATACGACGGCACCCATGTTGACGGTTGTTGTGTGGAGGAGTTGATGATTTTACTTGGTGGAGTCGATGTAGTTGATGACTGTTGATGAGAATGCTTCGGAGATGTCAGTCGAGAGTTGGCACAGAGAGAGGATGCTTTGTTGACGAACGTTTGTTGTTTTCTGCGTGGAATGTATTGTTCTCCAGGGAGCGACTCCCTCCCTCACTTATACTGCAGCTGCCTCAGGGCAGTGACGTCATCGTTGAGAAAAGACCCTGAGACTTTGTCACACAAGCAAGCGCCAGCCTTTCGGTTTCCATCACCAAACCTGTTCGCTAGAGTGACGTTACCACCACCCTCACATCCATGGAACCACAATAGCTAAGATCACCGCGCTTGATTCACAATAGGCAAAGCCGCCAACAGGAACCCGGCTGGTTCCCGCAGACTTGCCTCCTTTGGGCATTCATGTGCCACATTCCTCAACGCTGAGCTGCTGCGTCATATTCCTCAACACCAACACTCGCAGATCAGAGATTCGTCCCAGCCGCAGAGAGCACTCACAACGGAATGATCGGAGTTCGATAACGGCCACTCCACTCCGTCCCAATGACGTTCCCTTCCACGTGGCCCACCGACCTCATCATATGAGACGCAATTCTGCCTCCAAGAATACCTTTCCCTTGACAAGATCTCTGGAAGTTGAACAAGAGAAGAGTTCAGACGATGACGTAGTATGCCGCGTTAACCCCACCAACCCGGCCCCACAGCGGCTCGCTATTTTCGCTGCCGCCGCTACGGTTCTGTGGCCGTGCGGCAAGGTAGCGCCACAGCTGGGCAAGTGTATCAGCTATAGCTATTGATACTCTAGACAAACGTCTGCTTGCTGCGGGAGACTTCGAGGGCCTTCCAACGCATGCAAGCAAAAAGAGTCCCATAGACTAACCGGCACACGGATGTTTCGAAGAGGAAGGGAAAGTTCCTGCATAGAGCAGAACCCATGTATTTACTGTGACTATCATGAGAGGTATATGCACCTTGCACCAAGGAATGACAACCGCCAGTATCTCTATGCGTAATGCAAATATTCGTTCGAATATTCGTGAAAGCCGCTTGAATGGTATCTATGTACTGTGCATCGACAATAGGCAGGGTGCTCCCTCGCAGCCGTATGTCTCCCAACGTTGCACCATGCCATTCATACGGTTTTATATGTCGTCGTTAGGTCGTAACGTCGTTGAATGGAGAAAGCCATGCCCATCCTCCTCACACTCCCTCTCCCTCCCTTTCCAGATTCCCTCGACTAGTTCTTCCAGAGTTAGGCAGTGGCAGGACCTCATCCTCACTCATAACTCTCTGCAGAGGAGGATACGCTCCCCTCACACTCCCACTCCTCGTACGTCTATGCGAAGTAATATTCGCGCCCACAGGAGACATGGCCCGCGGCGTAACACCGGGCAGTGGGATGTCGTTCTCCGAGGCTCCGGCGACATTCCCTGAGCTCCCCATCATTCGGGCATCGAGCTCCTTCAGGGGCCGACTAGCCGGTCGGCTGTCGGTATTGGGAGTTACGAGAGAGTTGCCCCGGGACCGCCGCCGTTCAGGTGTATACGATCCGTGAAGCTCACTGCTAAAATCACGCGTACTCCAGCTGGCGCGATGGACCCGGGCCCCATACGGGAGGTTGGAATGTGACATCTGCGACTGTACGCTGCCAGCTCGGCTCCGAGTGCGCGGGATTGCGCCCATCTCATTTCTCTGGGACGACAGTGATAAGTGGGACGTTGCCGGGTCGCCAACCATGCCGAGGTCAGCTTCGCCATTGATCTCAGCAACGAACTCAGGGTCTTCGTCCTCGATCTTCGCCAGTCGCTTGATCGAGTTGACGCTGAAACACGGTCCCTTAGGTTCCTCTGAAGCCGGGGGAGGCGGCGGCGCTACGTCATGCACCTTATTATCAATGTGCTGAAAGTACTTCTCCCGGATTGGATTCCACCTCCTCGGCTTGATCTGCTCGCGGTTGCGGGTTAGTGAGAAGTATGTCGATATGGCGCCAATGATGATGGCAACCATGACAATGATGGTGAGGATCCCCTGAATGACGACGATGACAATACCAATGGCCGTGGCAGGTATCCTGGGGAGATTGAAGCTGACGTCGAATGCGGCAGAGAGTGCCACAGTGGTTACTTTGCTGAATCCGAGCGCATAGACCACAATCATGTTCAATCGCTGGCCTTCGAAGGGGCGCAGTACGATGACTCCAATGAATGCGATGAACTCAACTGCAAGGAGACCGAAGACCTGCACCTTAGGTTTGCCAGAGGCACCACCAAGGAAGCAGGCACGAATAAATTCGTAGACCAGCCAGGCAACGAAGAACCACCATCTGGTTCGGCGGAACCGCGAAACCAGCCACCCAAACTTCAGAGTGTAGTCCTCGTCATCATGAATCGACTTTGTCTCGGAAGCAGACCGTACTCGCCACCATGGAACAGACCCTAAGTACGTTATGCCCTCGGAGGGTCCGGTGCTGCTGCTCCTAGAGAGACCGAACCAAGGGATGACCTTCAGGATCTTTCTCTTCTCGAAGTTGAGCCGGTCGGGTTCCATGGAGTACTTGCCAAACTTGAGGCGATACATGCAAGCATAGCCCGCTAATCCACCCAACCCCAGTAGCATAATCAGGAATATGACGCATGCGACCGCAACGGGAGCCGGGGACGCCAGATAGGTGAACTGGAACAGCGAAAGGAAAACCATCATGAAGAAACCAATGAACATGATGCGGAGGACGGCAAAGGTGATGTATCTCAAGTAGTGCGCCCGGAAGAAAGATAGCCGATCCTTCTTGATCAGACCCATCTTGCTTACCATCTCCAGAAGCAGCTTGAAGGTGAGAATGGCGAAGGTCACACCCCCGATCAGAATGAGGAACCAGAGCAATCCGGTCATGAAAGCATTGGACGCCGGAATTCTCTGCTGCGCCAGGGTGCCCGCGAAACCACTAAAGTTTCCCGGCAAAGGAAGGCCAGGCTTAACAGGTTCTCCATACCAAGGATATCCGCCATTATTACGGTCAGCCATCTCTCTCTTTGCGAGAAGATTCTCCAAATGACGAGAAACACGGTTATTCTTGCTCCACTTCATGAGTCCCGATGCATTCAAAGCCTTCGGAAACCTTTCGCGCTTGTAGATCTGGTGGATGTCGTAGCCGCCGCCAAGGTCGGGGCTCGGTTCGCCGGTTCCAGCGGCACCAACGGCACTCGTGTTGCCCTTGTTGCTACCGATAAACTTGTTGATGGTGTTTTGCATGCTTTCGGTATAGATCATGCCTCCTGCCCAAGCGTAATTGCTCCAAAAGGCAACGAGGACTCTTGGCCAATTCATGGAAAGTGCGCCACTGTAGAAGATGTGATGCCAGACGGCGAAAACCACCAAAACGGACATGGAGTGAGCATAATGCTTGCGCATCTCAGGAACATCGTTGCCGTAGATGGTGGTGGCGAAGGAGCACACCGGTGCGATGACGGTGAATATGCCCAGCACACTACCCACCGAGGCCGGCTGGGAGAAGGTGGCACTATTCGTGACGGCAGCGGAGAAGCAGCCAATCGGGGATTGTGTGGAATTGGAAAAGATGCGCAGTATGGCCTCGCCTTCGAAATCGGGAATACTCAGCGCGAGATCGGGTATGCCAGCAATATCTTGTTGGTTGATTGGAATGACGCCGTTCGCCTCAATGGGTGTGCCAGCTTGCACGGGGCAGGCACTGGTTGCTGTTAGCCATGATAACATGGAGGAGGGGGATTGCGGCGTACCTCCAGATGTTCGCATTGCAGGGATTGAAGGTAAGATCGAATCGACTCTCTCCGTAAGCATATACACCGATGTACACTGAAATAGCGGTTAGCTCCGTCGCCATTCACGTTGTCGCCTTTGACATACTCATGATTGACTCATTCTTCAGTGCAGTTTCTCCTTCCAGGTGAAACAGCACCGTCATATTATCCTTGTAGAAGGCTGCATCGAACCGGGTAACTTTCAAGCTGCTACTGCCCATGCAGTCACCGAAATCACTGGTGTACAAGGCCGGTCGCCTGCTGTCCCTGACACGGACTTGTTTCCCGTCTACATAGGCGGCCACCCATTTTTCCTCCTCAGCGTATGAAAAGCCAATGAGCGAGAGCAGAACGAGTAGGAGGACGAAGGCGGACCGAGCTGGAGGACGCAAAGGAGACATGGCGGTAGCGAGGAGGTCTGTTCGAATGTGATACTATTAACTGTTAGCCCTAGAGCGCCCTTAATGCCAAAAGCTTTACAGATCATTGCATTACCACACAGTGTCGCTTCAATTGCTCCGCTAGCTTGACTCGTAAGCCCTTGTCCACCGTCACCGTCCCCGATGGTAAATTCGAGCTCCGCTTGGTAATGACAGTGACCTCTTCGGAACCAGGCACCAAATTCGAGGACTGCGAGAATGGGGTCGTTGTTCAGATTTATACGAGGTCCAGGTCGCAAGCCTCAGCAATGGTTCGAATTCGTGGAGTTATCAACCACGTTGCGAGATATCCTAGTCGCTTTGGGAAGTTGATAATGGTGAGTAAACCACGCCCCTCTTCAACCGCGCACAATAACGAGCGAATCCATTTTTGAGAAGCAAAGAAGGAGAAGAGGAGTATCAGCAGTAGCGAGGAAAAAGCGACAGTGGACAAGCAGCGCGGAGCAGCCGGAGTGCAGGAAAGACAGCAGCAGTGTTGTCCAAAAGGCAGAGTGCCAGGGTTTAATAGAGGGGCCGGCGCGAGACAGCGACAGCCACCCGTTTCGGCGTTTCCTTCCAAGACTTGCCCAATGTGGAGTGGGTCGCGCGCTAGCGACCGCTAGCTTCCAAGGTTTAACTGAGCCGTCGTGCTCGATTGGCTAGCGGGAGCGCCTCTATCTTACTGTGTAGACAATTGCCAGAAACATGTCCACTCGTGAATGGAAATCGACATCAGGTGCGCCATGTTTACCGCGCTGCGTTTGTGTATGTCATTCACTTCTTGACCATTTGCGCATGCTGATCCAGCTTTGCGTTCTACAGCATTCGCGTTGTGCCTCCAACAGTACTTGTACACGGACGCTACGCCTAAGAACCGAGGCGCCATCTTCGTCACCACCATCAGCCATCATCGCCAAGGTCATGGAGACCTCTCAAGCAGGCTGGAACTCATGACTTCAACTAAAACCAAAAGCCAATGTTTCGCCCCGTCCCGTGCTTGCCGAGCGTTTACGGATTCCAAGAATTCGTATTGCGCATAACACGCATGCCAACAGCTTCAGAAGGTGCATTGACGACTACACAGTGTAGCCGCATGAAGAGTCCTTATAGAAAGGTCGCCGGCTATCTGGAAGGGCCACGAACGTCTATTGATGTAAAGCCAGCACCGAAGATCTGGCCGGGTGGTCATACACATGCCTTGAAACATGCATCCCCAGATCTGCTGTGTCATCGTGCAGACGCCTCAGCCGTTCGCCCAAGACATCCGCGGCGGATACTTGACAGTGGTACATTGGTGCAAGTCGCAGCGATGGTCGAACAACTCCTACCCGGCGCAAGCGCATGTACATGGCAAGGTGAAGTAGATGGTAGATTCCCTCCGAGCAGGAGAGAATCATCCATACTATCGCTCGTGTGCGGAGACACTCCAGGTAACTGGAGTCCGGAATTGAGTCGGCAATCGACTCCTCTCTTTGCCTCAAAATTGCTCCCGATTTGAAATCTGGAAGGCGAGTCTCCGCATTCAAGCTCCCTTAATCGCATCCGCCGGCCACACCCCCTTGGCCCGTACCTTCACCTCCCCGTCCAAACTCTCCAACGTCCCACTAATCTCCACAGCCGGGCCCGGTCTCGTTGTCGTCCACTTCTTCGTAAGATCCTTCCAGTACGGTAACCACGCCTTCCCCGGCGCAGGTTCCGTCGGTGGTTGCTCCTGCGGGATATCCGGCGTCGAAAACGAGGCACGAAGGACGTAGATATTGAAACTCTGAGTTGGCCGCGCGTACGTCACGCTTATGGAGGTAGGTGTAGGTATCGTATCTACTCTTACAGTTAGTCACCAGTCACGCAGGCCGCAACAACCTGCCAGATATACATACCTATAGAAGCATTCGGCCCCGCAATCATCCTCGCCATCGTCTCCTCAAAAATCGTCGCAATCGCCCCTCCATGCGCAATCCCTGGCCACCCCGTCAACCTCGGCCCTATCCAAACCACAGCCACCAACTCCCTCGTTTCCGAATTCCAGAACGCCCTCTGCACTCCGAGCCCCTGTATCCCCGCCATGGCTTGCTCCGTCAGAGGTCGTACCCTCCTCTCCTCCCCGCTTGTCGTGACATTGGCGATGCTATCTTGCAAATCAAGCTCTATCCATCCACTCTGTGTCCCGTACGAGGTTGCGTAGCTGCGCATGCGCTTTACAATGTCGAGGTCGTCCATCTGGTCGGCTAGGGCTTCGAGAGCTAAAACGTCTTCTTCTGATCCCGGGCGAGGCGAGAAGAGGCGTGCTTTGGCGAAGCCGCTCAGCGTGAGGCCCGCGCCCGCGCCGATTCCGCCGACTAGGATGTACCAGAGATATCGTAGAGATATGCGCGATTGTCGGATATCAAGGTTGCGGGCGATGCGACGGCGTTGTGCCTCGTTGGAGAGATGGCGGAATGGACATGGCGTCGGGCGTCCGTGGCGTACGCATGGTCGCGCGCATAGTCGCAGAATGTGCGTTCTTGTAAGGCGAAGATGTGGTGACATGAGAAAGTTCATCGGTTCCAAGCTCTTGGAGACATGATGCTCGTCGGTGTTGCTGACGTCCGATGTCTTGGCAACGGAAAGTATATACACCTATCACGTGGAAGTAGGAATCCTAAAATCGTTTATATAAATCAAGAAATTCTTAATAATATTGCTTGGACTTGGTAATTCTACTTGTAAGAAGAAACACCACGGTGAAGAAGATGGGCAATTGTGCATAGCCTCGTCTCCTGCCCTATGTAGCTGGGTTTCAGTTACAATGAATATTTCACATCCCCTTCTTGACAAAAGTACACACCGTTTACGCTTCACTGATATGCTTATTATTACCTTCCGATGTCTCTTTTGGCTGCCACAGGCAATCACCTATGAGTGCAGAAGGCAAGTGTACCGACCCCTTAAATCCTGACAAATAGAGGACTAGTTATGTATGGGGAAGCCGCCCTCGATGTACCCATCCTAACGCCGAAATCGCGAGCTTCGGTGAAAACTCTCCTCGTCCGTATCTTCTTCTGGTTTCCAGAGCGGAGCTAACCGTACCACGTTGTCGTCGATTGGGACGTTTCTGCAGAAGATATCATGTCATCTCCACTGCAAATAATGGGACCACTTCAACTGAAGGCCATAGCCGTTAGGGGTCATCACTCTAGCACACGAGAACACAAGTCGAAAACACAGTTCAACTAAAATGCAAGATTGATATTAATCATTGATTTCCGCATGGAATCGCTGTGTGGCGGAACTCTCACCTCATCCTCCCCTACCCGAATACACCGCATTCCCCAACTCCTTCTTCATCCCCCGCAGATACTTCCGCTCCTTCCTTGCCATCGCGCTATCCGTCTCGCTAGGACGGCGATTCCGGCCCCGCAAGCGAGTGGCCTGCGGTGCACGGGGAGGAAGGCCGAAATCCTTTCGGGTCAGGGCGCTGCTGCCGTCGACATGTATGACGGGCAGTTGTCCTTCGGGTTTTTGGTTGGGTGGCTCAGGAAGACGCCGCCTGTCCGCTGGGGGATTGGTAAAGGGCAGGAACATCTCCTCACGTTGCTGAAGGCGGCGAGGACGGCGAGGATCTCTAGGCGGACGGGACGGTGTGGGGCTCGCCGCATTGGTACGACCTTGGGCTGCTGCAGGCCGAGGGGCAGGAGATGGAGCTAGGGGTTGAGCCGGAATTTGGAGGTGGCGAGCAGCGTGAGGAGGTAGGGAAGAGAGAGGTTTCTTTCCCTGCTTCATCTTCTCCTTCATCTGGCGTGCCTTCTTCGCCTCCTCGACCTTCTTCTTCGCCTCCTCTACCTTCCGATGAGCTTGCAAGACCTTGATCCGGCGCTCAGCGATCGGAGCAACCTCCTCTTTCAAGTACGCCGCCGTCAAGCGCTGGTCCAGCTTCTCCTGCATGCAGGTATGGTACCAGCACTCGAGCGCGTTGCTGTATCGCGGTGGCTCCGCAGCTCCCGGAGGCCAGTCCCATTTGCTGCGAAGTTCCTGGACATCAGCGTTCAGAGGGCGGTACACCAAAGGAATGTGCTTCCGCCAGCGATCCTCATTGAGGTCCTGGCGCCCCTCCTGGACTATCTTCCAGAGATTAGTCCCAAAGCGGCGCCTGTACTCCTCACAGAACCGCTTTCGGGTCTGCGTCGGCAGGATACCAAGGGCGAATTCCTGCAGTGATGCTCCCAGCGCCCAGATATCCACAGCGGGGGTCTGGGGGAGTAGCTGCTCCGCCTGTGGCGGTCCGTACTCGTACGTGCCGTTGTAGAAAGGTCCCGGATTGCCGGGTCCGGAATACGGCTGTGCGCGGGCGAAGTCACAGATCTTGAAGTTTGGCAGGATGGGAACTTCCCTCAACCCGGTGCCGGGCGGTGATGCCACGAGGATGTTCAAGGTTTTGAAGTCCCCGTGGATCAGAGGCCTGGGCAGCTCGCAGTGGATATACTGCAGCCCCTTTGACATATCCGCAAAGAGCTTCCAGATCGTTTCTTCGGGAATGCGGCCATATTTCCTCTGGAGCTTCGTGTGGTAGGTCTGCACGTCTCCCATCCCGCAGAACTCGTAGAAGAGTGCCGGGCTGTAGGGCATGAAGTTAGTATCATACCCAAGCAAGGAAACGATTTGGTCGCATTTCGTAAGCAATTCCATGATGGCGATCTCGTGGAGCAGAGCTTTTTGCTGGTGGACGTTCGCGGAGGAAGGAGTCTTAACCGCGACGGCGCGTGAGGGATCTCGACAGTCCAGATACCGGGTCACCGAGCCGTCACTGCCATCACTGATGGCATTATGCCTTCCGAAATTGCGTTTGAACGTCGCGGGATCGATCGTCATCTTCTGGGGCTCGCTGGAGCCCGCGTTCGACTCGTTCACCAATTGAATGTGAGGCATATTGGAACGGACTTGCGGTTCTTTTCCTTTGATGAGCTTTGAATGAGTGTTGGAGCTCACGAAACGCAACCGAGTCGTGGGGATTGGCTTCGGTTGTGTTGGGAAATTGTGATAAGGAATCCGATGGGTTGGGTAGATTATGGAAGGGGTTTATAACCCATTCCGAGCAGAACCGTCAACATTGTAAAACTCAGACCTTGCATTGCAGTAACAATGCACAATGTGGAATCCCCTCCCTTCAAGCCCAGGTGTATGAACATGAACAATGTGTTCTCTGTCCTGATGATCAACTCGTCTCGCTCCGAAAACAGCATGCTGGTTGGCTTTGTTCGCACAAGATCAAGACCGCAGAAGTAGCAGAAGTGGGAGACTTAATGCGGAGGGAATGTGAACCTCTGCTCCCTTAGCTTGGAGCCCACGGCAAAATCATGCCTTCTACGACGTCGAGGATGGACTTGAATCATCTCGTTTCGCCACTTTCGGCAGTTTGTTCTTGAAGATATCCATCGCTTCATCGTAGGTGTCATTCGGCGTATACCCATTGTCTGATAATATGTGGCTGACATCCCTCCAGAAGTCCCGGTTTTCGTTGAAAGCATCGGCATCGTCATATATCTTTTGGATCTCTTCGTCCGAAAAGCTATACGGACATGGTTCATCAGTATCAAAATCCTCCCACTCTCTATATACAGTTAGTCAGTTAGACGACAACTGAGACAAGCATGATGTCTCACTAGGTAGGGACTCACCTCCTAGCTATGATCATACACCCCTGCAATGGGTAAAGACAGTTATCCCACGTACCCCCGACAAACGCATGAAGCTGTTTCAACGTTCGACCCTGATACGTGGTCATCATCTTAATCATAAGCGGGTTTTCTGCTGCAGTGGTCCTCTCGTAAACGTCTATCAAGATGGTCTGTGACACTTGGTGTCTGAGCTTTTGCTTTTCCTCCCCTTCTTTCAAACTCTCGTAATGTGGCGGCAAATAGTACATCTTCTCCACCGTGTAGTCTAGAAGTGGTGGAGGGTTTGCGGCGAATATAAGAGGGGCGATTGTGGCGCTTTGCCAGTCGATGATACATGAGATTCTACGCTGGTCGTCGACGTATATGTTGCCGCGGTGCAAATCGGGACGCCAGAATCTCGGCGAGACCACGTCAGGATCCTTGGGGACTATGAGAGGGATAGCAGGCAAGAACTTCTTCAAGGTTTCTATATGCGCATGTGGAGAATTTTGCTGGGGGCTGGTGAATTGTCCTGGATCAACCCTGGCTTGCCGCGGGTCAGCATAAGATCCGATCCATTCGATCTCGCGTTTAACAATTGACTCCAGATATTCCACTGCAGAGGTCCCTATAAGCGGAGGGTTAGGTTTACGCGCGCAAGTCTAGCTGCTGTTTGACATACATGGCCCTTGGTATTGATGCATGTGACGGCGCTCCTTTTCCCAGAATTCCGGTTGAACAGTAGGGCCTATGCAGAAGCGGGATTTCAAGGCATCGGCCATTTCCTGCGGACCAGTGGCTATCGCAGGCTCGCATTTTGAGATACCGCTGTCTGCGTAGTACAAGGAGCCTATTCTGTACGCGAAGGTTTAGTCCTCTGGACGCTGAAGGGGTCGGCGATGGTAAAAAACATACTTCTCGAAGCATACCGAGAGAAATTTGGTCTCAATTTTGACCAGCTCCAAGATAATGTCACGCTGCTCAGGTAGTTGAAGGTCTTGCCAAATGTCATTAAGCCGCGACCCTCGCGCTTCTTCCATGATGATATATTCGGCCTCGACAGGATTCTGATCAGTGGCACTCCAAGCAAGCACCTTTGGCACAGGCAAGCTTAGGATGTCTCGCGCAAACTCCATGGTAGCGACCTCAGATGCCGTTGTGAGTACAGGCGGTCCTGCGTTAGGATGGGGGATCTTGGCAATGACCTTCTGACCATCTTCCATGGTCAAGCGGTAGGCTTTGTTGTAGTTTCCCTCCCCTATCTTTTCCAGGTGGATGCATTGTTTGGCGCCAACGGCCTCACAGGCAGCTCTCTGCAGGTTGGGCACATTGAAACGCCGGTATCGAGCTTCCAGCTGCTCCCGTTCATTTCATAACCAGCGGCCGCTGGTGTAGCCGAAAAGATGAGAGTCTGGTTGTATCTTCGGTTTATGTAGCTTCAATAACTGTCCCAATGAGCGAAAGATATTTGTGGGAGGCATCATGGGAGGAGAAAGATGGGCTGGAGTATTACAAGCCTAGAACGGGGACAGGGACAGGGATAAGGTGCTAGAAGTGCTAGCTGCGGTAGCTTATTAGCGGTTGCACTAGCTAAGGCTAAGGCTACGCTAGACCTAGAACGGTAGTAACTAGGGCACAAAAACACCAAACTAATGATCATTAAGAGGAGAGAAACTAGCAACTTCATCACAATCGTAGATCTTAACCCGCGTAATGATTGGGCTCTATCCTTTCCACAGCTCCGATAGAAGTATACAACGAAGCAGAAGATACTAATGCTATATTGGTGTGGGGATCTCTTCTGGAAAATTACCGACGACTCCTGTACGTACTCATTCCAATCACTGCCAGTGTGTTCTGCATCCGTGGTCCCGACACTCGTCCCTCCGCCGCCGACAGTCAGCATTGGACTCCCTAGCATTCACAGGACAGCATAAGGGTTCGTCGCCGAGGGGTGTCTCATCAGTGTACCGGCGGTTGTCTGGACACATGGCCCTGATGATGCAGCACGGGGGACACTCCAACGCCAGACACGAAGGGTAGACCTCTCGATTGCAGTACTCGCCTCCGGGCCCACCAAAGAAGATGTACTTTCCCCAGCCAGGCGGCGACGTCTCGGAGTGCGGAGTGATGAAGTTGTTGTAGCACCTCTCGGCCGACTCGTTGCCGGGCTCGACGATATCCGCCGGCGCCCACAATTCGGGGACGTCGACTCTTCGGCCCCGCTTCGCTGGATGGCGCGCTGGTACGCGGCCCGGCGGTAGCTGCCGAGAAAGGGGTCCGTTACCTTGCTGCTGGTGCCCATCTGCCCGTACTCCTCCGAGTAAGGGTGGCTCTCAGCGACCTCACCTCCAGAGGCGACCTCCTTGGCGTTCCTCCCCAGCCTACCCTCGGCCGTACCAAAGAGTGAACCTGAATACCATCCCACGAGGAAGTTCAGGAAGGGCCGCGCCCGCTGGTAGTACAGGCACCACTTGTCCCCGACCAATTTCCAAGCTAGCCGCATCTCATGCTGCCTGCCGCCGACCACGCTGATGCGCACAATGGCCCGGTGGAAATCGAAGAGAGAGTCAGCCTCAGGTTCCCCTTGGGTGCCGCCGCCGGCGCTGCCCAGATCCGGGAGACCGGCTTCTTCCTCCTCGGGCGGAGGCGTCTTCTCCTCCTTCGTCAGGTTGAGAAGGTGGACCGAGGGCTGCTCGTCGAAGAGGATGCAGTCGGTGAAACCGCTGTTGGAGAAGTACGAGCGGACCGAAGCCGGAGAAGCGACTCCGCCGTACATGTCCAATTATGCTTCTTGATCTCCAGAAGGGCGTACTCGTACCCGAACGGGTGTGGAGGCGTAGTCCTCGTAAGTGGTATCGCGGGTGCGGTGGAGAAATCCGGAAAACGGAGTGAACTGCTGTGAGCTGCAGACAGAGAGTACGCCTACGAAGAAGAAGAAGTTGAACCGCGGAGACGAAGCCATAGGCAAAACAAGTTAAGGAGTATCTCCTTAAAATCTACCTCGTAACATAACCTACGTAGTGAACACTTCCTCCCACACTGGCCAAGTCAATGGCATCTGCTCCTGTAAATGCTAGCAGTTCAAGCAGAAGCCTATAATCAGGTATACTCTCAGATTTTCAAATGTTGTCGTGAGTTACGTTTCATGCACGTGAAAGAATGCTGCTACAGTACCTAGGTATGCTGTAGGCGTCAAACAAAGTAATTCCTACTATGTTGGCTTGCTCCATGTCGAGACTGCGCAGCGTTGAAGTTTGACCAAGTCCGTAATCTCGTCCAAGCTCAGCACCATGATACTTCTGCCCGGGCTTTTCGGATAAGAACACGACCTTAACGTTTGCCTAATGTTGCCTCATGTGAAAGTGACACCCCGCCCTTAGTAGTCGCATACTCGCATGACGCATCAACCAGCGACCCATCTGCCCCGCAACGAAGGATGCGCGTTCATACATCCCAATGACGTACTCAGGTCCAAATCATCCAGCCCTCTATCTAGAGGTTCCACGAGCTCAGGGACGCAGATGCATATCCTTAGACCAATAGATGAAGCCCGACACATCATGCATATGCAGACGCAAATATCATCTGACATTGTTCAATTTCTATTAACACCTATGCATTGATTGGCAAAAAGAGCCCAATTCAAGGCGGCACAGGACTGGGAGAGAAACAAGAACAAAAGTAGGCCGCGATGGTACAAAGATAATACATATGCTCAGGCCATCCAAAGCGCTGTTGGTGGTGTCTGACCAGAAAACTCGTACTCCGTTTCCAACACACTGCGAGGACCCCAAATCATCCAGTACATCAATACCCCCCAAGACACAGGTGTAATCTTCCAGAATGTAACAGTCGTGGACTTCCTCCACTTGAACCGCAGGCGCCTCTTAACATTGACGTTAACATTGACGTAACAACGCCCTCCACCTCTTGTACCACAAGGAACCTTGAACCTTCTAACATCAACGCTAAAAGGACATGTGTGGCTTAATTCCAGCACTCAGGATACAAAGGATCTTCAATCCCACCCGCAATTGGACCCGGAATCTCTGCGCCTCTTCTCGTACCGAGCCTGTTCAGCTTGCTCGATGAATTCGGACATTGTTGGGGAAGGAGCCCTTTTTATAATGCTAGAATAGAGCCGATAGCGGGTGGGAGGTCGTGCGGACTCATGTCTGACTCTTTCCACCTCCTCGAAGAGCTCAGACTCGGTAGGCGAAGGTGCTCTTGGTGGAGTGCAGGGAAAAGACGGTTGGAGAGTGCAAGCTGGCGTGGATCCGTAAGGGCCTCTTTCCACCTGTTCAAACACTTCAGGCAACGTCGGAGAGAAAGGCCTTGGTGAAGTCTGGGGAACGTAATAGTCGGTACGAGTAACGGCGGAGCTTTGGGTAGGACGTGGTTGAATTGACGGTTGAGCTCCAAATTCCATTACTTCGGTCTGGGCCGGCATGCGGTAAGCTGTCGTCTGTTGGGTTCGTTGTGTACATTGCTGGCTGAGGGTCCACGGAGGTGAGCTAGTAAGAGGCCGGCTCATCGCAGGACTATCGTGCAATGAAGCCAGCATCAGAATATAACCTGCGGCCCTACTGTCCATGCCGAGATGATATGGATGCTGGGGTGGTAGTGACACACTAGCAAAAGGCCAGGAAGGCTCAGGATTCGCCCACACATGCGCCCTCCTAGTTCCTCCGGATACAACAGGGTCGACATTCGAATTCATTGACGGCGACATGGAGAGGCGAGTTGACGAGGGAGAACCAAGAGAAGTGTCGAAGCCACAAGACGAGAGACGTGTGCGATCAGGTTGGGTGTGAGAGAAGTGGGGGTGTGGCTTGCAAAGCGTTGAACAAGTACGGCGAGCGGGCGCCAAGAATCTCGAGAGGCTGGCTGTGTTGAAGTCACCCACACACACAAGGCCACTCCCCGACCCCTGCTTTCGCTCACAACACAAAGTGGATTCCGCTCCCGAGGACTTGCTTCACGGCTTATGGGCATTCGGAGGTCGTACGAAACTCCAAGCTTGGAGAATCATCCCCTAAACGATACAGATCGCGAAGCTGGATTCGAGCAGGAGAACGATAAAGATAACGGGGCGCATGGAGAGGCTGACGAAGCGGATGGGATGCTCATAGGCGCAATCAGCATGTTCGAGTCGCAGCGCTGAACTCCAATATCCAACAGGACTTCGAAGAGCACCAAGGTTTGCGCCGACCGTACTGCCCCCTTTATGCTCCAGCGACGACCGCCAAAGGAGCCTCGACTCGACCCGGGCACCAAGAAAAACATTCCAACGGGAGTTCATACGGCCTCGTTAAGGACTTGACACTCCTCAGGGCTTCAAGGTTGGCCTTCGCCCTAATGGCCGACAAACCGCCATAACTCCGAATAGCCTGTTATGGTGGTCGGCCGACCAGATTGTGAACGACGACGCGCTCACATGTCCCGATCTTCTTGATCTCTACTTATGCAAAGGCGTATATATTGCAAGGTCGACTCAGAATCTCGCGTGGCCCGGCGACAATGCGGTTCCTTAGGTCCGAAGAAATCATGGCGACATAGGATGCACCCAAAGACTTTGTTGGCTGCCACTAGTCTCAGATCCTCGGAACGTTCTCAGCTTCGCTTCGACGATTTCAAGAAGAGGAAGATCATCATTCGGCAGCATATCATGTTGCTTTCTTGCGTTGCTGCGCAGAGACGTACAATGTCGACGTAGGGGTCGTTTGGTGTGCGCCGGCAACATAGAGACTGACGACGAGGAATCCGAATTGATCTCTAGGTATATGCAGATCCATTGTGCATGTCACATTGTACGCAGACATTGCTGAGGCGACCATAGGGAACAAAGAGGCGCTTTGTTTCATAGTGTGAGCCTGGCCGTGCTTTGAATACTGTGAGAGGCAGAACAGCATCGGACGAGCGGACATGCGGACATATTGCTGCAACTTGTTTCCAGAGACAGCGCCCAGGGTGTGCTGGTGTGCTTGCAGCAAAAACGAAACCGAGGCCGAGACACTAAGATCGGATTCAGTCCTGCCAAGGAAAGGGAAAGAGATATTTATGGGTTGTGCAGGATATGTGAGCTGGAGGGTGCCTCCTGAGAGGAATATCTCTAGACTCTCCCGAACGCTGGGTGCATCATTGGAGTTCGACAGTACTCTCATTCGTCCGCAGGCGATGCCTGATTGGCCCATGGGAAGACTCATGTTTTGGCCGGGCGTAGTGTGCGAAGCGAGGACTCTGTTAAAGGGGAACCGTGGCAGAACGCGCAAGCTTGCCCCCCAACGTGATCGAAATAATCCTCGACTGGCCGCAGGAATTGGCAATTGGCTGTGCCACAATCAAGCGTTAACCTGGTTTTCCTTCCTCTTTCATACACCTTTGACAGAAAACAAAAACGAACTGGATTCCTGCACTCCCACAACCTGCTGGTGGGTGTTCTGGAGGGCCCATTCCATTGCTATCGTCCGTTCGAGGGCATGTCCAATTGGATGCCCAGTCGGCCCCTTGAGCTTACGTTACAATTGCCAAGGCTATCTCTTTCAATAACTGTGAAAGGGCGCTGCAGGTTGGTGTTTCTGCAATCAAGCCGACATGATCCCTCGATATGGCCTTTGGGATGGCCGGTCTCTATGGGAAGCACCCATACGAAGGGTTAAGGCAAGCCGTGAGGCTCCCACCTTGGACCAGGGTCTGCTTTTATCATGGAAGTGGATTTCAGCTTGGTCCAGGGCGGTAATCGTTCATAGCTGGCAGCGCATGCGGCATACCAAGGGATCATTCGAACAGACGGATTTACCCTACAGAACTGCATCGAACGATCGAACGGGGGACTGCGCACCGGCGACAATTTCCACTGCCAATGTTAGCGACGCATGCCCTAGCTTTCTCCGACTTGGAGGGTACCTGCCTGCTTGTTCCTTTCCGTTCCCTCTGCACATGCGGGCCTGCTGTGACGCACGTGAGCATCGGAAGTTAGTACCTGGGCTAAGATGAACTGGACAAAGCCGATGTCAAACAAAATGGTCCATTGCTCTTCCTAAAGCTCAGCTCGCACAAGATATCCTAAAGCCCGACTACACCCAGGGCAGCGCGGCAATGAAGGTTGTGCTCCACTTGGCAGAGATTACCTTCCTTCCGAAATGGATCCCGCTCGCAACGCCTTGTCTACCAGTTTCATGCATCACGTAGCCTCGTAACGCCATGCCAAAATGCCAAAGATGACTATCCTATGCGGTTAGTACCTGGAACACGAGCCGAAAGCACCGCTTCCGATGTGAGAAGAGAGACTTCTACGGCTTCGCATATTGCTCGGTCCATTGGCGAGCTGTCTCGATGGCGCCCTTCTCATCCTCCTTCCACTTCTGAGCCACGTCATTGGCGAGAGGATCGTCGGGATTCGGGGCGCCCAGGAGAGCTTGGATGGAGAGAAGGATGGTCCTGATCTGGAGGGCCGGAGACCAGTTGCCTGACCATGTTAGCCAAGACAGGCGCACCAATGGCGATAAGTGTGCGTACTCTTGAGGACGTCCAAGCAGATACGGCCCAGCCTGTCGATGTTGGGGTGGTAAATCTTGGTGAGGAAGCGGATCTTGGGGGGCGTCATGGGGTAGTCGTCGGGGAGGAAGAGCTCCAGCTTGAAGACTCCACCTGAGGGCACCAGGCTGTTAGCAAGCCGACAGCTGCAGGCTCCAGAGGATCAACTTACCTTCGTAGGGAGACTGGCCCGGGCCGTCAATGGTGACATCGAAGTAGCGGAGGTTGTCTTCGTGCGGCACGGCGCTGATGCCCTTGACTCTGGATTTGCGGACCTGGTCAGCGTTGATGATTCCCAAGTGTGATGGGGGCGTTGGGCGAAGAAGAGGAGGCAGTTCAGTCAGGCGAGAAGACATACGGTTCAGCCATCAGGCGTTCCGTCTCCTTGATGATTCGCTTGGGCAGCGCCATGGTGGGAAGGTGCTTTGGATTTGCGTTCCCGTCGCCTGGAAACGAAAAGGTCTGCTTTGTTGGATCGAAGGCTTCTCGTCGAGCATTCCAGGGCTATGTCAGCAACGAGAGGCGTGGGGACTGACATGGACGATGTGGGGGTGGCTGCTTCCCTGGTCCTGGCCCCGCCCCTGGCTGCTCAGCTGGCGTGCATTCCAGTGGCTGTTCTACGGTGGACTATATTTTGATTTAGTGCCAAAACTCAGATTACCACGCAACACGAAGCCCTGCGTACTGCGTACTTAGATGCGTACTTGCACCGCGTACCTATACTGCGTTTATATACTGCGTACTTGCTCTGCGTACTTGCTCTGAGTACTTCTGTAGATATATACTACAAACATGCAGCATGCAGCGTTTATATACTGCATGCTTGCACTGCGTACTTATCCTGCGTAGTTGTACTGCGTACTTATCCTGCGTACTTATCCTACTTACTTATACTGTATACTTATACTGCGTTCTATACTGCGTACTGCTTCTACGTAGTATACTTACTAAAAGTTACGCAGTACAAGTACGCAGTACAAGTATATAGTATAAGTACGTAGTATAAGTATACAGCGCGAGTACGTAGCGCAGGTACGCAGTAGAAGTATATACTATATCTAAGTACGCAGTACAAGTACGCAGCGCAGGCACGCAGTAGAAGTATCTAATATATCTAGCTTAAGTACGCAGTACAAGTACGCAGTATATAAACGCTGCATGTACGTAGTATATATACGCAGTGTAAGTAGCAGTACGAGTACGCATACAAGTACGCAGGGCTTCGTGTTGCGTGGTGATCTGAGTTTTGGCACTAAATCCAAATATAGTCCGCCGTACTGTTCTCTCACTCCATGTCCCGCCGACTTGCAGGCAAAGGCCCACACCCCAACCACATCAAACATCAACACCCATCACCACACACCACACGAAGAAGACCCTCGACAGCGGCGACAAGAACAACGAGGGGCAGGGACCGCCAACAACGGCAACCCCATACGGGCTGTTGCCAACTGCTCTAGCTGCTGCTTCTCCTGCAGCTTCTCCGGATGTTACAAGCTTAAGGCTGCTACAAGGCACTGACTGCTACGGGCAATAGCCCCGATGACGACCCCGGATTACTCTGGAGCAGCGGTTGCTGACTCTGCCTTGAACTCAACAACCTTTCACAAGGATGTGAGTATCAAGGTCGATGATTCCAGCATTGGTGCAGCTTCGGTCTCTCCCAGCGGCCGAGATGTCGTCCTGGCCGGCAAGAGCGGCCTCTACATTGTCGACCTGGACAACCCATACTCACCACCTCGCCATGTCATCTACAGGTCCAGCTTCGACGTGGCCGATGTGCAATGGAGCCCTTTTGCCTCCCGTCCAGGCCGCATTGCTAGCACCGCCAATCAGCGAGCCATCGTCTTCAATCTCGACATGGTCGCTCTGCCCAACAAGCCCCCCGTGGAATTTGACCTGCATGCACACGAGCGCGCCATCACTGACATCAATTTCTCCGCACACAACCCGGACCTGCTGGCAACCTGCGGTGTAGATAGCTATCTCTACACCTGGGACTTGAGGGCGCCGCGCACCCCCGCCGGGAGGCTCAAACACAATTGGTATGCCGCCATCCATGAGGGAGGCGCCACTCAGGTCAAGTGGAACCGTCAGAACGAGCATCTGATTGCCTGCTCCTACGACAAATCCCTTCGCGTCTACGACGTTCGTAAGGATACCAAGCCTCTCACCCTCATTGAGGCACACACCACCAAAATCTACGGTATTGACTGGAATCGTGCCAACGCGAACAAGATTGTCACATGCTCCCTCGACAAGACCGTCAAGCTGTGGGACAATGTTGGTCTAGAGGAGAGGATCACTGTCCCAAGCGGCGTCATCCGCTGTCACTTTCCTGTCAAACGCGCTCGCCATACGCCCTTTCCCAATGGCATCCTGGTAATGGCCGCCCGTGGCAGCGCCGCTCTCAACCTATACACGCACCGCTCGGCCGACGTCCAGCGCAACGCTGGCATCACTGTGCCGGTTCACAGCTTCGAGCACCATGAAGAAGGCTCCCAAGTGCTGGAGTTCCTGTGGCGTTCGCGCGGCGCCGTTGACGACGACGGCGTTGATAACCGTGAATTTCAGCTTATCTCTTGGGGAAGGGACAGTCACCTTCACCTTTACAATATTACAGACGATCTTCTCCAAGAGACAGTCGGCTTCACCAGAGGGGCCCCTGCCAAAGAATTACCCAGCACCACGCGCAAGGGGGCGAAGTATGTCACCTATCGCGATGAGCCGCCTAAGACTCCTTCGAAGACACGTGCAAGACCCTCTGTTATGCATGCTGCCTCTCAGGCGCCGAAAAGTCTCCTAACCCAGTCAAGGCTTCAGCAAACGGGCACCATCACCAGCACCTCCCAGACACCTCGAGAGACCATGTCCCCCGGAACGATCCGGAGTTACCATAACGCCCGTGTCAAGAACGACATCACTTGGATGCACAACGTGAAGATCGATGAGCCAACTCGAGGCGTATTGGACTACCGTACCGAAGTGAAACTCGTCTCAGAAAAGTACCCCAATGCCTTTGAACCTCGCCAAGGTGATTTGCAGAAGAGATACATCACTCTAGCATTCCAAGGGCCGTGGGGTGAGCTTGACCACTCAGCCGAGCGCAAGGCCGAACGTAAGCTGGCTTTTCTGCGATTGAGAGTCAGGTTCCCAAGGCACTATCCTCGCTACAATGCAGCCGAAGCCGACAATCTGGAAGCCGACGAACCGCCGGAGAACCAGCCTTTGGAGATCGAGTTTCTCAAGACCACTGCTAACATTGAGGAAGCCGTTCTCGATAGGTTGAAAGCAGACATGAATGAGATTGCCCACCATCGTGCGATGCACGGCAAGGAAGCGCTGGAGGCAATCATCTGCTATGGCCTAGGAGAGCGTGGATTAGAGGACAGCCTGGTGATCTCAGACGAACCCAGCGTCATGCCAGCAGCCGAGGAGGTAGAGGAGGAAGAGAGCTCCAGTGAGGAGGATGAAGATGATGAGGGCATTGGTAACGAACATCAAAATGAATTTCTGAGCTCCTCCTTGACGAATGCTAATGTACCCCGCCCCATACAGACTTCTACCCGGTTTTCAACAACCGGAGCACTAACCATAGCACGGATTCATTCCACTACCTCCTATCTCTCACCCTTGGCCTCTCTGATCCGCCTTCCTCGGATGGAGGGCCAGGGACTGAGCAGGGAGGGTATATTTGAGTCTTTTGGCCGATTGCATATACCCCGTGGATATGGCTCGGAATCTCCAACTTCATCGGAGGCGTCTTGGGAGTGGGCGTCAACGGCGTCTTCGTCTTCGCAATCGGAGGAGGATCATGCACCTCTCTCTCGGTTCAATCCACCCACGCTGTGGCAGAACTCGATAATGCGTTTCCAGTCCAAAACTTCTCATCCGTCATCCATCGGGGCTAGAGCCGCGAATGACAAGTCTGTGGTGACAATTCTGGCGTCGGTGGCGGAGGATTTTGTACCAAGCAAGCGCAAACTTGCGCAAGGGTATTGGATCTTTGGCGATGGGCCGCAGGTTTGTTCGCATAACGCGCAGGTAGCTAGGAGCGCGGGATATGAGGATTTGGGCGATGTGTGGGAATTGTGCGGTTTAATTCTGAATAATCAAGTCCCTCTGGAGATCTTACCACAGCAGCATAGGCGGGAGCAGGTATTGGTGCTTGCCCGTCGGGCACTCGTAAGGATCAAGCGTAAGGACAGTGGTTTGGACCTCCAGTTCGACGAGGCAGACACCGTCAAGAATCCAAGGCTGAAGGCGAGGGTCAAGTGGGGACACCATGCCATCGTAACCTGGCTCATTCCCGCCCTCTTTGACCACTTTGAGAGGCTTGCTGACATCCAGATGCTGGCCATGCTCTCCTGTATATTCTCAGAACCTGCCGCCCGCGAAGGCGTCTCCAGCGCCATGGCCACGACGAAGCACTCTAACCTTCCCATGTCTATGGAAGCTCCAGCCTTTTCTCTAGACTACTTCTCCTCGGCTGACGCTGCCTGGAGCCTGTTCAAGCCTACCATCTCCATTCCGCCCACGCCCGCCCACTCACGCCTTGCCATGCCGGTGAATGACTCCGGATGGAACCGCCTCCATAAAGCGCTAGACACCTTCGGATCTCATGGTTCGTCCAATGGCCCTTGGGGCAGTGACACTGTACCCTCCGAACCTGTGACTCCATATTCGACCGGAACTACACCCCCGAACCTCTCGCGAGCACCTACGACGCGGTCCACGGCCACACATACCCCCTTCTCTACCTCTCCCGAGCAACCCTCGCATCTAAAGAAGTCCTCCACAGCCAACTTTGCAAGTGCCATCGCTACGCTCTCCCGCCCCTTTGCCAATGTCTTGTCCTCATCCCCTCCGGTCAAGAACCGCACTGAGGGCGACCTATCAACGTCCGCCCCTACCAGTGGAGTCACGTGGGGTACGACGACGTTCTACAACAACAACGGAGATGTGGAGGAGAGCACTGAGCGGAGCATCGCCACTCGTGCCAAGAGCAGCAAACGGGCCAGCTTTGGCCAGGCAGACCGCATCAACATCGACTACTACTCCGATTCCGACTCCGATTACGAAGAATCTGGCCCTTATGACACCATCTCCGAGTATACGGCACCAATCACCTCCGGTGGTGCGGGCGACGATGGTAAAACGATCCGCGTGACACTCAAGAACCAAGATCAATTCGATGACGAAGGATGCGTCAGCGCTCCGCTTCTCGACATGAGCAAAGAGTGGCTATATCAGGCCTGGAGAGCTCAATATGCCGAGTTGCTCACGAGCTGGGGCCTTGTGAGGCAACGTGCAGAGATACTGAAATTCAACGGCTTGACGTCCTACTTCCCATCTGACAGCTCTCGCGGAACGTCCAAAGCCGGATCGTTACATCTAGGTCTTCCAGGCCACAACGGAGCTGAAACGCCTCTTCCTCCTGCATTGTCCCGCGCGTCGTCTGCCCTCGCACCCCCGGTTTCGATGACACCGCAGTACAGACGGAGTCCAGTGTCATCCCCTAAACACTTCTCCTTCAATCCCGAAGCCACCGAGTTCCAACCCGGTGGTGCGTCTTTTGAGCCTCCGGGAGGCTTATCCAGCGACCTCATCGCCCCTCCACCCGACGTCTTCATCTCCTCAGAACAATACCTGCGTCTCAGCATCCCTACTCCGAACCTTACACATCCCATGCTCGACGACGGCGCTACTGATGCGGGCGGCGATCACCATAGCACTAGCGGTGCAGTGAATACACCCAGGTCGACGACGGCGCCAAGTCAGAAGGTGTTGCGGCCAGGGTTGCGGTCAGCCTTTAGTAGAGGAATGTCCATGAGACAGCCTTCCTCCTTCAACGCAAGAGAAAGGGACCAAAACGACAAGGAAAAGCTTGTGGTATACATGTGTTCCATCTGCTGGATGCGCGTCGGAGGACGCTTCTTCCTCTGTCCCGGGTGCGGACATGTGGCGCATTTTGAGTGCATGGAGGGGGGAGGCGATGAAGGGTGTTATTTGCATTGGAGCGTCGAGGAGGGGTTCGAGGAGGGGGAGTGTGTGGTTGGTTGCGGGTGTGGGTGTGGGTTTGAGGGGTTTGACTGGGAGAGCAGTGAGTTTGCGGAGGAAGAACGGGGGAGGAAGGGTGTGGAGTCTAGGGAACTGGAAAAGGAAAAAGAGCCTCAGCATGATTACTTCAGAGGGTGGGAGCAGCGCGGGAGATGGGAGGGGCATGCCCATTATGAGCACGAACATGGTGGGGTTGTGGGTGGTGGGCTCACGGGTGAAGAGATTGAGCATCATCGATTCGAGGGCGGGCATGGGCATGGGCATGCGGAGGAGGAACTGAAGCTTGGGGGCTCGTATTCGCCGAAGCTTGAGAAGAAGGGGAGAGCGGGTCAGATACGGATGGGATTGAGGAGGAGTGCGTCAGCGAGGTAGGAACGAGGAAGAGGAGGATGGGAAGTCGACGTTTCGTTTTGCTTTTGGGTTTTGTGTTTGGACATTTTGAGAGATTTACGGATGCTTTTTATGGGATTTTTTGGGACGGGGCGGAGGACGGATAGGGGTTTCGACATTTATCACGGTTATGTACAACGGTATTTCCGGACAGGTTTACGGATGGACCGATCACAGATGTCGACAATATCTCGAGGACACTATTCGACATCACCTTCACATATAGGACACATATTAGACAAGGCGAGTTACAGGCGGCTTGTCGGATATGCCGAAGAACTCACATATACGCCATACCGCTTCTTGGATCCTTGGAAATATTCGTCTACATCGCGGAGGTCCGCCCAGCGAGGACGAGCGCTTACTTTTACCACGTATTACATCCGGACTCTTATCGATCTTCTTTATTCAGAGGTCTACGGCGTTTGGCAACTCCGAGGAACGGCGGTCGAGATACCCTCTGATTTACGCCGGGTTTATCTTTATATATATGGACAGCCATATCGACATGTATCAACGGCCTCTATCATCTATCAGCTTCCCGCCCGGACGGCGAAACTGGGTTTACTCCGATCCTGCTATTTACCTTTACGATGTATATATAATTCTGGGCGAGATTTTTGATATCCATACTGCTATGGCGGTGCTGGATTTATTGTGGACGACTGTTGTACGATTGGTGGTGGGTTGGTGTGTATCATCTATCTATTAGTTATCCATCTCCCGATATCTATCTATATCCTGCCATACATCTGGCAAGAGGAAGCCATAAAGTCGGGCTTGAGCAGGGGGGTTGTAAAGGCGGAGGTGGTTGTTGTGTATGGTCAGGTGTGTTGTTGTGCGATAGAGTAGGGCCTATGTAGGAATGAGTGAAGAATATATATTATATCGAAGACAAAGGGGTTTTCACATATTGAGGTTTGGTAGTGTTAGGTATATACTGCATGTGTGGATTAACTTGGAGTGTTTTGTCCTGCGCAGGTTGGTTGCGCCATGCTCCTAGTCGGTACGAGTGACATCTATGTAGGATGTGTCTCTGCATTTAACCATGATTTACGGGTAGGTAGGGTTAGAGCTATTTTGGGAATCTGCAACATAGTAGCACTAATAGAAACATATAGACAGACTATTATGTATAATAGCTAAGCTAAAAGATAGTGCAGGTCCCTTTATCTAGTTCCAATAACCTAGTAAGCCTGTTCCCACTCCAGGGAGCTAGCACCTTGCAGAATGAAGACTCATACAAGCCGGGTAGGAACACGCAAGGTATCCGTCATCTCGCCATCTCGTCACAGAGCCAAGTACATACATACATAAAATGACACTGTTTGTACCAACTGTGATAGACCTTACACGCAGAACTCAACAACAACCGAGATGTTCAGAAGAGAAGTCGATATCAAGCGAAGGCAAAGAGTCCAATTCCCGCTGAACATAAGTTCTACCGCTCCTTAATTCATCCTTCCCCTTTCCTATTATACGTCCACCTCCCCATCCCCTTTTCCATCCATCACTTTCACTTCCCTCCCTCAAAGCCTGCCTAAAACGCGCCCGTCCCGACCTTCTCATCAATATGCCTATACCGCTCCTGCTCATTCCGGTACTGGATGACCATGGCGACGCACAGGACCAGGATGGCATCGACGCCGACCATGCCAAACGCAGCAGTGAAGATGAGGTCGAGGTAGCCGTTGGCGAACTTGCTGAAGTCGCCGATGCAGCCGGCCTTTTGGGCGGCGACGAGCGAGTTGGTGCAGGTCGTGTCCTGGATGAAGGGCGGCGAGGTCGAGTTGTGGTAGCCGCAGCAGTTGAACTGAAAGGATTTCGAATCAGTCTTCAGGGGTAGGGAGGGCGAGAGGGAGAGAGAGAGAGATATACGCACCTTCTGCTGCAGCAAGCTCTGGATCAGCGGCGTCTGCTGGCCCCACATGACGCCCAGCTGCCTGCGGGTCTGCAAGGTGCTGACCCAGACCGAGAGGCCGAGGCCGAGGGTGAAGACGGCGCAGAAGACGACGAGCCAGCCCTGGGCGCGCAGCCAGCCGCGGTTGGTGGGGAGGAAGAGGGCGGGCAGGGAGAGGAGGAAGGTGACGAAGATGAAGATGGCGTTGACGACGCCGGCTGTGGAGAGTAGATGGTGTTAGCGTAGTGACACCAGAAAAGTGCAGATGGGTGACACGGAGTGCGCCACTTGTGTTCCCCCCGCAGTGACACGGTTACATTCCCCTCTGGCATAATTGCCCGACGGATGTTGGTGTGCGAAGGCGAAGGTGGCGTACCTGTGAGGGGACACTGGTCGAGGAGCAGGTTGCGGGCAACGTTGTCCAGCGTCGGGTCTCCGCGCATCGTCTGCTCGGAGACGAGGGAGAAGCCCATGAGCAGGCCTCCGCAGGCGGCGAAGATGATGTCGAAGGCGACGAAGATCATCATGAGTTTGGTCGGCATGTTGGGCGTTTGGTGCTGAGATCGGTGGACGGCTTGCCAGGGAGTTGGTTCTGTCGAAAATGGGATTGGGACGGCCTCTAGGGCTCTAATGGAAATGAATGAATGATTGACAAGAAAGCGAATGTTGGAATGGGATTAGAAGACTAGAAAACGGAGAGCCGTCCAGCGTACTCTCGCAGAACGCCTCGCTCGTCAAGCACTGCTTGCAGCAAGAAAAGAAGAGAGAAGAGAAACGAAGAAACGGAAAGGAAAACGAGAAGGAAATGGTCAAGGACGGCAAATCACTGCAGCACACAGGAGCGGGAGATGCACAGGACAGGGGCATCGGAGGGGGTGCTCCAGCATTATGAGGGAGGCAGCGCCGCAGTGGGAGGTGCGAAACGCGCGGTGCCTCATGAGTGTAGGAGGGCGGTGGTGGGCCAATCACAGGGGCGGGATGGGGGTGGTACGAGGAGTGGGCGCTTGGGTACGGAGTACTCGTTACTCATTCATTGTAGGGACGGTTGCAGGTTCAAAGTCCAACCGTCGCAGTGCGAAGGTGCACACTGTGTGATGTGAATTGGAAGGTGAGGGCTAACCGGTTGAGGCTATTCGCGATACTGGCCTTTGGTGTTGAGGGGACTCGAGGTGGCGCATCTTTTTCGAAGGGTGAAGATTATGATTAGTAATGGTCCGGTATGCGGTGAGCTGGCAGTTGGTGCAGTTGGTGCAGTTGGTGGCGCGATCTCCAAAAACCCGCCGCTAAGCCCAGTGCAGAAGGCGGTAAGGCGCTAGCGGCGAACAATCCTCGAGCCGACTGCTGCTCAGTCAGCCAAAAATGCTGGGCACCATGGGCGTCTCCACTCAAACGGCTCGTGCGCTATACCGAGGCTAGTGCCGACGAGGGAAGGCGTGTGGGTGTTGGTGATGCTCAAAGAGGCAATATGAAGAGCTCTCGCAGAAGTAGTCAGCCTCACAGTGAGGTGAATCGAGGTATCCAGCTATTGATTACGGAAGGTTTTCAGGTTGAAGAAGTGTACTCGGTACTGTGGCAGTTACATCGATGCACGGTGTTGAAGGCCCCCTCGAAACAGCGATTCAGCACCGTGCCAGGGGGTTGTGCACGCTCACATATCCTCACCCAACACGCAGCCAACCGTCTTGCAACTTTGCTTCAATCGTCACTAGCCCGCCCTTGTCACAAGCCGCAACCCGCGCGGGCGCTGCGAAGGCTTTGATGGTGACCACCTGGGCAGGAGTTGGCCCCGAGGTCGTGATGACAAGAAACAGGAGACCCTTTCCCCCTAAACCAAGATCAAATAATACCAGTGTCCGCCCGCCCACCCCTTTCCCAATCCCTCTGTCGCTTTTCCCCAACGAGATTGTGACACAGCTGATTGCCTCTTCCGAGCTTCCTTCCCATTTCCTTCCTCTCCTCTTCTGTCGGTTTTCCTCCTGTCGGCCAAGGACGGCCTGACCCCTTTCACCGCATTTCCTCCCTTCCCTCCCCATCTCCGCTCCCCGCCCCTCCGAATCCGTTCCGCCCTTATTATTGGTGCAACTTCCCTTCTCGCACCATCCCACACGCTATCCCCAAACGGATCGCGCAAACGCTTTCAACAACGCGCTCCAGGTATGTACATGTTTCCCTCTTCTCTTCTCCTTCTCTCCTTCTCCTTCACTCTTACTTGTACTTTCTCCCTCTCTCTCCCTATGAGCCATCCTTCATCTTTTTATTCTTGGCGGCGCCCAGCAGTCCTTGCACCTTGCATTCCACAACAACCTGGCGGACAATATGGCCGGGGTCGCCGTGGGTCGCACCTGCCCAACCCTTGTCCGGCCGTCACCTGGCAGGCAGGCGCACCCACCCACCTCCACCCGTCACCCACCAGCCAGCCAGCCAAGCCTCTCCCCCCCGGTCGCCCCCCGCCTCTCTTAAGACTTGACTCTTTTCATTCCAAGCGCGCCTGCTTTTCCTCTTTCATCCACCCCCGATTCTTTTGGGTCTAACCGCTCCCATTCTCAGACCTGCCCGCAAACCTGCCCGCCGCCTGTAACCCGCGCGCTGCCATAACGGCTGCCCGTCCACTTCCACCAAACAGGAAATCCCCACACACATAACCACTTCCGACCACAACCAGTTAGCCCTCCCCAATAATTCCCCAAGGTTCCCCCATCCAGATCCAGTAACCACTGACGCCTGCGCAGCTCCCACCATGGCATCTGAGATCACCGAACACGACCAGAACGCGTCGCCCTCGGTCCACGACGACCCCAACAACAACAATCCCCAGCTCGTCGGCGGCGATGCCAACCGCGGCGTCAAGCGTCCTCGCGCCGGCGACGACGATGACGACGATGACGACAAGCCTGGCCGCGAGCGAAGGAAGATTGAGATCAAGTTTATCCAGGACAAGTCGCGTCGGCACATCACCTTCTCCAAGCGCAAAGCCGGCATCATGAAGAAGGTATGTAACTTCTCTTCCCGCAACATGTCGCACGCGTTAGGCCCGTCGTATCGCTTCGCTTCGCTTCGCACCGCCTCGCCGTCGTCATGCATTGCCATCCCATCCCAGTCTTTAGCTGCGCGACTGTTATCCATCCATCCCCCCCGTCCATGCATGCGAAACAAGAAACAGAAACACGACCCTCGCTCCGTCTTCCTCGCTAACTCGCTTGACACACAGGCCTACGAACTATCCGTCCTCACCGGCACCCAGGTGTTGCTGCTCGTCGTCTCCGAAACCGGTCTTGTCTACACCTTCACCACGCCCAAGCTGCAGCCGCTTGTGACCAAGGCCGAGGGCAAGAACCTCATTCAGGTATGCACACTACACACCACGGCACCGTCCCCGCCTGTCTTCTTCCTGTCCTAACACGTGCTGCAGGCCTGCCTGAACGCGCCCGAGCCTGCATCGGGAGATGCGAATGGCGTCGAGGGCGACCAACCCGTCGAGTCTCCAGAGGACGCGCACCCCCAAGTCCCTCCTGGCCAGCCGCGCGGCATGCCCAGCAATGGAGGCATGCCACCCGCATACATGACCCCCGAAGCCGCCCTGCACTACCAGTCCTATCTTCAGCAGCAATCGCAGCAGACGGGCCAATATCCGGGCATGCCCCCGCAGGCGCAGATGCCCCGCCATCCCGGACACCAGTATCCCCCGGATCAGAAGTTGAGTTAGAAGTTTCCCGAAAAGAAAGAGGATGATCAAAAGGGCCTTTGGGCTGTGCGAACGGCGGGCCGCGTGTCAAACCGGTTATGGATACCCCCCTCCTAATGGCGAATGTAATGACGACGCGGGTGGAAAACGCTGGGGAACTGGAAGGGCGATATGAACGATAGGTAGGGATCGACAAAGGCTGGCGGCTTCAGTCATGTGGCGTGTGCGAAGGGCGGTCGGAGTGCCTCTTTTTGCCCCGGAGTCCATGGGTGTATTGACAATGTTTTGGTTGGGGTCTGTGTGCGATGCGCCGATGCTCTTTGTCCCTCTCCGTCTCTCTGTGCGTGTGTGGTTTTACTATTAGTGCAGATGCTCCTTATCTATGATATACTTGGTACTCTTGGTCTCTCGCTCGCTTTGGTTGCATGAAGGCGGTTCGTCGTTCGCCTTGGTGGGGTGGTGCGAGTGCATATGGGAATTCTCTTTGGAGATGTTGTATTCTTAAACTAATGGACCATGGGATGCAATGTCTTCATGTTTCGATCATGATGATGATGATGATGGTGTATTGCTTTATTCCGTTTCTGGACGTGCTGGCCGGATTGGGTAGACTATCCTCTATCCAGAGCTATACCGCTTACAGTATGCATGTGGACCTCGGGAGGGTGCGGGTCATCTATACCATTTGAGGTGCATGATGAAATCACACTCGATTTCAAAACGAAGACATGTCGACTTTTCGCATCACATTATCCTAATGTCCTAGATATGAACATCTTCCCACACTTCTCGCCCCTGGCCCTCACCCTTCCCCTCCTCCACATCCATCTCCCCCTCCTCCATCTTTCATCCGACCTCCAAACCACCTCTCAACCACCCTCCTCTTCTTCTCCATCTCCCCCTCCCCCTCCCCCACCCAGTCCTCCTCATCCACCTCAAAAACCGCCCTCTTCCTCCTGCCCCCAATCCTCACCGCGCTCTCCAGTCTACGCACCAACCGCTCCAACCCATCCTTGGCCTCCAACCGACTCAGATCGCTGATCGCCCCCGCTTCGACAATGCCGTTGCCGAGCAGTTTGATGCTTTGGACGAGGCCATCAATGACCTTGTTGAAGGATATCTCCTCGGCCGTCAGCACGGAGCGGCTGGGGCCCTTGAAGCGCCAAGTAGCCGCCGAGGTCGAGGATGGTATTGAGTTGGAGTCCCGCTGAGGCGGAGCAGGAGGTTGGCAAGGGACGGGCAAGGGACCGGTTCCGATGGCTACGTCGAGGAGGGAAATGGTGGCGGCGAGCGAGGCGTAGTCTGTGTGGCGGGTGATTTTGAGGGCGGGGTCGGTGGATAGGTACGTGTGGATAAGGTGCGAGAAATCGGTTTCGGATAGGGAGGCGGGGATCGGTGTGGCTGGACCGAGGAGGAAGGAGAGAGCGAGATGCCGGCGGAAGGTTGCTGATAGCGGGGATTTGGTGGGGAGGTGCGTGATGAGCGTGTTTTGGAGGATAGGATGGGTGAGGCGCCGGACGAGGGCGGTGGTTAGGTTTGTGAGCTGCGCTGTTAGAGAACTGTAGTAAAGAAGAGGGAGTGGCAGCGGAGACCTACCATGGGATCGCGGTCGGGGATGTGACGGATGAGAGATTCGAGCGTGTCTTGAAGTAGGAGGAGGGTGGATGCATCGGAGATGACGCTGGCGTCCATGGACATGAGAAGGAGGATTGATAAGGCGTATTTTCTAGGCTCAGGGGAAAGGCTGAATAGGAATGTTTAGATACCCATCCAGCTTGTTAGAGACGACGGAACATACCACTTGGCTGCGCATCGTACTAGCTCAAGCACACTTTTGAGGTGCGACGGCAGAGACCTCTTGGAACCTGATGCTGTTAGCGGCTAGGGGACCGTGGTCGCATCAGACTCACTGTGTGGTAATTCGAAAATAGGGCGGATATCCTGTTCGTGCTTCTCGATGGAAGCGCCTAGTCCGGAAAAGATCTTCTCTAGTTGGGCCTTGCTGAGATAAGTCTTCAGGTGCTCTGGATGCGACTGTATGCGCGTTAGTATGAGTTCTTTCGATTGATGTTTCCAAGGGTATTTGTTACCTCAAGAAGCTGCATATATACAACAGAGAGACTGTGTATTGAGCCAGCACAGACTGTCCAAGTCAGTAGAGAGTACGTCATGCGTAGACACCATCCACCCACTCTGATCGACCATCCATGCCGCCAGTTCAGGTGGAAGCGTCTGGTACTGGAATACCTGCTGAGCAAAGCCAGATAGGAACGCTTGATCTCGTTGTAGAGGATCTAAGGGAGTCAGTCACTATGTCTGTAATCGAGGGTTTGAGAGCGCACACCTTCCAAGCACGCAGTCCATCCACAGCTGGATAATGCATGTGCCGGAAACTTCATCGAGCGCGTAGCTTCTCTCTTTGAATCCCCGAAAAGGTGGAATACGCAGTCGGTGTCGAGCGCATTCGTCCTCTGCATTGCAAGGTAGAGTCTTTTCGCTTTGTCGTCGCCGTCGTCATCGTCGTGCACTATGCCTGCCAAAACATCCTCATCAATGGCTAGCTGCTCCTCAATTGTCGATTCCACGGGTTTCTCCAGGTCCGCCCACAGGCTCTTCATCCTCTGCTCTTCCTCTGCGCTTTTCTGAGCTTCCTTCACTAGGCGGTTCAGCGTCGATACTGAAGTTTGTGTAGGTTTTGGTGGCTTTTTCAACTCGTCGTCTTTCTTGAGCAGAACCGATGGCGTAGAATACGCGCCATGCCGATGCTCGGGATTCCCATGGCTGTTCAATGTAACCTTTTGCGGCGGAGGTTTGCTGAGACCGAAGTCAAGTTCTTCGAACAGATCGGGTTCGGAGTCTGAGTCCGAGTTCAAAATGACAATGTTTCCGTTCAAGAGTGCCTTCTTGCTCGCTGTGGAATTGGCGGAGGACTGGGAATTGGTTGGAGGTCGGTTCGGGGGTATGGGATTCGCGGTGGCGGTAGCGGTTCCCGAGCCAGAGGGGGCATCGCGTTGACGTGTTGGTAGCCGCGGGGACGGCCATACTCTGACCGTAGTTGGTGTTGTGGCTGTATCTGTTGTGTTAACACTGTGACAGATAACTAGGGGACGCGAATGGCTGTACCTCGAGGCGGGGTCAGCCTCTCTGATGGCCTCTCAGCAGGCTTGAAGAAAGATCTAATATCCCTGACGTCGGGCATTTTTACTCGGCGCTGAACTGAGCCGTGGGAGTGCACTGGGCAAAACAACGAGGTGGGATCACAGCAATGCTTGTCCGGCGAGTCGCGCCTTCACGCTAGGACGCCTCACCACAGTACGCGAGTTCACGTGGTGGGCCCTTGGCGTCGAGCGGTCGCCGGATCGTCCGTTCCCGTTCCGTCTTGCCTCCCCTAAAATCGTCTGAACGTCATCGGCGGGTTGAGGGGATATGGTATGCGGCGAGCCTTTCCGGGATGTGTTCCGTACGAAGAAGAGTAGAAAAGAAATACCAGCAAGGAAAGATGCATGCAATTGCTTGTCTAACTCTCAAGCGTGGGAATTGGGAATCAGGGACTGCCTCGCCCCTCACGGTATACGTGTGCAGCTGAGCGGAGTCGACTTCTGACAACTCTGCTTTGCACCAGTACCACACAGTACCTGAATACGCTGTACATTGGATGCGAGCATGAATGCGAGATTTGCTCACGATGGACGGGTAATCGTCTGCATTACTTTGCCCACTCGAAGCAGCCTGGGGCGTTGTTGCGCCTCGTCAGCAGCGGGCGCATGGTACTTACTGTATTGATTGCGTCTTGAGGCGGAGCTGCTGATTGCTTCAGCGGCTTGTAGAGGGCTTCGTGCACCTTTTACACAGTATATGCGATTCGGCATCTGAAGCTGCGGTCGGGAGGCTCAGCATCTGAAGATCCAGATCCGACAGCCAGAGCGGGCCCCGGATGCAGGGGCGAAGTTGGTGGTGTTTAATAAGCGCGTGTATAGTGAAGCTGCGTATTCATAATAGGAATCATAGTCATCAAAGGCCACCTTCATCACCATAACATCCATCCCGTGCCCGCCCGCCCTTTGGATTCACGCACCTTTAAACGGCTCGCAAACGCCAACCAAACCCACCGCTCCAGGCAGTTTGCCCCTCCGTCTCCCCAACTGCGCGAGATTGGCGAACGAGCATCAACTTTTTGCGGAGATTGGCCCCCATCTCCGTTGCCGTTGACGGTTGTGTTTTTCCATCGCCGGCCGAGCAACGTGCTGCCCTGCTGCGTAAGCAGCCCTTGTTCGGACCTCCGTGCTGGGCCTGCACCCCCAAACTCGTCCGAAGAGAAAGCGAACCGCCGCCGCTCTTGCGCCTCTTCCTAACGGCCTCAGGCCCTTCACCTGGCCTCCACTCCTGCTCGACGTCGTGCTTTACACCCTCTCATCCATTCGCCCTCATCGACCTCAAGTGTCGTCCTTTCCACCTGCACCCTCATATCCACGAGCAGACGTCGCTCGCTCGCTCCCATCTCGCATCCGTCATCTCGGACTTGATAATATCCGCATTACCCGAAAATACCACGTCCACACGGCTCTCACCCCCTCGACGCCCCTACTCCTCTACCACTGCGACTTCCCAATTCCTTCCTCCTTCCCAACCACCTTCTCGCGCAGGCATATTGGCACTCGCTGCGGCGTAAAGGGGTCCTCGCGGCCGGCCACGGCCAGCACCATCAGCCTAGCAGCGCCGCACCCTTTCCGCCCGCTCCGCGTCAGCTACGACAATGGCTATCGAACCCGATCGGGAGGGAAGTGAGGTGACCAACCCCGTCAAGCGGATACGATGGGCGACACACCGCGCAACAGGCACCAAAGCAGACATCAAGCGTCATTCATTAGCTGAGCGCTTGCACAGGCGGATCGGGTCCGGCGAACGGAAGAGAGACTCTCTGGGAAAAGAGACTGTCGATGGCACAAACTCTGAAGTGGAGAGCGACACGGCTGACACCGGTCGCCGTGTCTATTTCAACGTGCCGCTTCCTGATAGCGAACGCGATCCGACCGACAACACGCCAAAGGCACAGTATGCGCGCAACAAGATACGGACGGCCAAGTACACGCCCTTGAGCTTCATACCCAAGAACTTGTACTTCCAGTTCCATAACGTTGCAAACATGTACTTTTTGTTCATCATTATTCTTGGTGTACGTTCAATTCCATTCCATTGCACCACTATCGATCAACCAGCTGACACCCATCTCTAGATCTTCCCCATATTCGGTGCCTCGAACCCGGCCCTGAATGCCGCCCCTCTCATCGTCATTCTGTCAGTCACTGCGTTTAAAGATGCACTTGAAGATTGGAGAAGAACGGTGCTCGACAATGAACTCAACAACGCTCCCGTGCACAGGCTGGTGGACTTCAATAATGTAAACACTGCCGAGGATTCTGTGTCCTGGTGGCGGAGATTCAAGAAGGCCGTCTCCAGGGCGATCGTGACGATCTGGCGGCTGATGAGGCAAAGGAAGGCCAAGGGCAAAGACTTCAAGGAGCGTATCGAGGAGGAATCGAGGCCTTCCATTGACACGCACCGTGCTTCGGTACTCTCCAGACAGTCTTCGTACTTCGGCACCGATCATGCGAACCACGACGGAGAGGGCATCCTGATGACACCCGTACCGTCTCCCTTACCCGGCCAGACTCCACCGACCGATGCGCTTAACGTGGGAGGTTCCACGCATGTCAAAGAAGGCGATCGCGCGGGAGCTGGGCCCGTTCCGGCAAAGGACTATGGAAGCGTGATAAACCCATATAAACAAACGCCTGGAAAGGCCCGTTTCAAGAAAGATGCTTGGAAGAACGTCCAAGTAGGCGATTTTGTGCGCTTGTACAACGACGAGGAAGTGCCGGCAGACATCATTGTGCTTTCCACCTCCTCTGACGATGGTGCATGTTATGTCGAGACCAAGAATCTGGACGGAGAGACCAATCTCAAGGTCCGGAACGCTCTGCACTGCACTCGTGAAGTCAAGCACGCTCGCCACTGTGAAAAGGCCGAGTTCATGGTCGATAGTGAAGGGCCCCATTCCAATCTCTATTCCTACGTCGGTACCATCCGCTGGAAACAGTACAGCAGGAGGGATCCTGATGCGCCTCCTACCGAAAGAGCCGAGCCCATATCAATCAACAACATGCTGCTTCGTGGCAACCAGCTCCGGAACACTGAGTGGGTATTGGGCGTCGTCATGTTTACCGGAGACGAGACCAAGATCATGATCAACTCGGGCATCACACCAAGCAAGCGAGCCAAGATCAGCAAGCAACTCAACTGGAACGTCATCTACAATTTCATTGTCCTCTTCGGCATGTGTCTTGTCTCCGGCATTGTCCTTGGCGTCTTCTGGGCAAAGGACGATACATCGCATGCTTATTTCGAGTTCGGGTCTTATGGAAACGGCAGCGCGGCCGTAGATGGCATAATCGGCTTCTGGGCTGCTGTCATCCTGTTCCAAAATTTGGTACCAGTCTCGCTATACATCACACTGGAGATCATCCGGACCCTGCAGGCCTTTTTCATCTACAGTGATGTGGAGATGTATTACGAGCCGATTGACTATCCGTGCACACCCAAATCTTGGAATATATCCGATGATGTTGGTCAAATCGAATACATCTTCTCCGACAAGACGGGGACTCTAACGCAAAACGTCATGGAATTCAAGAAGTGTACTGTCAACGGGGTGCCCTATGGCGAAGCCTACACAGAGGCCCAGGCAGGTATGCAACGCCGCGCAGGCATTGATGTTGAGAAAGAAGGTCGCCGTGCACGCGAACAGATTGCGCGTGACCGTGAGAGAATGTTGGAGAGCATCAGAAAGATGCACGACAATCCTTACCTACGAGACGAGGACCTCACCTTTGTCGCTCCTGATTACATCGCCGACCTCATTGGAGACTCTGGACCTGAGCAGAAGAGCGCCAATGAGCGGTTCATGCTAGCATTGGCGCTCTGCCACACGGTGATTACAGAAAAGACGCCAGGGGATCCCCCTCGGATCGAGTTCAAGGCGCAGTCACCCGACGAAGCTGCTCTTGTGGCCACGGCTCGCGACGTCGGCTTCACTTTGATTGGTCGTGAGGACGATAAACTTGTCCTCAATGTCCTGGGCGAGGAACGTCGATACCAAGTCCTTAACACCCTGGAGTTCAATTCGTCCCGGAAGCGTATGAGCGCTATCATCAGAATGCCTGACGGGAAGATCATGTTGTTCTGCAAGGGAGCGGACAGCATGATCTATTCGAGATTGATTGCAAATGAACAGAGGGAGCTCCGTACCACTACTGCTGAGCACCTAGAGATGTTTGCTCGAGAAGGCTTACGGACTCTTTGCATCGCACAAAGGGAACTTTCCGAAAGCGAATATCAAGAGTGGAGCCAAGCGTACGATGAGGCCGTAAATGCTGTCAGTGGCCGCGAGGAGAAGTTGGAGGAGGTTTCGGATTATATCGAAAACGAATTATGGCTTCTTGGAGGAACGGCCATCGAGGACAGGCTTCAGGATGGTGTCCCCGACGCCATTTCTCTCCTTGGTAAAGCTGGCATCAAGTTGTGGGTGCTGACCGGAGACAAGGTCGAAACCGCTATCAACATTGGCTTCTCATGCAATCTCCTTGATAACGACATGGATTTGATCATCTTGACAGCTAAGGACGGCGACGTGGCCGCTGCGGAAGCGATGCTCGACGAAAAGCTGGCTATTTTCGGGATGACCGGATCGGAAGAGGAGCTCGCTGCTGCACAACACAACCACGAGCCTCCTGCCCCAACCCATGCCATCATTATTGACGGAGACTCCCTCAAGGTCGTGCTGGAGGATGCTATCAAGCGGAAATTCCTTCTCCTGTGCAAGCAATGTCGATCAGTCCTCTGCTGCCGCGTCAGCCCATCTCAGAAAGCAGCGGTTGTCAATTTGGTGAAGACAGGGCTCGATTGTCTCACACTTTCCATTGGCGATGGTGCAAATGATGTTGCCATGATTCAGGAAGCTCATGTTGGTGTGGGCATTGCCGGCGTTGAGGGCCGTGCTGCGGTGATGGCTTCGGATTACGCCATTGGCCAGTTCCGGTTTCTTACACGCCTAGTTCTGGTTCATGGGCGCTGGTCTTATAGGAGGCTTGCGGAAACCATTGCCAACTTCTTCTACAAGGTACGCCTCAATTGTCAGATGGATCTCTGGACCGGTTGCTCACATCGTGCAGAACATCGTCTGGACTTTTTCACTATTCTGGTATCAGATATACACCAACTTCGACAGCCAGTACATCTTCGATTACAGCTACATTGTCTTCTTCAATCTTGCATTTACCTCGCTGCCGGTCATTCTCATGGGAGTTCTGGATCAGGACGTCAGCGATAAGGTCTCTCTGGCTGTGCCTCAGCTCTACCGTCGCGGTATCGAGCGAAAGGAGTGGACGCAGTTGAAGTTCTGGTAAGTTTCGAGCTCGCTGGATGATTTGGATCATCTCTAACATTAGCAGGGCATACATGGTCGACGGTGTATATCAATCCGCTATAGCATTCTACATGGTGTACCAGCTATTCGCACCCGCGACCTTCAATATTGCCAACGGTCTCGGAATCGATGAATTGAAGAGAATGGGTATATTCATTGCCACCATCGCGGTTTGCGCCGCCAACATCTATGTCTTGTTCAACACATACCGTTGGGATTGGCTAATGGTGCTCATCGTGGTCATCAGCACCCTGTTTATCTGGTTCTGGACAGGCGTCTATACGGCGAGCATTGCCAGTTACCAGTTTTACAACGCCGCTGCCGAGGTGTACGGATCCCTGCCGTTCTGGGCTGTCCTTCTGGTTGCGGTTGTTATATGTTTACTTCCGCGGTTTTTGGCAAAGTCTTTTCAGAAGATCTACATGCCTCGCGATGTCGACATCATCCGGGAGCAAGTCAAACAGGGCAAGTACGATTATCTCGACCATGTGGAATCGTACATCCCACCACCCCCTGAGAAGGTGGAGTCTATGAGCTCCTCGGACGTTAAGTACAAAGGAGCCGATATCCAGCCAGGAGATGACGATATGAGACCGATTTACCCTCCATCTGTTGCGCCGACAGCCGGAACACACAACCACAGGAGCCAGAACGGAAGTAACAGTACGGATTACACGTTCCGTCGCTCCTTTGAAGGCCTGCCACCAGCTCAGCGTATGTCGTTAGGCGATCGACCACGTCCGTCATTCGACCGGGCACGATTCTCCATGGATCGCGTCAGAGCCAGCTTTGAGGCTAGCAACGACTTCACGTCTGCGGCCATGCTTAGCAGAATGGAGAGCCGACACAGTAGGCACAGTGTCGGTGCTTCGCCCTCCGCAGAACCGGCGGAAGGACAGCATGGCCGCCAAACGATGAGCAAGCTCCGCAACGTGTTCCGAAGGCCCACAGTCACCCGCGAAGAACCCCCGGATTTCGATCAGGATACACCTCCACTTCCTCGTAGCCCTCCTAGGAGTCCTCCTCGGTGACCTGATCGACGGTTCTTTAAAAGCTCTTTACGACCACCTACATAATCATGCCGTCGGTATAACCTGGCATTACGATTGTACATATTGACGCTTATTGGAGTTGCTGCCTTCAAGTTTGCACACAAAAGCCCTGGGCCCCGACCGTTGAAGTTTCTTTTCCCATCATCTTCTGGCGTTGGGTAGATATGCCGAACTTTTTTTTTCGAAACGTCTTTTGGGAATTGCATTTCTATATCCCCGTTTTACCTTGTTCTTCTCTTTGTTGGAGACCTGCTCCGCACTTGGGGGAGTCTGCTTGTGGGTGCATTTTCATCTTATCCTAGGGGTTATTGGGCATACGGCGTTGTTTTTGTCTGTTACTTATCCTTAGTCCTCGCACTCCCTCTATTTCTTGCAATCTATCATACTCGCTTCTCTTCGCGGATGCTTTCCTTGTCCTGTTTCTTCGTGAGTTATATATCATTCTGCATTAGCTGAAGACGGTGTTGTATGGACGCTTGGAGTGGCCGCGCGTGGATACGAGGCGAGGCGCAGTGCAGGGATAGCGATTGCATGTATATGTGGTGAATAGGCCGGTGACTGATTTTCTCATACACTGTGCCACGTCAGCGTAACTTCTGATTTAATTCAACAGTGACGCATAAAGAAAACACCTACACATCTACACGAGATCGAAAGATGACTCCTACGCGTATACTCGTGAAGCCTTGCATCCTCTTACCAGCGTTGCCATAGTCTGTGGCGGAGTGGGCCTTGTCAAACTGTGGCGGTGAGGTCTGGGGCGTTGGGAGAGCGCTAGCACGTGCGCGATCGATCTTAAATGCACCTCTCGCGTCGCGTCTTCCGGGTTTCTTTGACCACACACTCGGCTTTCTTCTTCAACCTTTACCACCCCTCTCACATCCCACTGCGGCACCTCTCTACACTAACCCGCAGTCTGAAAAGCCTTTCATTTCACTCTCCTTTGGAGCCTAAAGCCTGAGCGGTTTGGGTTCACGGACTTTCCTTCCCAGGCCCGAGATTCTGGGGCCCGGGTTTTGCATTCGCACCTTCTTCCCCTTCACCTTTAGATAGATAGACGCTCGATATAGTTGGTGACTGGCAGAACGTACAAGCCTAGGGCGATTCATGCCAAATACTCCTCCATAGACCTGCCAGCCGCCATCTACAAGCCCTGCGGGGAGACGCTCCTGCTGGGCAATGGCCCACGTCCTGGAGCGTATCAAGTAGGTGGTCGCCTGTGTACTGGCTCAAGGACCTTCGCTAATGCTTTTTCTTCTTTGACAGTGAGCTCAGAGCTCTTCCCAGCGACCTCCACCTCTTCTGCCCCCGTGTGGGAGATGACCCCTCAGCGTATCTCGACGAAGACCTCGCCGGTCAACCACCGGAGACGGATCCGGCCATCATAGCAGAGCGGAAGGACAAGATACAGCAGGCGCAGGAGCGGAAATGGCTCGCCTTCGACGCTCTCCAAATCCTGGCATTTGACGGGGAAGAGGCTGAGACTTTCAAAGCTTGGATAACGGAGCGGGTGCAGGGACTCATGACATCGTGTGACGTCTGCGTGCGTGTCTTTCATCAGTCAAGGGCAGAATGGCGGTCTAGGCTGGAGGAGTATGTGATTTTGTCATGTACGGTGACGGATACTGACCCTCACGTAGGCAATATGACGACGGGAATATTGCCGATTTCCTCCGCGTCGTGGATGGCATCTGCCTCAAGCGGATAACGAGCGGTCTGGATGAGGCTACGGCCGTCCTGGAGGCTACGGACCCGAAAAAGAGGAGTGTGCGCATTCTTTCGAACGAATCTACCTACGCCTTCTTCGAGGCTCTAAGCTGTGACGCCCTCATCCGTAATGAAGAACTGTTGCAGAAGCATTTCGATGGTCCCTTTCAGATGGTTCAGACAAAGAAGCGACTTAAGCTACCCACGGTCTTACCTGCCATGACCCGTTTTCTCTTTTCAAACAACCAATACCGTCGGGACTGGGCTATTAATGCGTGGTCAAGCATGAAAAGGAACGTCCTGCCATCGGAGTTCGACTGGGCGGTACGTGACCACCTTTTGGATGCCATGATGAGGGTGCAGATGACGAATCTCGACCTCCCTTTCACCACGCACTTTTGGTTCGGGATGAGATTGATCCTCGCCAAGGTGGATAAGGAGATCGTGACGAATTCAATCAGGGGGCTAGAGATTGACTTCTTCAAACTCATCTTAGATCATCTTTCTCTGAGATCCGAAGGATTTCTTGACCTACTGGCGACAATCACTCGGCTGTTGGAATTATCCCCAACCGATTTCTGGGATGCTATGGATGCCATTACTCCTTCTACAGCCGCTGTTGTAGAACAGATCCTCAACGGACCCATGCTTAAACAGGTACTTTTCGCCGCTGGAGAGGGTGATCAAAAACACATTGATGACCTTGATCACGCTTTCATCTGGATCACCCCTTTCCTCCTGTCTATCGCCAAAGCCACAAACTTGACTCCGGCATGTAAGGCTTCCTCTAACTTTCTCTTAAGCCGATATCAGACCGTATCCTTTCCCCCGGTTTCCAGAGCACGGTGCCTGAAAGAAGGCCTCCGTATACTGAATTACTCCTTCGAGAAGATGAATGAGGGGAAATTGCTGTCCAACTTTGTTGGGCAGCCCACTGTCAACGGAATGCTCGAACTCCTCTCCGCTCACATTCAGCCCATTGTCAACAGTTTGAAGGGGCTTGGTAGCGAGCAGAACCAGGGTACGCCGCGTCTGGCCATGTCCATGATTCATCAGGCCTTTACATTGGAGTCGCAGTCGCTGGCCGTGGAGCGCCAATTGATAACTGCGCAGAAGCCCTCGCCTACGGAGACGCCCCCTTCTAGGCCAATATGGGAGGCTGTCCTCACTGCAATTGATTCCACGCGGATTGAGCTCGCTACATCGCTCCTTATCGCCGGTAGGAATTTGATCGGGTTGGAGCCTCTTTTGATGAAGCCCTCTGTCCAAAAAATACCTCCTACGGTACGGCATTTCAATGACAGGTTCAAACTATTATCCCAATCCATAACAGAGATAATCGATCGACTGGCCGAGTTTGACCCTGCCAAGCTGGCTGCTTTGTTTGAGCAGCCTGCAGCCGCAAGCGCCATCATATCCACACTCTTCTCGTCTACTGAGGAAACTCGTAACTCTTCCGTCGAGTTGCTCAAGGTCATTAGCACTCAAGATGAGCGTCGGGATGCTATCCAGCATATCCTTAGGGCTTACTACAAGAATTCCCTGTACGGTATTTCAGAGTCATGTCGTCAAATCAGACGTAAAAAGGCGTTCTCACCGGCTCCTAGCATGGTAAAAGCATGCTCGGATATTATCGACGTTATGTGTAACTCGCAGGATGGAATACTACGCTCTCGGACCCTTCACTCGGACGAAGCCTCAGTTACAATCAGCTTATGGAAAAGTTTGTGGGATACACTTACCATGATTTTTAGAACGACGGAAGATTGGAGCAACCTGGGTTTCTACGACAAGACGGTCATGATGCACTTCTGCCGCGATACCATGCAGTTTGCCGATCAGCTCTTTGACCAGTGCAGTATTTTGGCCACCGCGCTGAAGGATGGTTTGGCCGGAGATAGAGAGGTGCCGGGCATACTAAAGGAGCTGCTGGATTGTCCCGCAAAAACTATGGACGGCATGGCTGGCTGGCTCCGATTGAGAGACGAGTATCTGTCTAGCAAATCAGTCACACTGATCAGCAAACTCCTGGTGCGATTACAGAAAGTCGCTATCGAAGTCAATCCGGATACGCTTTCCTACGTGGAACGAGTACTTTCAGGAGACGTCAAGGCCAAGCTCAGCAAGCAGCAGGAAGCCGAGCTACAGCGTGCACTGGAAATCCATCTGGGCCGTCCGCTCGCCAAGGTTGAAGAGCCTGTCAAGCAGACAAAGCAGGGCTCAGTGAAACAGTGGATATCAAGCGCCGGTGGTGCTGTGGCCGACGCCAAGACAGAGCAAAAGGAGGTGAGTGCACGACTTCTGGCCGAAGCTTCGAGGACTGCAGACGCCTTCCGCGAGAGAAGAGAGGCGATACGTGCACAGGCGAAGGCCGCAGAAGAAAAGACCAAGTCTGCCGCGCAGGCGGAATTCTTGAGGAAACGGAAGCAGGCAATAGAAAAGCAGAAGGCTGAGAAGGCAGCGACTTTAGCGAAGATCAAGAAGGCGAAGGGACTTTCCGAACATACTGCGGAAGCGGGTTCAGGATTGGAGGGACTCGGTGTGCTGGGTAAAGAGCAAGCTCCCAAAGGAGAGGGACTTATGCATTCGTCAGAAGAGTCTGGCGAGGATGAGGACGATTGGGACGAGGAGCTCTTCGGTATCAAGAACGATAATAAGTCTGCCAGTGGCCCTAAGACGAACATCGTGAACGAGCTGAAGGTCCAGATGCCAGTCAAGAAGAAGCGGGTGCAAAGATCGTTCAAGGATATGCGTGCTCGTTTGGCGCCCGATCTTACTCCGCTGCACAAGGTTATCCTCAGCTGGGACTATTTCCATGAAGGCGACTACCCACCTAATTCGAACCCTGCAATTTACTCCGCGGTCCCGAACACGTTCCGGACGCCCAATGACTATCAAAACACCTTTGAGCCTCTGCTTACCTTGGAAGCGTGGTCAGGCTTCGTCAAGTCCAGAGAGGAGAACAGCATCAAGCCTTATGAGATCCGCCTCGTGTCGCGCGCCCGGGTAGACGACTTCTACGAAATCAGCAGTACCATGACGCATGTCGAGAACAAGGACCTAGGTATCTCGGAGGGAGACATCGTGCTCCTTTCGCAATCCAAGATGCCCTCTGCCGAAGATCGCTACTGTCTGGCTCGTGTCTTCCGCGTGCAGCGGAAACAGGCCCATCTGGAAGTGTCGTATCGCGTTACTCTGAATACGCCGATGTTGTCTACTTTGAGCCCAAATGGGACTGTTTATGGCTCGAAGATTCAATCGATTACGCCTCTAGAGCGCGAGTATGCTTCCCTTTCTGGCCTGCAGTTCTATGATCTCTGCGATGAGATTATTCGCGCGAAGCCGTCCCCGCTTCTGACGTATCAGGACCATCAGCTGAATCCGCTGATTGAGAATTATAATGTGAACAAGGCGCAGGCGAAGGCGATCAAGTCCGCTATTGATAATGATGCGTTTACGCTGATCCAGGGGTAAGTTTTCCATCTCCCTAGCTGTGAACGACTGAAAGCTGAATATTTGTAGCCCCCCCGGCTCAGGAAAGACCAAAACCATCGTCGCCATTGTTGGAGCGATCTTGTCGGACAGCCTTCGCCAGCTCGGCCGTCCAGGAGGCGGTAAGAAGCTTCTGGTCTGCGCTCCTAGCAACGCCGCCGTCGACGAGTTGGTCATGCGTTTCAAGCAGGGTATCAAGACTCTGAGGGGCGAGGAGCGGAAAGTCAACATTGTACGCATCGGTCGCAGCGATGCCATCAATGCGAATGTGCAAGATGTCACGCTGGAAGAGCTCGTGAATAAGAGACTTGGTGTTACCGGCAACAATAGCAATGATGCGGACGCAAAGCGTAAGCTATTTGATGAACACAAGAAAATATCGGAGCAGGTCCGGCAGATACAGGAGCATCTCAATGCGGGACTCGTCAAAGGACCGGATGCTTCAAAACTTCAAGAAGATTTGAATCACCTACGGAAGCAGAAGGCCACTCTGGGCACGAGGATTGATAACGTGAAGGATGAGGAGAAGCACGCAAATCGAACTGCCGAGCTTAATAGGAGGCGAGCACAGGAGCATATTTTAGGCGAAGCGCATGTTATTTGCGCGACGCTCAGTGGCAGCGGTCATGAAATGTTCCAGGGTCTCAGCATCGAGTTCGAAACGGTAGTCGTGGATGAGGCCGCTCAGTGTGTTGAAATGAGCGCCCTCATCCCACTCAAGTACGGCTGCGCGAAATGCATCCTCGTCGGAGATCCGAAACAGCTCCCGCCGACCGTCTTCTCTAAACAAGCCTCGCGATTCCAGTACGAGCAGAGCTTGTTCGTCCGCATGCAGACTAACCATCCCGGCGATGTACATCTCCTCGACACACAGTACCGTATGCATCCGGATATCAGTCTTTTCCCCAGCCAGACCTTCTACGACGGAAAGCTTCTGGACGGAGAGGACATGGCCAGTCTCCGCAGGCGCCCGTGGCACGCAAGCAAACTCCTCGGCCCCTATCGCTTCTACGATGTCCAAGGCCAGCACCAAGCAGCCCCCAAAGGCCACTCACTCATCAACATCGCCGAAATCAATATCGCCCTACAATTGTACAAGCGTCTGACATCCGACTACCGAGAATTCGACTTCAAGAGCAAAATCGGCATCATCACACCTTACAAGAGTCAACTTGCCGAACTCAAGAAGCGATTCTCGCAGCAATATGGTCCCATGATTCTGGAAGATGTGGATTTCAACACCACGGACGCTTTTCAGGGGCGCGAGAGCGAGGTCATCATCTTCTCGTGCGTGCGCGCGAGCCCCGCCGGGGGTATCGGCTTCTTGCAGGATATTCGGCGTATGAATGTCGGGTTGACACGCGCAAAGAGCTCTCTCTGGGTCCTTGGGAACTCGCAGTCGCTCATGAGGGGGGAGTTCTGGAGGAAGTTGGTCGAGGATGCGAGGGCCAGAGGACGGTACACGGAGGGGGATGTGCTGGGGATGTTGTCGAGACATTCAAGTGCATTTCCGGCGCCTAAAGAGGAGTATGAGCCGGCGAAGCAGGAAGTTAAGCATGAAATGGTGCAGAGAGTCAAGAAGGAAGTCGAGGCGGGAAGTGCGGGTGGCAACGAGAAGAAGCGCTGGATGCCGGTCATCAAGAGCGAGACTGAGTTTACGAATGAGTTGCTCGGTCTGCCTAACACGAAAGCCGCAGTCGCTGTCAAGCGAGAAGATCACAAGATGGATGATGTGTCCTCGGATGTAAAGCCGAACGCAAACGGTAAACGCCCTCATCCCGACTCCGACTCCGACATCGATATGCTAGACGCGGGTCCTGGTTCCCGTTCCCCGACCACAGCGAGCGGCGTCTCCACGCCCGCAGCCGCAGGCGAAGCAACCCTTGGAACCGGAAGTGCGAGCACGACGCCCATGCCAGAGGAGGGGAAGGGGATGGAGAAGAGGGAGCCGGTGCCGGGGGATGTGCTTGGGAAAATGACGGCCGCGGGGCCGCCAAAGATTAGGAGGAGGAAAAGGGAGCCGGCGAACCCGTTGATGCAGAGACAACCGGTGAAGAAGCCGAAGATGGGTTGAATGGGGTTTGCGAGAAAGTATCATTGCATCTGCTTAGCGATGGAGGCGTTTTGTGGGCATATGTTATTCTTCCACTGCTTCTTCTCGGGGAATGGACGGGATGTATCTCTATATGTTGGCATGGGGCATTTTTGGGCGTTTTGGACTTCGGTAAGGGGTGAGTCCATGCATGCTGGCGACATAGCGACTTAGCGTGGAAGGTGAAAAAGGGAAGGGACGGAATATGTAAAGTATCTGGTGCGGGTATATTTCTAGGAGTTTAGATGTCCACTGCTCGGACTGCGTACTCTAAGTGCGGCGTTCGAGGACAGGCGCGGATTGCGTTCGTCGAAGTGGCGTGCACATGGTGATGATGCATCGTGCACGATAATACGTGGGAGTGACATACGACCCAGGGAATGACTCTGGCTGGCCTCCATTCCTGTCCGGAAACATCTTTCTCGGGAGAACGCTGGGAGGGCCTGGTTGTCGGAACGCCTTGGACCTGGCTTTCGGTGGTCTGCTTTCCAAGGTTCCCAAGGGGTTGCAGTTTCTGGGCTCCACAGTATGGGTCTTGGGACGCTTACCCATGGGCTATGGAGGTGAAGGATGCTGGATGCTGGGTGCTGGGTGCAGTGGCAGAGGCAGTGGCAGTGGCATGCAATGCTACACAGTATACCAGCTGCCGACCAGCTCCAGCCATCCAACCCTGCCCAAGTCGTCAGCTCTTTGTGCTAAGATGCTAACGGTGAGCGAACATCTGGTCCTGTACGACGCACTCGACGTCGCACCGCTGCGAAGCGTGACACTCAGTATCCAGCGTCCAATCGCCATCCCTTCTGAGTAGTCTTGCCTTGACTGCTCCTCCTCCCTTGCGTATCCAGGGTCCTTGATGCACGTAGACCATTTGGTCCAGATGTTGGTCTGCCTAGGTACCGTTCATGCTCGTTTCATCTGGGTGTCTAAAACGTACGCTTGTACAAGCACGTACACGGTTCAAGGTGCATAGTGTGTACCTCCTTCAGCTAGCCGAGCACTTGCGCTGCTGTGGTACTTTGAGGTACTCGGGATCTCTGGTTCTAGTCTTCTTCCATCTAATACCAGTTGTGACGCTAAGCAGCAGCAGACCAGAGGAGCTGAGGACGATTAGGTACACATACATAGTACGGAGTACTATGGCTTCTTCTTTCTTTCTTACTCTTGTAGCTTTGTTTGCACTGTATCCCTCTCTCCAAAAAAGAAAGGGAAATGTCACAGAAATCCGCACCACGATCATAGGACGAGACATGCACATTGTACTTATCCACCTACATAGGTACAGCATGCACTACACTGCCGACGGCCGTCTCCAAACCGCTGTGTACAAATCTACAAATTACGACTGCAGCAATGCAGCTCGTTGCAACCCCATCCAAGGCATCCCCGGCTACGCGCGTCAAGCTTTCCGGACTTGAGCGGCACGAGATCCAGAGTCCCAAGTTTCCCAGAGACAGGACTGAGAAAGAAGAAGAAGAAGAAGAAGGTAGCCGTGTAACAAGGACGAGATGGCGTGTGTAGTACTAGCGTACAGATGGGGTGAGGAGAAGTAGTACGGCGCTGCTGCGTCTCCAGGGCGCGTGACGTTGTACGAAGTACACGAGCAGAAGATGTCGAGATGGGTGCGTGGGGAGAGAAAGCTGGGATCTGGAGCTGGAGGCTGGCTGGGACGGGTAGTTGTAGGATATTCTCCTGCACAGCTGCACCCTGCACTGCATGTCCACTGCTTTTCATCGATTCGCTTCCTCATCTCCGAGAAATTGGTCTGCTCCAGTCACAGCTGTGCATCCATATATTCCCTCGTCGCCTACTCATCTCATCCGCACTTTTTTGGCTCGGTCAGCTACAGAGCCATTACTGTTTCACTGGTAGATGCTTCCACGCCTTCACCTCGACACCGGTCCCGCATTTGGGCTTAGATCGTCTTGGGCGAAGGAGATTCAGATGTCGTTCGGGCATCCGGGGATCAGTGCTTTGGAATTCGCTGGTGGTGCTACCGGCACCGGGTTGGAAGAGCGAGAAAGTAGTACACCTTCAGCGCTGAAGAGCAAGGGAAAGGCGAAAGAGAGGACGGGCTCGATCGCAAGTACAACAACAACTACTGCTACTGTTTCGACTCCCTACAAACAAGGGACTGACTACCCATCTATCGACGCGCACCTCTCCCCATTTCTCCCAGAAGTACAACAACAGCGACGTCGAAAGGGCGCCTCTTTCGTGAATCACACACCGCGCCGCTTCGAACTCAGGAAGAAAGCAAAGGCCACAACCATGGGTCTAGGTATCGACACGTCGGGCGATGCTACTGGAGCAGGGACGAGGAAGACGGCTAGCTGGACGCAGTATTGGCATCAGTCTCCGCCGAGGGATTGGAGCCTGAGCGAGGCGTTGAGGAAGGAGGGGTTGGAGATGGGTGTGGAGAGTGAGACCGGGACAGCGGCGGGCAGTGAAGGGAAGGAGAGGGAGACGGAGAGGGACAGGGGCTCTGAGATTTCGAAGAATTCGCAGTTCTTGAGAATGGGGGAGATGCCGGGGCCGCTGTCGAGTAACCCCGTGCTGGTCACGTTCCCCGAGCAGTCGACACGCGCGGTAGAGGAGGGTGAAGCTTCGGAGAGCGAGCGTTCTGAAAGGGTGTCGAGTGGTTCTGCCACGACTCCCGCAAGGTACCAGCAGAAGGATGCCCATAGTAACAGAAAACTGAAGAGAAGACGGAGACAGACGCCTTTCAAGATTTCCGTTCCGGCGATTGAGTCGTTGAAGGCGATGGGTAGTGGTAGACACTCGCCCCTGGAACCGTGGGTTGCGATGCATAGACGGGAGGCTGATAGGGAGACCGATGCCTATACGCAGCACATGGTGGCTCAAGAGGAACCCGCTGTTGGCGAAGAAAGAGGAGGCACGGTAGATGTCGAAGACGACGCAGAACCAGGAGCAGAAGGACAGGATCCCGACTCTCCCCCTCTTCTAGCCTTACAATCGTACTTCGACAGCCAGGCTTCAGCATCCACTGCATCACCCCAATCATCCGACCATCCCACGTGCTCGGGAACCTCCGCACCCACCACGCAGCACATCCCACTACCTCGTCGACCAACTCCTGAAGACAAGACCCAGAAGTCCAAAACCGAGCACCAACCCCCAATCTTCCTCATCGACGACATAGCCGTCTCCCACACGCCCGACTTACCATCCCGGAATCCCAATCGCCTCACTGGAGAGAACCCACACTCGCCCTCCCAAACCCACGCCTCTCCCACCTCCGGCATCCGAGACAGCGACTTCACTTCCGCCGCCAAAGGCCAATACTCCCCGTACTCCCCCTCCCAGCGCACCCCAGCCGTCTTCTCCCCTCCCACTTCCCCTACCAATCGCATCGCAAGCAACAGCGGCAACGAAACTCCCTATGGGCCGCAACCGGTTAACATGCCCAAGCTCCGCACCGTGGACGGACGCATCCCTTCGAACCTCGTCGTCGGGCGTGTCGGCAGCAGTAGATTGGGCCGCATGGCACCTCCGATTCTGGGCCACGAGGCTTTGACCGCGACGGCCGTGCTGAATGATTTGAGTTATTATCTTAAGAACACGGGCCCGCCTAGTGAGAACGCTTCGGCGGGGCGGTCCCGCGCGGCGGAGAAGAGGCGGGGTGGTGCAGGGGGTTTTCGGATCTTTAAAGTCAGAGGGGTGGGTAGTGGAGGTGGGAGTGGAACGGCCAAGAAGGGGAAGAAGAGTAACGAAAGTAGTCTCGCCAAGAGGGTTGGCAGTGTCGAAGGGTCGCCGCACAGGGATCGGGAGAAGGAGCGGAAAGAGGCGGTGGTGAGGAAGACGCCGGCTTGTGCGAGGGAGATGATTACGTCGGGAGGTGCGAAACATTTGCGGATTGTGATACCGTACTCTCCTGAGGAGCAGGATGCCGTTGGGGTGAAGGGAAGGGTAGAGTTGGAGGGCTGTGCTGTTGTAGGTGAGGCCAAGAAGGGGGATGGAATGTGGACAGATGAGATGTTGAATCCGTTGGGAAGCGAAGCCGTGGAGAGGGCCATTGAAGGGAAGAGTTCGTGGCAACGGGTAGAAGAGCAAGGAAACGAGAGTCAGAGGACAGCGACCAGAAGTCCGAAACGATCGCCCATTGAAGCAAAACCAATCCCCGTGCATGAGCACCCACTCTTGACAAGAGAAGAACAGACACGCGCAAGGAAACTGAGAGATCTGGAAAGAGTAAAGAAACAACTCCTCCTCGCGCATGCAGGCATGAATGGCAATGCGAAGCTCAAAGGGGTAGGCCTGGAGAGACAAGCCAAACCTCCATCGGTCGCCCGTCCTCCATCAGGCGAGGACAATGTCATCAAGAGTTGCAACGAAGCCCCAGCCCCTGAGGGCCTCGACGCCGCGTCTGCCAAAATCAGAACCCTGCAGCAGAAGGTGAATGTGCTTCAGAGACAGAATAAGCAGCTCGCTGAGGCGTTGGCATGGATAGTGGGATTCGAGGTGGAGGACGAGGAGGTGGATGTGGAAGGGTTGTTGAAAGTTTATAGGCAGATGAGGAAGGGGAGTGGAGGTGATGCCTTTGGATATGGGGGTGCAGGTGGGATGGAGCAGAGAAGGGGGAGGGTGTTTACAAGGTAATGAGAGATATTTGAGAACGAGAAGGAGAATAACTGTGGAGGAAATGAAGACGGATACGGATAAGTAAAAGGGAACGTGCGAGGGCTCTTCAAAGAAACATGTAAAAAGGGGGTGAATGACGCATCAAGACTGGTACATGGAATAGGTGAAGAGCACGTGTTGGGAAGGAGACTAATCGGAAAACAGACGATCTTCCTCTCAGAATGGGAAGGGTAAATGCTTGAAGTCTGTTGTAGAAGCTGGTAATTTCGCAGTTTCAACGAGAAGCAAAGTGTTCGAGGCAGACTACATAGTTTGAAGGTAATATAATTGATTTGCCGATGTCAACTCCTGCGCCTTGTCCGCGAAGAGTTGAACACCGCGACCTTCTTGGGCTCCAGTGAAGATAACCACGATGGATGTAGTGAGTTGTGGTGGTTGGGCGAAGTGACGCCAGTTCTATATTTAGATCCAGGAACAAGTACGACCGAACTTCTTGGTGGAAGGCCCGAATGCTAAGTCTTGGACATGTGCTCCCTCCGACCGGCACTCTTGGTCGAGCTTTCTTCTCTATATAATTAACTGTGTATACGGAAAGTAGATTCACTCTACCCGTCATTGGGATCTTCCGAAAGCAGTCACATACCCGATTCTCGCTATCGATAACCCCTCCCCCTCCCCCAGCGCGCTCTCACACCGCCGGCATTCAATTGCAACCGCCGGACACATTCAGGCAGCCCATTGCTCTTCGCAGGGAGAGTCATTCTCGTCCAGTCTATCAACACAGCTGAATAGTCCACCATGGCGTCAGAAAATTCCACCGCGAACGATAATCCCTATCTCTTCGACCCGTCGCTCATCTCCGAAGAAGTCCTCTCGAAGCTGCCCGAAGGGTACTCATGCCGACCGCTCCAGCGGAAAGACTATCACGAAGGCGTTCTTGATGTTTTGACTACACTTACGACGGTCGGCAATATATCCGAAGAAGTATGATTGCCGCCTCTCTCGTCCTCCTATCGCCATTATCTTTGTAAGTTTATTAACTGATTTCATTCTCAAAAGGGTTGGAACGAACGATTCGACTGGATGGCCAAGCGCAACGACGAATACTTCATCATCTGCATAACCGATTCCGCGAAGCGCATAGTCGGCACGGGCGCGCTCTTCATCGAACGCAAATTCATCCACGAGCTCGGCAAAGTCGGCCACATCGAAGACATCGCAGTGACGACGGATCAGCAGGGCAAGAAGCTCGGACTCAGGATAATCAACGCTTTGGAACATATTGCGGAGAAACTTGGGTGCTACAAGACGATTCTCGATTGCTCGGTTGCGAACGAGGGATTTTACATCAAGTGTGGATTCAAGAGGGCGGGGCTGCAGATGTCCTTGTATTATAAGGATCATAAGCCTAAGGGGGGTCGGTAGGAGCCTTGGGCCAGCGGGAGATATGGCTGGGGCTATTTGGGCAGATATGAGCGGGACGGTGGTTTCCCACGATTCATGGGTTCAAGATACATAGCGAAGCATGTGAAAGTGGAATTGAAATGATTGCAATGTTGGAGAACCTAGACGAGATGAGAGAATCTCGATCAAGGAGCGGCATAGTCGACTAGGAGCGGGTATACCAATAGACAGTGATGGTTTGAAAAATAGACTACCCGCAATATCCAAGGTCTGTCTTGCAAAATTAGCCTATAACATAGTGAGAGTGATATATCTGATATATCCACGCGTGGACAGACCATGTGCTCCCTTGCTATAGATAAGAGCTTCTCAAGGCTTGCTCCTTGTAAGCTGCGTGTTGGGGAGACAGTGGGAGCAAGTCTCAAGTTGCGTAGTAACGAAGGGAAGATTACAAAGCAGGATGAAGCAGTATCTGGTTACGAGCGACTACGTTGATATAATATCTATTGTTGTTATAACCCTAGGGTAGGGGCAAAGTTAGGTTTCATACAATGAAAGGTGGCTATGAACCAATCAGACGACAACACCGCACCAGTTCCACTATCTCGCCAGTCAAACCCTCCGCCTACCACAACCTCCAACAAGTAAGACACCGCCCCCCACGGGATTATGCAGTAGGTTACCTCATTTGTTTCTCATCTCACGATTTACCATGCCGAAGGTATCGGCATCGTTTAAGAATGGCGGCGCGCAGAGTTTTCATCCACTGAATCATCCTCCAGGCACCTGATTCCGTGAAAGAGTTGTGATCTGGTTTACGCCAAGTTTGCTACTTCAATCGACTGCAACTGGAGCTTCCATATGGAGAAGGATGACGGCAGGAGCTCTTCCTGTCAAGAAAATGAAGATGACCAGGCCGCGCCGCCCTCGCCATCTCCTTCATTACCTAACTTAATGGCTTCAGCCGAGACACATCCATCCGCATGCTCTGCAACTCCGAATGGTGAAAAGTTCCAGCCCTTCGATTCCAATACCGCACCTCAGATCGAAACCGGCCTGCCCCCTGAACTTTGGACCCTCATTAACTCTGTCCCGGCCACTTTTCCCCCACAGTACTTCCTCGAGGTCTCTCGTAATCTTCTCGAGAATCCCAACTTGACAGCGTCATATCTTTCTCGGGCAGAGCTCTCGTACTCCAGTTTCACAGACGCTTCTTACAACCCCGCTGCCCAGCATCCTCATGATCTAGCGCGCATCATCAAGCACCTGAAACCCGACCACCAGCCATTGCTCGTTCCAGGAGGATTTCCCGGATACGCACTCGAATGGACCGTAGTCCGCAAGCTCATACCACGAAACCCAAAGCTTGATGCACCCTTATTGCAGACATGCCACTTGTTCATCTCCCACGAACCCATCAACATCACCAATCCGGAGTCAGGAACTACGGAGACTGTGAAGGCGGAAAGGTATCTGGTAGTATACATACCACACGCGTCCACGCCTGAAGAAATCCCCTTTTACCATCCCACCGTCCGCCAACTCGCGATCCTCTATACCTGGCTCCCATCCTCTCCCACGTCCGTCCCCAGCCCTGGCACCCTGTCCCTTTTCTACACCCTCTTCCATTCCCACTCCCTCACAACTCGTCTCAGCCGGACCGCCCTCAAGATGCTCGAGATCATACACAAGCACTCCCGTGGACGAATGGCAGGTTACCAAAAGCGCGTGCAGCACGACGTCATCATCTCGCAGAAGCGGTTCCAAGATCGCTATGTGGAGCTCAAGGGGAAATATGCAAAGGAATTGATGGAGGGCTGGGTGGAGCAGACACCAGCAGAGAAGCACGTTTTTGAAGATTTGGGGATTGCGGCGTTCTTGATCGAGGTGTGGGGGGATATGTATGGTGCGGATGGGGAAGAGGAGGGGAGCCGAAAGAGGGATAGGAACGACGAAGGCGACGAGGAGTCTGAGAAACAGAGACAGGACGCAAGACGACTTCGTGCGCCGAGGAACTTCCCTGGTTTTGTGGATATCGGCTGTGGGAATGGGCTACTCGTTTCTATTCTCAATCGCGAGGGATGGCGAGGCTGGGGTTTCGACGCTCGAAGACGGAAAACATGGGATACGTTTGATGTGGAGACTCAGGCGAAGTTGAAGGAGATGTTGCTCGTGCCAGAGGCGCTGCGCACGTCTAGTACCCGTAATGACACTGACGGGAATGAACCAAGCGCCCCAACAGGCACTACATCCCCAAACTCCGCAGTCACGTCTCACAACGGCATCTTCCCGCCTGGCACGTTCATCATCTCCAACCACGCCGACGAACTTACGCTCTGGACTCCGCTAATCGCACACCTCTCCTCCTCCCCCTTCCTCGCCATTCCCTGTTGCAGTCATGACTTTGGCGGAACCCGATTCCGTGCCCGCTTTAAGACAACTGCTACTTCGTCTTCTTCGACTCCTTCTGCAGCTCCTTCTGATCCCACTGCCACGAAGGATACACAGAAGAAACTCCACCCCGGCAAACAACCCTCAGCTTACGCCTCCCTGTGCAGCTACCTCGCGTATATCGCTTCTGAAGTGGGCTACGTCCCAGAAAAGGAGTTCTTGCGGATCCCTTCGACTCGGAATGTTGCTATCCTGGGTAGGAAGAGAGTGCAGTGGAGAAAAGAGGAGGAAGACACGGGTCTGGAAGAGAAACTGGAGTTCCTGAGGGGATTAGTGGAGCAAGAGATGCCGGATTGCAGTATTGAGCAAGTGTGGGCGCAGTGGGTGCGAAGGGGTGGCGGACTGGTAAAGGAGAAAAAGGGAGGTGGGCATTAAGTTGCACTTGGAGTCAATGGCACAGAAGTTTAGGAGGAATTAAGCCTCTTCCCCAAGCAGTCTCATCTCGTGCGAATCAACATCGAAAAATGATCATGGAAGTCGAGCTCCCTTTGGCTCTTACGATCCATGGATCCAACCTCCTGCGGTGTGAATGCACGGTCCACCCCTCCCTTCCCGACGCGAAAGCGAGAGCACATCGTATCGCCGCGTTTCTTCCCCGCCCCGCGGAGCCCCAGGAACCAAGGCTTCAGACACATGCCATACCCAATATCGTGCCATGACCTGACATTGTTAATTCCCCGATGTGACCTACCTACTAGGTAGCACATCGGGTGTTCCGCAAATACCATTCATCAGAGGGGTTCAGGACTTCCCGTTACACACTGACTTTTCCACTTAGCGTCACTCCACCTCAAGATGGCTTCCCCAATGGCGGCACGAAGATGCGTTTCCCTAGTTCCGCAACTTCGACCACAATTGCGAAAAGGAGGATGGAGCAAGGGCTTTTTACGCAGCTTCTCATGCACGTCCAATTGGCGATTGCATACCAAGGATATGGATGAGGAAATGCTGGCAACGCTGAAGGTGAATCAGGGACGGTTGATGGAGGATCTACATTATACGTGCCAGTGGGGGACGGGCCAGAGATGGGGAGAGTACGTTGCTTCCAATTGGCTTTTTCCTACTGAAGATCAAGCTTCACTGCCCATGCAACCCCGGGTCTACAGTCAGCTTCAATACACTGATGCTGACGAGCAATCTATAGCAAACCCACCGAGACTGGCATGTCCCGCCTCGCCCTTACGGATGACGACAAAAAGGCCCGCGACTGGTTCGTAGCCACCACCAAAGCCCTCGGATGCCATGTCACCGTAGACAGCATGGGAAACATCTTCGCCGTGCGTCCCGGTCTCAGAAACGACAAGCCTCCCACATTCGTAGGATCGCATCTCGACACACAGCCCAGCGGTGGGCGATACGATGGCATACTAGGAATCATGGCGGGCGTTGAGATGCTCAGAGTCCTGGCGGACAATTGGGTGGAGACGACGTATCCTGTCGGTGTTGTGAACTGGACAAAGTACGTTATCGCCGGTCCACCACACATGCCCTCGCCATATTCATAGTTAATCCACACCTCCAGCGAAGAAGGCGCCCGCTTTCCCTTGTCCATGTCCTCTTCAGGAGTTTGGGCCGGCGCCATCCCCCTCGCCAAAGCTCATGGACTCCGTGAAATCGCACCGGGCACCGCAACCATGGCCGAGGAGCTGGCGCGAATAGGGTACTTGGGAAGTACGCCGGCGTCGTACCAGAACATCCCTATGGGTGCACATTTCGAGTTACATATCGAACAAGGTCCTCTTCTGGAGATGGCCAACAAGAAAATCGGCATTGTGACGGGTGTCCAGGCATACAAGTGGTTAACCGTCAGAGTGAGCGGGAGAGGCACTCACACAGGTACTACGGATCTAAAGTCCCGCGCAGATGCCCTCTTGACGGCATCGAAAATGATAGTGCATAGCCACAAGCTGGCGACCGCGAACTCCGCACTGGCAAGCACGGGGATCCTGAACCTGAAACCCGGATCCACCAACACCGTTCCCGGGGAGGTAACTTTCACCCTCGACATCCGCGCCAAAGCGAACGAGACAGTCCAGAGATTGAAACAGCAGATCCTAGAGGACTTCAAGAAGATCGCCGAGGGGAGGGATGTCCAGGGGTCCAACGAAGGCTGCACCCCTTCTCTCCCCTGCACCGTTTCCATAACAGAAGACTTCGACTCTCCTGCCATGACGTTCCACCCCGACTGCATCTCCGCCGTTAATCAAGCCGCACAGGCCGTCCTGGGACACAACAGCCACAATCTCGTCATGGACATGGTGAGTGGTGCAGGTCATGACTCTGTATACGCGAGCAAGCGGTGTCCGACGAGTATGATTTTCGTGCCGTGTAGGGACGGCGTGAGCCATAATCCTACGGAGTTCTGCAAGGAGGAGGATTGTGCGTTGGGGGCGCAGGTGTTGTTGCAGAGTGTGATACGGTTTGATCGAGTGAAGGATGAGAGGAGGGTGACTTGGAAGCAGGAGCCGTATACCCTTTAGGTTCTGGGATGGTAGGTGTAGACGAATCATAGACGATGCCGCAATTAACATTCACACCGTGATGGAGAGAGCAGTTGAATGAAGTGAAATATACAATGACTTAGCTGCTTTGGAAGTGTCAATAAGTCGGGTATCTAATGCATGTTTTCCTTGAACTCCTGCTATGACCTTCCAAGGTTCCCAAAAGTGATAATAACGGGAAACCTAGACGAATCATGTTCCCTGCCTGCTCCCAAACCGCGCTGCACAGAAGTCACATCCGTCCGATCTTAGACAGCCTTCCCTTTGCCCTTGCCCTCGTACGCAGGCTTGACGTCCTCCTCCGAGACCTCCTCTTCTTCCTCGCTGTCACTCATAAACTCATCATCTTCATCTTCCCAGCCGTACATCGCCCTCGGCGCGACGGCAGGCTTCGACGACGAACTTCCAGAAGCCTGCTCATCACTGGCTTCCCCCTCCTCACTACTCCCTCTCCCCTCCGCCCTCAACATGGCCTCAATCGCCTCCCTGGTTTTCTGCTCCGCCTCCTCCTTCCCTTCCAAGAATCCGGCATCCAGCCTCCCCCTCCCACTCCTCAGCTCCTCCTGCTTCCTCTCCGTACTCGCAACAATATCCTCCCACCGCTTCCTCTTCTCCTCCCTCTCCTTCCTCTCCATCTCGGGTTTACTCGCCAGATACTCCGCTAGAGCCTTTGCCTCCGCGACTGTGCGAAGACGCCGTCCATCGAGGTTGCGCGACGAGCCGTTCTGCTCGCCTTGCTTCTTCCTGCTAGACATGCGGCCGCCTTGGGCGCGTAAAATAGATCCAAAGCCGCCTTTGCCGCCGCATAGTGGAACGGTTAACCGGAGCGGGAGGAACGTGTCTGATTCCGATGAGAGCAGTGTGGATGTGGGTGCCGTTGACCATGATGAGACTATGCGTCGGTTTGTGGTTGTGAGGATGTACGGCGAGGAGTGGGTCCATTCGAGGCGCGAGGAGAGCGTGCTGTGGATTTCAGAGATGGGGGCGTCCTTTGCGGAGGGGAAGGCGAGGGTTTTGCCGTCGAGGGTGTTGATTAGGATGGTGACGGGGGACGCCATGGTGGCCGGGATCGCGAGTAGAAGATTCGATAGATAATTCTGTTGTATGCGAATGACACGGACTACGTCGGCAGCGTCGGTTGTGGACGTGGTGGAACTAAAGAGTGATGGTGAGTGTGGTGGTTGGGTTTGTCGATGAGGCGGCGTCGCATATCTATCGTGAGGTAAGCACGCCAAGATACTTGTTGGTCCATGCGCTCGCCAGTTTTCTTGGCATCTCCCCCATCGCACTGCAATTATCCCACGACCCCAATTCGACCTCCCATCGCCTCAACCCACGACCATCCACCCGACAGAGCATCCCCGGAGCCATCACTCAGCCGTCAAGATGCTTATCCCCAAGGCCGATCGCAAGAAGATCCACGAGTCAGTACTTTCTCAACATGTGTATTGTTTGCGCGAGCAATATCTTTGTGGGATATTTCCCGAAATTCCCCATTGACTATGACCTTCCCTTTGCCTGCAGAACATATCCCCAAAACCTCACTAGACATGTAGCTGACATTCAATTATAGGTACCTCTTCCGAGGTTAGTATTACCGCCGTTCTCGCGAAGCCATGGCTATGGCACAAATCAACAACATTTTTCGCGGCATATGCTGCATTATAAGGATAGGCTGACACACGGTCACCACAGAGGGCGTTCTCGTTGCAAAGAAGGATCTCAATCTCCCCAAGCACCAAGATATCGATACCAAGAACCTCTATGTCGTCAAGGCTTGCAAGTTCCCCTCGTCTTCCTCGGAGGGAAACCGGCATCTAACAGTCACGCAGGCCAGTCGCTCACCTCCCGCGGCTACTTGAAGACCCGTTTCTCATGGCAGTGGTACTACTACACCCTCACCCCTGAGGGTCTCGACTACCTCCGCGAGTGGCTCCACCTCCCCGCCGAGATCGTGCCCCAGACGCACATCAAGCAGCAGCGCTCGCACGCTCCTCCCCGCGGCATGCTCGGCGGAGATTCTGAGAGGCGTCCCGGCGGTGGCCGCGGCGCCCGTGGCGACCGTGAGGGTTACCGTCGCCGTGAGGGTGGTGAGAAGGGCGAGGGCGCTCCCGGAGAGTTCAAGCCCCAGTTCCGTGGCGGTTTCGGACGTGGCTCGGCTCCTGCTTCTTAAGCGATGAATGCATGTGAATGCGGCGGTTGGGCTGGGCTGTATGTCGCTGGGAGTCTCGGATGGTCTTCACGTCGGACTTTTTGCTGTATCCAAAAGAAAGAAGGAACTGGGCGAAATGGCAGGGATGGACAACCAACATGCCTCGGATCTTATGGCGAGAACCAAAACGAAAGGATGATACGGGTACTGCAATGTACAGTCCGTCTGGCCTGCGGCTACGCACGCTCGGTTAATGACGCTTCCCAATGATACCCCATTGCAAGTGAACAAAGCGTTATGTGAAGATGGATCTGTCATAGCTTAAGGGTACTCCCTGCGTTGGACCGTGTGTTATCAAGATACCTTCCTGGTGGCGCTGCAATTTACCTCGTTAGGACCCGTGCTAGATTGCAGTATGACGCGCATGCCTTTCAAGGCTCTCTGGTACCGCCGAGCTGTCATTTACCTAAATGCCTAGTTTTAGCTTTTACAAGATACATATATGGGTTGAGTGTCCCTCGCATCATCGACTGAATTGAATGACGGACAGAAACATGTATCTCTACCCACCCAATTCCCTCCCACATATTCTCCTCCTACTCCCTACGCACCAATCGACCGATCCATATCGCTCTCCCCACCATACCCTTGCTCCCGGCGCGCTTTACCCGGCTCCTCCGTCGTCCCTTCGTCTACATTGCTCCCGCCAGCGACGCCGATCCTACCGGTCGTTTGGCCCGCGGGACCGCTGTGTCGCTGTTCCTTCACCGTGGGTCCTACGTCTGTGGTGTCGTCATCGTTCGAGGATGTTGAAGTGGACGAGTAGGCGGGTGCATCTTTGGTATTCTTGGCCGAGCCTATGGATATGAGTCCAATGTCAATCTGCCCGTTCTAGAGTATGTGTATGTCCTTCTGGGGGATTGGAGAGGGGGAGGGAGGGGGAAGGTAGTATGTGGAGGATTGGATGCGTGAAGAATGATGGACAGGATAGGTACGTACCTCCGAGGACGCCGGATTGCTTTGCGTGCGGTTGGATGTGTGTGGCTGCGGATTCGTATCTGCGGGTGTGTTAGAGAGATAGAGAGACACGCCGGAGAGACCTGTGGGAAGACAGAGAAGGGGGAAACGAGGAGGGAGGGAGGAGGTTGGACGTACGGCGTCTGCTGGCCTCCGGGTCCAATGTCCACGACGTTGGGATTCGATGACATGGTTGGTGTGGCTGTAGGAAGCAAAGTGGAATTGGGACGTAGGGTTTATACTGCTGCAATTGCAAGGCTGGTGTTGTTTTTTGTTGGGGGTTAAGTAAAGCTTGACTGTTGAGTACTTCATTATGCGCGAGTATAATTGCTGGGGTATGACGTAGTGTGCGGTCGACAAATCATTCATTTCCCTGTCCCTTGCGGCATGCAGTGCCTATATCAACGCCGGAATGTAAATGCATAACCAGAATAAAGCGTCCTTCTTGCATAATAAAGGATCCTTGAGAACGCCATGAAACACCCTTTCCATCCCATCTGCTCCCTCACCAACTCTCTCGCAACCCCCTTTATTTTCTCCTAATCGAAGTCCAACCCCATCAAATGACTCTCATAAACCCGCATATACTTCGCCACAAACGCCTCGAGATGAAAGATGACCTTACTCCCCAGCCTGCACCTGTGTTCGTAAAACGCCGCCCACTTGACGACCTCGGGCTGAATCTCTTCGGGCGTCTTGGGGATGAGTTTCCAGGTGAGGGTTTTGATGATGGTCGTGGGGTCGATGCAGTGGGAGAGGAGGTCGTAGAGCTCGGAGCGGACTTGGAGGAGGCGCGCGGGGCTGCGCTCTTGGACGATTTGCTGGGCGATTTGCGAGATGAGGGCTTCCCAGTCAGGTGGCGGGATGGGGGTGTTTTCGGTGAGGTTCTCGCTGTGGGGAAAGCAAGTGATTAGTATAAAGCTTCGGAACCGCCTCCGCTGAACAGGGAGAGTGATAGAGAAGAAGAGACTCACTTCTGCGCATGTACCGCCTCATACATCAACAACGCCCTCCTCAGATTCCGCCCACTCTCCTTCGCAATCCGCGCATTCAGGCCCTCCACGTCCCTCCACCCCTCCTTCTTCCCCACCACCCTCAACACATCGCAAATCTCCCCCTCCGTCGGCGCCGCAACCCGCACCAGCAAGGTCCGACTCCGAATGGGCGCAATGATATTGCTCGTCGAATTCGCTACCAGGATCAACCGCAGATTCGGGCTGTACTTCTCCATCGTCCGGCGCAACGCCGCCTGCGCATCGCGCGTCAAATGATCCGCCTCATTGATCACGACTACCTTGAATCTCTGCTTGGCACTCAAGTCGACCTGCTGCGTCTGCGCCACTTCCTTCAGTAAATCCTGAATGACGACCCTGTCGTAGTTGCCCACATCTGAAGGTGTGATTTCCAAGTGATAGACCGAGGCGACGATGTTGAACTCGAGTTTGCGGTTCGTCGTCGTCTGGAAGACGCGTGCGTCGATTTTGATCTTTTCGACGCCCGGGCCGTAGAGTTCTTTCAGGGTGGCTACGATGCGGGTTTTCTTGCCGGCGCCCGAAGGGCCGTAGACGAGGAGGTGGGGGAAGTCTCCGCTCTGGGCCTGGGGTGAAGGTCAGCAGAGGAACGCAATGAGCAGAGGGGAGTATTGGGAGCCGCTTACGAGTGCTCTGAGACGGTCGGAGAGCTCCGGATGGTAGGAGAGAGATTCGAGGTTCCGGGGGCGGTGCTTGTCTACGAGGAGAGCCATTGTGAGGGAGTTAGGTGGTGTTGATGATTGGGTCTTGCGATAGTGTGAAAGTGAGACGCGTCGGTCGCGTCGCGTAAAGTGGTCTTGGCATTACCTGCATCACATGACGGGTACAATTCACCGTTCAATTGACAGGTACTCTAGGTTCTCTCTCTGTAACAATAGCGACAGTGTTATACTGAGAAGATTGCTCAAATAAGCAAGCTTATGCCCTTCCTGACACTATACAGAGTGAATTACAGAAAAATATGCCACATGGGACTGTATCCATTGGTGTGTTGTACAAAACGAAAAATCCATGCAATACGCAAGGGGTATCATGACTCCGCCAGCGCCAATAGCCAAGCAAGAAAGTGGTACATCAAGGCAACACAAAACCACTTATTCAAAGTATCATTCTCCTTGAGCCCAGGCGAAGCGTCCAACACAACCGCCCCGGCGAGAGGATCCGGATAGGCCAGCAAAGACCATGAATTGGATGGGCAAAGAAACGTTGATTTTAATACCGTCGGGAATCGTATGAGCGGCTATCGTATCCGTTTGTATTGCTCCTGCCGCGGTAGTAGTCATCGTCGTAGACGGATCGAGGCTGAGAGTCGTAGGGACTCCCATTCAGACCTGTTGCCGCTCTCCGAGGGCGGCCATTGTCAGAGTCCTCTTCGGCCTGACGTCTGGCCCAGTCGTTTCTCTTCAGCTCGGCCTCTCTTGCAAACCTGCGATTGTCCTCCTCGGGGTCGTACATGTTCGACGCGTAGTAACCGCCCGGGATATCTCTAAGATTTGGGTCGGACTTAGTTCCGTAGTTCGTTGGTGGTGGGCTCCTCGCACGGCGCCCTTGTGTGGTCGAGCCTGTACGGAAGTGTTGGTGGTAGTGATGGTACGAGGCATTCGGAGGGTTCCATTGGTTCTGACTCGCCGTCGACTGGGTGCGTCTACGCTGCTCAGGGACAGGTCCGTCGGATTGGAAGCTCCTACTAAGGTCGTCGTCATGGACTTTTCCGCCACCTGGAGCTGCAGTGTAAGGCTTGCGTTCTCTTTCAATGGGAACAGCAAGAGGTCCGCCATCCTCGTCCTCCGACTCAACCGCATGTGAGTCTTTCGTGTTGGATTGGTGGATATAGGGGCTCCGCTCACGCTCCAGGGTAGTTGATGGCGCAGTAGAGTGACCCATTGGGGGTGGCGGAGGGAAGGTGGGCGCTCGCCGAAGGGGGCTTACGCCCCCAGCAGCCATTGCTGCGGTGCACCTTTGCTGTGCCTGGAGATTCTCTCTATGGGGAAATAATCGCCGAGGGAGTTCCTTAGGAAAGCGTTCTTTGCAGTCGTCAGCATTGCTGATAGGCATGTCCAAGACGGCCTTGGACAGCCGTTCATATTCCGCGTCAGGGTAGGCTTGTATCATGGCAGTCATCCACTCTTGGAAGCCATGCGGGGTAAGTGCCGGAATGAAGGGCTGGTCGGCGAGGCTGCTTTGAATGAAATGGTGTTGACAACGCATTTCGCGGTATATCTTAGCTAGACTCGTGTCGCTCAGCTGCCCAAATATAACTGTCGGTTCCGTTAGTAGTCCGTTAGTACCTTCTCCGCACAATACTTACTTTGCCATGGGAAGATCTCATCTGGGAGCTTGACATCGCCATATAACTTGAGCATCTTGGAAGGAGGAATAACTAGACTCTTTTTCGGCTCATAATCCTCGATCTAAAACATAGTTAGGGAAAGTTGATGTTCCAGCTCAGGTCTACTACTGACTAGGTGTACTGCGAGGCCTCGAAGGAACTGGCCGAGTCGCGGGGTGGGTTGGCCCTCGGCGTCAAACAAGGTCTGCCACATCTTCTCTATCGGAGTGAAGTCTGGGTCTGTAGCCATCCTGGGAGCTGCGCCAGGACGGGATTTTCGCGAAGCCTCCGAAGCCGAGTCATCCGGTATGGTCCGGTAGGAGGATCTATCGCCAGCACCGTCAAACAGAGGGTCGTGAGCCAAGGGATCGGGGGAGTGGGTTCCCTGGCTGGAGTAGTCCGGGTGTTTGGGTGAGGGCGGAGTGTACACGTCTCGGGAAGGAAAAGAAGCAGACGTGGAGGTGGGCGAGTGAGGCATGTGGTGCTGCGGCGGGGCGGAAGGCTGAGGTTGCACAGGAGCACCGCCCACGCCTTGCGACTTGATCTCCTCCAGGACGGATCTCTTCACTTCGGCTGTGATCTGGGCAATGAGGGCCGGATCCACTGTCCTGGCGGCGTCCGACTTGTCGAAGGCATTGTTGAGGGCATTGTGGAGAGGCTGGGAAGACTGGTGCAAACCATCCGAGGGAGCGGCGGAGGATGCGCGGGATCGCTGTCCATGGGAATCCTGATAGTGGGAATGGTGGTTGTAGGAGCCTGGATAGGGTATATAGTCGTTTATCGGGTCGTGCGAGGACGACTGCGAGTATTGCGGTTGATGGTCAGGTTGGCTGCGGTGGTGGTTGTCACAGGCTGCCATGGTGTAGTCGGAAGACGGGGATTGGCCTGGTCGGCAATGACACTACAGATGCAATAGCAAGGTGAATGCAGTGCAGGTCGATGTGTTGACTGCCGCGCAGCGCACGAGGATTGCGCTACATGCAAGCGCGCTAGAGAGGTTGTATCGACGAAGAGAAGGCGCAGGAGAGGAGGACCAGGCGGAGAGGAAGAGAGGAAGGATATAAAGATTGAAAGTGGTAGACCAGGCCGCGCCTCAGCCTTTAGGACACCTGGAGGGCAAGACAGGTTGCCTCTTTGTCGGGCGGCGGAGGAGCAACAAGCAGTTTTCCGGAATAAATAGAAGAGCGAAGGATTTGGGATGCGGGCGAGAGAGGAGTTGTGGGCAAGAGCTTCGAAGTGACGATATAGTACAGTTGACGAGGAAAAAATGGTGGAATGACTGCAAAGCTTCACGTAGATGAGAAAGAGTATGAGTTCACCGGTGGGCTGGACTTGGGCAGCTCCATGTCCCAATCTGGAGGGCAGCGCAGCGCGCCTAGGTGTTGCGTCATCGCCCGCCAAGAATCTCCAGCGACCATCCAGAGGTGCATAGGGCTTGAGGGTTCTAACAGGAGATATGTACCGTGGAAGAAATAGAATCCCACGCGACAGAGGAGAGAGTGTGCTACATGCAGAGAGCGCGCATATCGATTAAGGGGTGAATCCATCTACAATAGAGCGAAGGAGACGGAGTACTGGGCTAGCAGAGACGGTCGGATTCTTTCGCCCCTTTCATAACTCCAAAACCGAGGTCGCCTGTAAACTGGGAGACTCATTATCAGTTGCTTTGTTTGTTTCCTCGGCTTGTTTCAGGCAAACAAAACAACAACGACAACAGAGGGCTATGTAGTCTCAGTTACTGATTGATTGATGCAGGGGGAGGTGTCCCGTTCATACTGTGCAAGACGTCTTCTGCGCAGAGCAGGAAGGCTGGCCGCGTGCCTGGCAACCATTGAAATGCATGAAACCCATTCTCTGTCGTGACCACTTGGTCATTTCATTTCATGGGGCACAGCAATACCTGTGCTATTCACGGAAGCGCTGGTGAGGCTCATCACTTCTCTGGCGGCTACTAAGACAGCAAACCTATGCCTTCAAGGCTCGCTGAGACGGCCCACGCATTATTATTATTGCTCGGGTTCGTAACCGGTGGGTGTCAGCATTATTCAGGAGGGCATTATAATAATCCTAGGTACCCGTAGTTCCGCGTAGAATGCGGATGTTCGCACTATTGTATCCGTAGTCAGATACACTTCACCGTAGGGGTCCTCATCCACCCACAAACCCACCCCGCATCACTAGCATTATCACCAGTATCCACCAGCATCACCATCGCTGCTCTTTATCAGATTCATCATTATTGCGCGGGGATGTCGGCGACAAGGTCAGAGGCGACTCTGCGCGCGGGTCTCGCTGCGGTGCCTCACTGAAACCTTAGCGTGTCTGAGGATGCCGTAGCTGCCCCTCTCATTGGCTGTCCCCGCTGCACCCTCACGACTCAGCGCCCGTTGCTTCAGGACCCAACACCATCGCGCTCCTCCTGCTGCCCCCGTCCTCTCCGTCCTCCCGTCCTTTTTCTCCGGTCGCTGCCCCCACCACTCGTGATTTTTGTTTCGTCCGCTGAGTCTGCCGCTCGGATCTGTTTCTCACTGTCTTCAACGCTGCCAACAACCTCCCTTTTAGTCTACGGGACTCCCCATCCCGTTGATAAAGACCGAAAACCGCCACTCTCGTGAAAGACGCTCCCCCAGTCCACGTCGCCCGTCTCCCTCCAGTCGCCTCACCCTCACTCCCTTCGACTGCTCGCTCCCACCTTCATTCACCGTTTCGTCCTAGCCAACCTTTAATCACTTCGACGCCGTTGTACGACAGCTCTCCAGCGCACACCAGCGGCACCTCTACCCCTCCCGCAGTACTTTGTACCCGCACCCGACACTGCGTTACGCGAACCGCTGTACCGCGTGCCTCTCCACCCATACTCATCTCCGACCGCTCCCCTATTGTCCACACCTGCGACCGCTGCCTTCGCTATGAGCTTGTAACCGGATCCTCCTCGTTTCCCGTAGTGCGAACGACCGCCCATCGCTTTCTCGGGCAACAGCCGATTCGAAAGAGCAAGACGCATATCGCCGCTCGCTCCCATCTGTAACATGGCTATGCTTGCGTCCAAGTCGCCTTATTCGGCCCCTTCTTTGGGAGCTGCGTCATCCTCGCAGGCCTTGCCGCAGTACAATACTACAGTGACCACCTACCGCACTCATGCGACGCCTGCACGTACCGAGCATGCCTTCTTCGCCTCTCCCACCGAGTCCGAGTTCTCCGAGAACTACGATGGTCCTGATTCTGTTAGGTACGTTGGGCCTCCTGTTGTTGCTGTGTAAGGCTCAACTGATTCGTCTAGACACTGGAACGAAGAAAGGGTCGGCGAATGGCTCAAGTCAATCAACTGCGCACAATACATTGACCTATTCAAGCGTACGTGGTCCGGCTTCAACGTACGAGTAGCTATCTGACTTGGACAGGGAACAACATCAACGGCGAGAACCTCTTGGAAATGGACCAGACCCATCTCAAGGATATGGGCATCAAAAAGGTCGGTGATCGCGTTCGCATCGGGACCCACGCCAAGCAACTCCGAACCAAGGAGTACAAGAAGGCCTCCAAGCGGACATCGAATAGGGTAAGCATCTCATCGCTATACCTACCTTGAACGTGTCTCACCTGCTCCTTAGCAATCCCTCGCATTGCTCGATCATACCGCATATACCCCGCCCTCCTCCGGATCCCCTCGACCCCTCCACTCTGCACGCACAAACACGACAACGAGCTCAAGGGACAAACGAGTGTCAAGGCAATTCACCGGCTCGCTTGGCGCCACCGACTTGAACTATGCGCCTGGTTCTGGTTATGGCTCCAAATCCCCATCCCGCCCCGCTTCTCCACAGGTAGACCCGGAGAGCCGTGGTCTCAGGTCAGCGCGTTTTGCCGGTGTGAACAGCCCAAAGGAGTCTGGAAAGAAGGACTATGCTTCGTCCTACTCAAGCCACCCCTTGAGTGCGTCGAGCACGAGCACCCGCTATGCTTCTACCCAGCGTACCACACCGACCGAGACCCCTCAGACAGCCAGATTTGCCGGCCATGTGCGAGGCGCTTCCGAAAGCGCAACCAACAGTGCCATTCTCCCACCAGACAAAGCCCTCATCCGAGTCATCTACGACGGAGGTAGCTCCAAGGTCGTCAACATCGAGGGCTGCAAATCGGCCGAGGAGATCATGTTGAAAACCCTCCGCAAGGGTCAACTGCCCGAAGCTCATGTCAAGAATTATTGCTTCTACGTCCTTGATGGCTCCGATCCCAATCCGGCTCTCTGCCGTCGTTTGGGCGAGACGGATCTAGTTCGTGTGTGCAAGGACTCGACTAGGCACGAAAGGGGACGCTTGATCTTGCGCAAGATCCATGCTGGGGAACCCGAAGATGATCAGCTGAAGACGGCCGCTGGCATCTATCAGCAGCAGAGTCTTCAGCAGACGCAGAATATCATCCTGCCCACCAGCAACCGAAGTCAACTCAAGATCGAGAAGATCACTGGCGAGTCGCTTGCCGCCGTAAGCTACCCTCTCTCACCAACCTCGGCCAGGGAACGAGAGCGGCACATCCACTCCACCGCTCAAGACCTCGAGAGGCCCTCTCACTCCCCTCTGCATGCCGCTCGCGCACGCAAATTGAAGCAGTTCTACGGGGCGCGCCCGCCAAGCGAGCTCATCACCTCCGACCTGACCTCGTACTTCCCCGACGTCGAGAAAGACGAGATCGACAAGACCATCCGCATGTCTATCCGACGCTCGCGGAGACTCAGCCGTGCAGCATCGCGCCTCTCCATGGCATCCAACTTCAGCGTAGCGTCAAGCCTGCGTGATGCCCCTCCTCTTCCTTCCATTGCAGACACCTGGCTTCAAGGCGGTAGCCAAGCTCGACCGCTCCGTCCCCTGTCGGTTATGCGGTTAGGATTACCCGCAACTGGATATCGAGACTCCGTCGCCTCCTCCGTCTTGGAGCCTCTTGAAGAAGAGTCCCCGCTGGAGCCTAGCCGCAAGTCATATGTCTCGTTCGGCGGTGACAGCGGATCCGACACAGTCGCCGTCACCGATCCCGATGGGCAGACGACTCTTCAATCTTACTTTGATGATGGCCGTAGCAGCATGGCAGGCAGCAGTGCTGGGAATACGGACAATGGCGATTCTCTCAACAAACGCCTGTCGCAAGCTATTGCTGAGGATGGAGAGGAGTACGATGATGAGCTTGCCGAGTATCTGGAGCAGGATTCTTGGGAGAATGTCAAGTACATGAAGGGTGCCCTCATCGGCCAGGGATCTTTCGGAAGTGTCTATCTGGCACTCCACGCCGTCACCGGCGAACTTATGGCTGTCAAGCAGGTCGAGCTTCCGTCCGCCTCCGGCACTTCCCAAATGGATCAGAAGAAGACCAACATGGTTGAGGCACTCAAGCACGAGATTGGTCTCTTGCGTGATCTCAAGCACGAGAACATCGTGCAGTATCTGGGGTCCAGTTCCGACGAACATCACCTGAATATTTTCCTGGAGTACGTCCCTGGAGGATCGGTCGCCACAATGCTCGTCAACTATGGTCCGCTGGGAGAATCCCTCATTCAGAACTTCGTCCGCCAGATCCTGCAAGGTCTATCTTACCTGCACTCTCGGGACATCATCCATCGTGATATCAAGGGAGCCAACATCCTCGTTGACAACAAGGGCTCCGTAAAGATTTCCGATTTTGGTATCTCCAAACGCGTCGAAGCCTCGACGATTCTCAGCGGTCCCGCGAGCGGCAAGAAGGGTGCTCAGCGCGTGTCCCTGCAGGGTTCCGTCTTCTGGATGGCGCCCGAAGTCGTCCGTCAAACCGCGTACACGCGCAAGGCCGATATCTGGTCGCTTGGCTGTCTCATCGTCGAGATGTACACGGGCAGCCATCCCCACCCAAACTGCACCCAGATGCAGGCCATCTTCAAGATTGGCATGAGCGGCGATGCATGCCCAACGATGCCAGAGAACGCCGGGGAAAATGCACGGGCTTTCCTCAGCCAGACGTTCTTGATCGATCACGAGAAGCGCCCTAGCGCGGACGAGCTTCTGGCCAGCCCCTTCATCACCGCCCAAGCCGCTTGATTAATGTAATGCATGCTCTTTTCTCCGTCATGGTATGGGCGTAAGGCTTCTGATGGGTTCAACGTGGCATGAAACGGGCATACAGCATTGGAGAGGATATGGGAAAAAGGACAAGGGAAGACTGGTAGTCCTCGGATGTGCCTATGCTTCACGGGTTTCCCCTTCTCTCTTTCCCCTGCTCCTCTCGTTTTCTTTCAACCCCCCTTTGGTTGTTCATGGATTTCAGCACCTACGATTGTTCACCAGCTTTTGTACGATACCTTTTCGAAAGCGCTCTGTTAACGACGAATGGCGAATGGCCCCCCAGAGCGGAATTCTTTCTTCTTTCTTCATTCTCATTTCGATTCCGATTCTCTTCGCCGAAGGTTGTCCTGGTGACTTAGGGTTCTTGCTGGAGTTTAGCTTTGTACCATAGTAACCTTCACCATGAACATGCATCGATGCAATTTACATTTTCAGTCTATGATCATGGGCTCAACTTGGACTTGACACAAATAGAGACAGGGCTGTAGGATTCTTTTGCTTCAACTGGCTCACTCTGCGGCTGTGCTGCGGGGAGCGGGGTCGCAGAGAGCGTTGGGAGGTCGTTCAGCCACCATAGATCGCCGCCAAGCCCCGGCAGGGTTCTGCAAAACGGCTTTCGATATGCGTGGTCAGCCGCGCCGGTCCCCCACCGCAAAGGAGCATGCTGCCACATACCATCTATGAATCTAGTTGATATCGACATGTTCGAGTCAGCTCTTTGCCTCCCGATGTGCTCCATCAGCAGATGATGATGCTCTTCGCCGCCGAACGACTGCCGGACCAGAAGGAGGGGCTGCCAAGCTATAGCTACATAGGTTCACTTCCACAAAGCTCGAGGTTCTTATGGATGCTTAGAGGTGAACCTGAGTAACTCTTTACGCGGGTAAGCAGACTGCTTCAGGCTAATGATAGGCCGTGTACTTGGAAAGGAAAGGTGTCGGGGTGCCTGGGGTTTGCGGGAGACAGCAAGCAACTCGTGATGTCGGCGATGGGTGGGGTATGTCGATCTAGGATGGACCTTGGAAAACAGATGCGGAGTGATAGCCGCGGTATACGGGGTAAGGCTAGAAGAGAAAGGTTAACGGTTCCCTTTATGTCCTTCTCTCGTCAGCTACTTCCTTCTCATCTCCCGTTGTTTCCCTCTCTCTCCATACATCCATATTCTCTGGTCAATCAACACTTGTCCTATTCGATACGTCCATCGACAAGTAAAGAGAAGATTATCTACGAAGGGAACGGGCAAGATGGGTTCTGTAGGGCTTCTTCCTAAGAAGTACAAGGCGATTGTCTATGACAAGCCTGGCAGCATCTCGACAAAGATTGAGGAGTTGGATGTGCCGGAGCCGGGACCGGGGGAGGTTCTGGTCAATCTGTAGGTTCCTTTCTTACTTTAATGTTTCTTACTTTACTGCTATTTCTTCTCGAATTGAAGGGATTGAAGTTATTCCATTTCGTCACCTTAGTTCTTTCTAAGGCTCCCTTTGCTCACAGGTCGCTCTAATCCCAAATTCTCAAGCATAGCTAACAACGACCCCCCAGCACCCACTCCGGCGTCTGCCACTCTGACCTCGGCGTCATGACCAACGCTTGGGCAGCATTGCCCTACCCTGTCCAGGCAGGCCAAGTTGGCGGCCACGAGGGCGTCGGCAAGATCGTGAAGATGGGCCCGGGAACTGACCGCTCTGGCGTGAAGATGGGCGATCGTGTGGGTATCAAGTGGATGGCTGGCATATGCGAGGCATGTGAGGCCTGCAGAGCGGGTGCTGATGCGAGTTGCTTCAACGGGGTAAGTAACGCTTCTGCATGTTATCAATCTTTCGCGTATGCCTCTTCCCTCCATTCACATAAACTCTCCCCTGTCCTCACATTCTTCCAAACTGGACACTGACATAAATTCCAGAAAGTCTCCGGATACTACACCCCCGGCACCTTCCAACAATACGTCCTGTCCCCCGCCAACTATGTGACCCCGATCCCCGACGGTTTGGACTCCGCTGCCGCCGCCCCCATGCTCTGTGCCGGCGTCACCGTGTACGCCGCCCTCCGCAAATCCAACGCCGAGTCCGGCCAATGGGTCGTCATCATGGGCGCGGGAGGCGGGCTGGGCCACCTGGCAGTGCAATTCTCCGCGCGTGGCATCGGCCACCGAGTCATTGGAATCGACCATTCCAGCAAGAAGGACATTGTCCTGGAGAGCGGCGCAGAGCATTTCATCCCCGTCGACGGGACCGAGAACATGGCCGACGAGGTCAAGAAACTCACCAGCAACCTCGGCGCCCACGCCGTCGTCGTATGCACGTCCAATAACGCTGCCTACGGCATGTCGCTCGACATGCTGCGTTTCCGCGGCCGCGTCGTGTGCGTGGGCATCCCCGAGGGGAAGCCCTTACCGATAACGAGTGCGTCGCCGCAGCTGCTGGTGGCGAAGGAGCTGCAGGTTGTAGGGTCTGCGGTCGGCGATCGGCGGATGGCGATTGAGACTCTGGATTTTGCGGCGAGGGGCGTGGTGAAGACGCATTTTCGGCTCGGGAAGATGGAGGAGTTGACCGAGGTGTTTGAGGAGATGCATCGGGGGGAGTTGAAGGGGAGGGTGGTGTTGGATTTGCAGTAGATGAGGCGAGATAGTCGATAGTATGTCGTAGTGCGCTTCATCAGCAAACTTGCAGATACCCGCTTGGACGGGATTGACGAAATCTCCACTCTGGTGTGTATGACCTGGGATTTCCAGTTGTACTACCTCCCCAACGAATACCATGTTTCGCCCCTCTACAACAATTTCAGCTCGAGAGAACGATATAAACAGTTCATTTGTATAGATAGATACTAGAAAGAATGAGGAGATATATTGACCGACCAATCACCTGGGCACACTGATCAAAAACGCGCTAACCGCATTAATCCTTTAATTGGTTCCGCACGTGATAGCGCGCCTCCCCAAAACCCTTGTCCTCGCGTCGCTCATTCCCGTTTCGACGTTTCCCTGCAAGGCGCCAGGCAACCGACCGCCACTCCATCCTCCTCCTCTGGCTCCCTCGCTCGCTCTCACTCAGGATCGTACCTTGTTCGCCACGGCTAGCACCCTGGCTCTGCCTTTCTTTTACTACCCGGGCGTGAAAGCTTCGATACTAGACTAGACTACAAATCCACTCAAGCGTCTCACGTTTTCCTCTTATCGAACAAGAAGATGTCCGGACGCCGTAGTGGTGCCGGTGGGAGGAGGAATGGTGCGGGGATTCGGGGTCCGCATTCTGCGTTGACGGACTTTTTGGCGGTAAGTTTCTTCTTCGATTGTGCTTTTCGTTTTGGGTGTCTGTGTGTCAATTGAGAGATGGTTCCATTGCTAACGCCATTAATTTGCACAGTCGCACAATATCTCCGCCGCCGAAATCAGAGATTCGTATCGTCAGCGTATGCTACAGGCAGAGCAACAAGCAGCACAGGAGCAAGAACAAACTGGAGGTGGGGAAACTCAGGACAATGGCGAGGGGCCTTCGCGAGCTGCAGACAGTAGACCAGAAGAAGACATAGAGGAGCAAGAAGAAGAACAAGAGGAACAAGAACAAGAAGAAGTCGTAGCAGAATCATCTACTGCGGCAGCTGAGCGGACACGCAAACGCAAGCGCGAGCAAGAAGAAGCGATTGCGAAGATCAAAAAGGGAAAGACGGCGAAGAAGGGAGCGACAAAGAAGAAGGGTAAGAAGAAGGGTGGTTCCGACGACGAGGACGATGAAGACTTCGACCTCATGGACATGTACCGCAAGGCCAAGAAGCTCCCTGGACAGCTGGAGAACTGCGAAATCTGCGAGAAGCGCTTCACCGTCACGCCGTACACCAAGTCTGGCCCCGACGGGGGCCTAGTGTGTGCCAAGTGTGGGAAGGAGATGGCAAAGGAGGCCAAGGCGGCGGAGAAGGCGAAGAAGCCGGTTGTCAGAAGAGGCCGGAGGAAGATTGAGAGTAACAAGCTTGATGGCTTGACATTCCGGGGTGCGAAGACGCTGCAGCAGCTCTGCATTGAGAAGTTGGCGAAACATGCAGATGACATCGAGGAGTTTGGCGATATGCCCGAGTCGCTGATGCAGCGGCTGGCGGAGATCTTCTCGAAAAAGAGGGCGATGAATTCGACGACTTTCAAGCTGTTTTTGCAGCCGGATGTGGACGTTGTGGCTATCCATGAGGCAGCTTGTAAGAACATCGCTCGTGAAGTCCGATTTACAGGTGACTGATGTGAGATACAGACCTTGAGACGGAAGACTACGATCAGATCTTCGCCATCGTTCCTGGGATTAAGAAGCTCGTTCTCCGCAACTGCTGCCAGTTCAAGGACGCTAACATGGAGTATATGATTGAGAAAGCCAGGCATCTGACCGATATCCAGCTCCTCGGAGCCAACCTCGTTTCAAATGACAAATGGATCGACCTCTTCGTCGCCCGTGGCCCAGATCTCAAGTTCTTCAAGGTCGAATGGCTCGACGCTGCTTTTGACGACCAGGCGGTGGAAGCACTCGCTACCTTCTGTCCCAACCTCGAGCGACTGAAGATTGAGCGCTGCAAACAACTTGGCACGGCGAGCATTGACGCCATCGCCCGGATGGAGAAGCTGGAACACCTTACGCTTCGCTTCTACCAGGAAGTTCCCATCGAACGCCTCATCAACCTCATTGGCTGTGTTGGCGCTAACCTCCAGACGCTCTGCCTAGAGCACTTCCTCGACAACAGCGATGACCCGAACGACCACATCCTGGAAGCCATCCATAGCACATGCAGCAAACTTAGCAAGTTCCGCTTCACAGAGAACCACGAGTGCTCCGACGAAGGATACGTCAATCTCTTCACCAACTGGGCCAACCCCCCTCTGCGCTACATCGACCTCAACAGTACCCGCGATCTGGACAACGCCAACCCCGACGGCCCGCAGGATAAACCCATCGGCCTCGCCTCCGCGGGCTTCAAAGCCCTGATGCAGCACTCCGGCTCCGCGATCGAATACCTCGACATCTCCTCGTGCAGGCACATCTCCTACGCCACCTTCTCGGAGATTTTCGACCCCAAAACCAATGTCTACCCCCGCTTGAGAGAGATCAACCTCTCCTTCTGCCCGGTCGTGGACACGGCGATCATCGCGGGGGTGTTTCGGTGCTGTCCCGAGATCAAGAAGGTGGTTACGTTTGGGTGTTTCCAGGTCGCGGATGTGGTTGTGCCGAGGGGCGTGGTGCTGATTGGGGCTCCCAAGGCGCAGGATGCGATTGAGCAGTTTGGGGAGATGGTGATGGAGTTCCAGAAGGAGGTGGAGGGGGTGGGTGCCGGGAGGGTGGTGCCTGTTATGGGCTAGGTTGGGGGGATGGAGTGGGTGAAAGGAAGAACGTTCGTTCGCCGTGAGGAACGACGAGTGGCGGCACTGTAGGCCTTGCGCCTCCTCGGAATTGATGGCATTTTAGAAGCGTGCGTTTGTATCCAGGAGGGGGTACCAGTCGGGATGGCTGCTTTCCAGAACCGTGGCTTCACGGTGCCGAAGGGACCTGCCAATCATGCTTTCCAGACTTGCTCTTTCGACTTAGCAAGGAGTTGGGAGGGTCGAATGCTATTTATGATATCATGACTTAGTGGTGTTCCACACATGACTTCGCTTTGCAGTTCCCTAGGTCTATGCATCTTGCTTTAGTCTCTCTTTGATTCCGAAATCTATGTGCATACCCAGGCGATGCAATGCACCACCTAGTAAAAGGGGTCAATAGTTGACCCTTATGTACACTTCCAGTCCTTCAAACAGCGTATTGGTTGTATTCTGGCGATGCCAGATGGCGCCAACCAACCCCCATCCATCTCCCCAATACTTCAATCGCCTGCAATGAGATCTACTAGCCATTCCTCACAATCGACAATCAAATACAACCTTCGATGTAATCAATCATGCGGCAGGCCATTATCATTGACATAGGGTAAATCACAGCTCGCAGAAGGCTTATTGGATAGATAGATTAGTTGACCCTGCCCATTGCCCATAGATGAATCTAATATACATAGAAAAGCCTCATGTTCAGAATCCAGCCCTTGAGAATGAAGAAAGAAATGAAAAGCAAGGAGAGAGAAGAAGGGAAAAGAGAAAATTCATATCCCATGATCATAAATGCCTCCAAAATCCCTCAGCCTGTTAGTGAAGTCCAATATTCCGTCGTCCTCCAGTGTAATACATCGAGCCGTTAGCCGAACCCATGTCGCGGGTCTCAAAGACCGGAAAGGTATTTAGCACTGAAGGGATGCCAAACACAAGCCGACATGATACTAGGCTGCATGAAGTCATACATCAAAGTGATAACCCAGTCGATGTCGTAGGTCTCAAAGGCTGGCGAAGGTAGTTCAGCACCGAAGAATGGCAAGGAGAAATCCGACATCCGCAACTGATGCCAGAGGCAAGGCCTGTGTCGCTAGATCTCGGTATCGGAGTCGTCATCGTCGTTGTTCTCCTCTCCCGAAGACTGGCTCTTCCAGTCGTCCTCTTCCTCGTCTTCCTCAACGCTCGGAGGCTTGGGGGGTTTCTATATCGCCGTCAGAAAACACGCAATGTACCGCACCAAACCAAATAACTTACATATGCCGGGATCTTGGCCCAACCGTTCTTCTTGATGATAGTATTGTCGCGCTGCGTATTGTAGGAGTTCTGCCCAGAGCGCTCAGTGTAGCTGGAGTCGAAGGTCTTGTAAGAGAGGGACCCAGCTTTGGCTGCAGTCTTCTTTTTGTTGGCCTGCTGCCAGCCATCGTCAGCATCACTGGACTTGACTGGACCGCCTTGGGAGCTGAAGGTCGAAGCGTCATCGGCATCGATCAAGGTGCCCACACTGGGCGTGATAGACAAGCTGCGGAAATTGTCTGCGAGCTTCACTCCGCCGTCCTGGTCGTCCTGGGCCCACTCATCTTCCTCGGCCTCCCTAACGTTAGTGAAGGCAAACAATAGAGGAAGAACCTGTACTCACCTCTGACTTGGTACGCATGGTCGTCGACTTGTTGGACCAGATTTCAGGGTACCTCCCATCGGAAGTATCCATGGGGACGAAAGCCTTGCCTGGGTTCTCATAAACGTGCTCGTCTACAGCCTCCACCGCAGTTCGTTTATCCACGCAGGCAAAGCACACCTATACCACCATCATTAGACCACTCAACCCGCCAGCGTGAAGGACCCGTGCACGTACCGCAGCATCGCCTTTGGAGCGCTGCGATTTAGCGAAGTCATCCATACCCTTGACCTGGTTGCACACAGAACACTCGAGCTCCATTGGCTGCCCGCCAGTGCATTCGGAGCACTTGATGGAGTACCGTGCATTCTTGCCGTTCTGTTTGATGGCTTCTCGAGCGTCGCAGAGTTGCTTGTGGGAGTAGTTGGCATGGCCCTTGTACTTGTCGCATCGTCCACATTTGATTCTTGCCTGCTGTTAGCATCTGAATCTGCACGCAGTGGCACGCACTGGAGGCAGAAAGGAAAACAGTGTTGGACTCACTTGGGAGGCAGGGCGATGCCTTGGAGTCTGTTCGATAGTCAATGATGAAGTTCAGACAATTTTCGATGACTGAGTGACTTACGACTTGATGTACAGCGCGTCGTAGATACGCTGGTTCTTCTTGTTATTGTTCGGCATTGTGGGGCTGCTGGCGTTGAGGTGTGCGTGCGAGTGCCACTCCTGTCGTTGACGTTGGGGTGTGTAGATGGTGCGAGTAAAGGAGGTACTTGGGGCTCAAATAGTTGAGTGTGATGGTTTGCACAAGCCGAGGCGGTGTGAGGCGAGTTACCAGAGTGGGTTTCACGGCGACAACGAGGATAATGAGTCGCCGTGATGGTAATCAAGGTGATGGAGCCCTGGAGAAGTAGATGCGCGTTTGCCTGGAGGTTCCAAGGTTGTGTCCAGGTGCGCAGCTGATCGGGGATGGGGAAGGAGCAATCCACCTACGTTATGAGGAACAGTGCAACCGTGGGTCTGGCGGAGAAAGCTTTGGTAGATGAATGGAAATGAGGGAAGATTTAAGCATAGAAGTGGTAATTGAACTGAATCTCGTGATGCTCTCACCTACCTATCTGGCGGTGTATACCCGCTTCCGCACCGTCCATGTCTTCCGCCAAGGACCCGTGACGACGGTATTGCGATGGAGTCGACCGTCAGATCTCATCACCGGACCGTTAAAGCGTATTTCAAACGTCTGCTCGAGGAGAGTGCCCGTTTTCGCAGTGTCATTGAACTTCTGTAGAGCTTTGAAGCGCACGTTAAGATGGACCGGAGGAACTACTAAGCTGCTCACTGAAGGCAATCAAGAATACTCCGATGCTACTTTGCACGCTCCTTTTTAACAGGGAAGAGGGGCTATATGGAGGTACCTAGATATTGCAGTTACCCATACCTGCTCAGACTTGACGTTCGCCGATCTGCGGAGCCAGCCATAGCCCTCAAACAAGTATCTGTTTCCGAGCAGGACCGTGTAGTAACCAATGCCATAAACGCTTTTCCAATGCCGTTGTCTTGTGAATTCACACATCATCAGTCAACGAAGTCTTCTCTTCCATTTCGAATGTAATTGATAATTGATACCGCATACAACCCTGGAGGGCTGACAGGCCAAGAGACTGAACAAACAGAGACCTCTGGCATATTCGTTTGTCCTTATAGTCCAATTGTCGGGGCGTTCGGGTGATACGTGACAGAAATGTGTTATTAATTGCATCTTGATATATGTGCGAGTCAGTGAAGCTTAAGCGTTGAGCTGGAGGTAGGACCAAAGCTCCTGGCTTGGCATTACCGCCACCATTGCGCCACAGATTTGCGCCACATTGGAGGCCAAGACATTTATCGATAAGCCCACAAAAATAATGGCGGGGCGGTTGCCGTTAGCAAGAAGCGTGAATTGCGGACGTCGTTCACTCTTCACTCAGCAGTCAAACTGGCGTCTCTTCCCTACAGATTCAAGGCAGGCGGCAGCATGGCTCCGGTAACCGGCCAGCACCATCATAGAAGCACTACGAAACAGTCGCAGAAGCCATTCAAATCGCGCCATGCCACTAAGGGTGCTATAAAGGAGAAGACGAAAGGTAAGATCTCAGTTTTGTGATTAGGGAAATCTTTGCTGACGTTACCTGTGCGGCAGGGAAAGTTGATTTCGAAAAAGGTAGCAGAAAGACTCCTCATCAACAAGTCATGTCGAAACTCGACCGCCGTAATCGAGCGAAGCAGTTGCGTCTCAATAAAGACCATGAGCATGCAAAAACTACGAACGTGTTTGCTGGAAAGGACGGTGCGCCCCGGATCGTAGCTGTTGTGCCTCTCTGCTCAGATGTTTCGTCTGCGGCAGCTGTAAGGAGTCTCAATTCTAGCCTCGATATCGAAGAGGAGGTTCCCGAGGCCGGCTGGACGCGAATTACTATCGACCGATTCAAGCAGAAGATACAATACTTGGTGGTTCAGAGGGATTTATTGGCCTGCTTAGATGCTTGCAGAGTGGCGGACTTTGTCGTTTTTGTGCTTTCTTGCGAAGAGGAGGTTGACGAGGAGGGAGAGCTGATACTGAAGGCGGTGGAAAGTCAGGGTGTTTCAAATTGCTTTACAGTTGCTCAGAAGTTGGACGCGGTGGAGCCGGCAAAACGAAGGCCACAGGTCATATCGTCCCTCAAGTCGTACATCACGCATTGGCTGCCGTCGACGGAGAAGGTTTTCTCGCTCGATAACCGGCAAGAGGCCTCGAATCTGGTCCGATCGCTCTGTACCACCACAACCAAGGGAGTTCGCTGGAGGGAGCAACGGAGCTACATGTTCATCGAGGACGTTGCTTGGCCAGGAGGAAAGTCTGCGGTCACTGAAGACGGTACGGGCGATGTTGTGCTGACCGGAGTTGTACGCGGGCTGGGTTTGAAGGCCGATAGGTTAATTCAGGTGGGCGACTGGGGCGATTTTCAAATCGAAAAGATCACAGCTGCCCCGCTTGACACAAGAAATAAGGCGCGGGATGACACCATGGCTGTAGACTCTGAGGAGCAGCAGGTTTTGGAACGGCCGAGCGAGGACCAGGATGATCTTGCGGAGCTGGCTCCGGAGGAGACCATCATGGACGACGTCACGAACTATGCAATGTCGGTGGCACCCTCAGAACGAAAAGGGGTGTTGTTAGATGATCACCATTACTTTTCGGACGAGGAAGACGAGGTCGTCACAGCGAAGCCCAAGCGGATGCCAAGGGGAACAAGCAAGTACCAGAGCGCATGGTATCTCGATGATGTGTCCGATTCTGGATCAGACCTGGAAGATTTCGATGAACACTTCGGTGACGACGCAAAGAGCGTGAAGTATCATCCGGCAGATGGCGTCGAAGGCATGGATATCGACGGCAGAGCTGGCACCGAAGCAGGGCCTTCAGAGTATCCTCAGTCAGAGATGTTTTTGGATCCCTCGCCAGAGGATGAAGCGGCGGAAATTGCCGCATACCGAAAATCTCGCAAGAACGAAGCCGATGAGGACCTGGAGTTCCCGGACGAAATCGAACTGCATCCTAATGTCAACGCCCAGGAGCGCCTCGCGCGGTACCGTGGTCTGAAGAGTCTGAGAACGAGCGTGTGGGAGACGGAGGAAGACAAGCCATATCAACCGGAGGATTGGCCGCGCCTCCTCGAGGTCTCCGACTACAAGAGGGCGGCTACACGCGTGATCCGTGAAGCTTGGGCTGGTGGTGTAAAGCCAGGTACAAGGGTCAACGTTCACATTCGGGGGGTGCCTCTTTCGCTCCAGCAGACGCAACCTCGACCGCTTGCGGCGTTCTCTCTCCTGAGACACGAGCACAAGCGCACGGCATGCAACTACAGCATACTGCTCAGCTCAGAGTACCCCACGCCCATCAAGTCCAAGACCGAGCTCATCGTGCAGTGCGGACCACGGAGACTGGTCATCAATCCCGTAAGTGGACAGTGGCGATATTCCATTGAAAAACATTGCTAACACGTATCCAGCTCTTCTCGCAAGCCGGCAACACGCCGAATGACGTGCACAAATTCGACCGCTACCTCCACCCGGGCCGCTCAGCCATCGCCTCCTTCATCGGCCCCGTGACTTGGGGAAACGTCCCTGTCCTCTACTTCCAACGCACCGCCCCCTCCGAAGACTCTCCCGCCTCGTCGCTCAAACTCGTCGCCACAGGCACCAGCCTCCCTCCCTCACTCAGCCGCGTCATTGCCAAACGCATCATCTTGACGGGCCATCCCTACAAGATCAACAAACGCATCGTCACCGTGCGGTACATGTTCTTCAACGACAAGGATGTCAAGTGGTTCAAGAGTCTGCCGTTATGGACGAGAAGGGGTAGGAGTGGGTTCATCAAGGAGAGTTTGGGAACGCATGGGTATTTCAAGGCGACGTTTGATGGGAAGATTAACCCGATGGATGCGGTCGCTGTGAGTCTTTACAAGAGAGTCTGGCCGAGGAGTGCGAGGCCTTGGCAGCCTTGAGGAGAATTCAGATTTTAGTTTAAAAGGATGGACGGAGTTAGGGGAATATCCATGATATCATTCCATAGAAAATCATCGTTGTTATACCTTCAGTCAAAGTGCCAGTGTCGATCACAAGATGTGAAAATAGCTCGCCAAGCTGGGGGGTATATATTCCCTAAATCCGATATCTAACCCATCCCTTGCTCCCAAGTTTAGATCATATATCCCGTTAACTCCAAAGCTATGCAACAAAGATGAACTTTTCCTCGGGGTTGAAGAGTCCTCTAAGCCCCTTTCCTGGCAAATCTTTCCAGTGCAGGCCCATACTCCTTCTTCAACCTCTGCACCTTCTCCATCTCCCTCTTATTCAGCGCCCTCAGCGCCTCCCTCGCCCTCAGCTTCTCCTCATCAATCACATTCCTCTGTCCCCTCTTCCTCACATACCGCCTCAACGCGCTATTCCTGCCACGACCCCTCTTCTTCAACTCCTCCACCTTATCCACCTTCTTCGCATCCAGGTCCTTCTCCCTCCGCCTCTGCTCGTCGGACGCGAGATCCAGGTTACCAATGAAATTGGGATCGAGCGAAATCATTTCCGGCTGCAGCTTCTCGAGCAAGGCGCGCACCTCGGTTTCCTGGCGCTGCTTGGTCGTCTCGAAGGGATTGAGGCCGGCCTCCAAGCTATCCGGGTTGGGTTCGCCGGAGCCCGGGACGAGGATGCTGCTGAAGCCCTTGTCGTGCGAGATGCCGAGGACGTCTTCGAAGGGGCAGAAGCGGACGCGGTTGATGGTGTTGCCCTCGCCGCCCCAGGCCATGTACGGAGCAGGGATCTTGATGTTTGCATCCGAATGCGTGAAGAGGTCCGGTTTGTAGATGGAGACTTGGGTGCCCCAGCCTACGGCTGTGAGACCGCGGTCGGATATGGAGAGGGTGCAGCCCGGTTGGGGGAGGTGGTGGGAGTGGACCTCCTTGAACATGCGGATGTCCCAGACGGCCATTTTGCGGTCTTGGCCGGTCGAGACCATGTATCTCCCTGCGCGGTCGACGGCGAGGGCGCGGACGTGTCCATGGTGTGGGAGGAGCTTGACGAGGGGAGTGGAGCTGTTGGGGGACCAGAGGGTGACGATGCCTTTCTGGTGGCCGACGTGCAGTATAGCATTGTGTGGGTTTTGGCAGAAGGCTGTGGGAGGTCCGAGTTTGGTGGGTATCTCGTTCAGCATCTGGCCCGTCGAGGTGTCGGTGTAACGCAGGACGCCTGTCAGGGATATCGAGGATAGCAGAAAGTGGTAGGGCAAGAATTCCAGATATGTCGCTTCCGTGTGCTTCTTGAGTACGTGCATCTCCACGCCGTCCCGTGCGTAGATATACACAAACTTCTTCTGGGCCACGGCAAAACTCTGGTTGTTATGCAGCCACGATATGTCCCGCACCGTCTCGCCCAGCTGCAACTCGCAACCCAGTTTCCCCTCCCGCCAGTCCATGGCCGCCACATGCCCTTTCCTCCCCGCCAGCAACAGATCCCGCCCGTTTCTCGTGTACTCGCACATGTACGGCCCCAGGCCTTCGAGTTTCAATTCGAAGCCCTTCTTCGCCGTCTCGATTCCCACATTCTGCCGTATCTCGTCTTGCCACACTTTGTACGTCCGCTCGAGCTCGTGCTCGGGTTCCAACAGCCCAGCAGTGTTGTCGAGCAAGATCTCGGCATTCTTCGCTTGCAGCGCTGCCTCGTTGTACTTGTGCTCCAGCGACCGCAGGTTGGCGCGCAGCTTCTTGTCTTTTATCGATTTGGTGCGGATCTTCTCCCCGCGGCCGTACGTCCTGGTCGCGGCTTCTGCATGCTGGGCGACGGCTTTGGCTTCGTCCGGGCTGAGGATGGCTTGGGATTTTGATTTTGGTTTTGACTTTGATTTTGACTTGCCCTGTGGTTTCGTGGGCCGGGATGACGATTCGGTGGCCATGGCTTTTTTGGGATTTGGAATTGAGAATCATCGGCAATGGTGGAGCAAGTGGTTCTGGGAATTTTGGAAATTCTGCCACCGCCTCTTGGCGCGAGGTTGAAGTGTTGCATAGATCCCTGTTGCTCATGCTTAAAACGTCCTAGCGCGGTTGACTCTAAGTGTCACCATCACTCCAAGGATGAACTTCTTATACATATGAAAATGCCTGTATCTGAATGATATTTGACAAGGCCTTGTTCCAGTGACATCGTATTGCTAATTAGATCATACTGTTTGTATATCAAGAATCCCAGAATCCAAGGCCAACCGTGCTCATATGCATATGTTTCTATAACGTTACCAACTTACTAACTTATAAAATTGCTAGAGCACCTCTGGTTCTATGATGTTTAATATCTCTTCCAATAAAACCCCGCCTGCGTATACCCCCTTCCCTCCATCTCATCCGAGCACCTCTCCTATTGAATATCACATAGCCGAAGATACCGATCCTGCCTAACGTCCAGAGTTCCAATATCCATCTCGACACTAACCCAATCAAGAACCTCAATCAAGAACCCCAACCAAGGCATCAGCCCTTTCCAACATCGACCACGCAACAGGCAGCAGCATCCCCAACCCCCTTCCTCCTCCCAGGACGCTTCCTTACAAGGCATGGCCGCCTTAAACGCGGCTGAAAGCGGTGAGCAGGCGGCGCGATAAGGCAACCAACAGGGCCGATTCGCTATAGGCTAACTTCATCATCTACAATCATCGGGAGTGAGGCAATTTGGAGGAATTTGGGCGAATGGGAAGGTATGGAGATGGGATGGTGGATGGGACGGGATGTGCAGGAGGCGCGGTTAGGGGCGGAGGGAGGAAGGGGTATATAAGGCGGGGGAGCTGGAGCCGCAATTGGGATCATCATACTTCTTTCTCATTTCTGAGGTTGTTGATCTCTGTGTCTTTGTTTCACAGAGCGTGTTATATATATCTATGATTTCCACCGTGCTTCGAACCATCATCCTCGGAAACAGCGACTGCAGAATATCGCAATCGTGGGCTTTCCGCACCCCCTTCGAGGCATACACAGCATAAAAAAGGAAGATTATTCAAGATCCTTTGGCGACTTGAACAGGCGTTCCCATCCTGTGTTCATATATGCCTGGGCTATGTATTTTGGTATCTAACCTCGAACCTATTGGTCTCCTCTCCTAGCATTCACCGTTATCATTCCGGGGAAGGGGAAAAACAAAGAAACGGAAAACAAAACCAGCTGATGAACAGGATATCCGCGGAGATCGGAAGCACGCTACCATGCTCGGTCTCGAAGAAGAAGGAGAAGACGAAGGAGGAGAGAATAACGAGACGCTCCCTATCAGCAATTTTGATTCCCCTCGTGAAACTCCAAACGCGATGCCAGCCAGACAGAAAATTCCATATCCAGAAACCAAGCAAAAAAGGATCCTTATCGCGAAATATAGCCGAAAACCAGAGTGAGGGAAAATAGCCAAAGAGGAAAAGAAGAAGAAAGGAAGATTGACAAAAAATTCCGTTTCGGCAGGCGTCGTCCTCTTTGGTTCATCATGCAGCAAGCCAGCCTGCTGACATGCCGTCGTACAGTGCCCCGTACCGCTCATTGAGGGCCACACATGGCTCGCCGAGACCGGTCAAGAGACAGAGGAACGTGGATCCCCACAGCATCGGGATATGCCGCTCGCCGTAAATGGTCGTCCGTCGCAATCGGTAAGTGGAAGGGCGTTGTCGCCGCATCATCGCAGGTCAGCTCGGAGGGAGGTTATATACCTTCCCAGCCTCGCCTTCTCAACACCCCTCTTCTTCCACATCCCCCCATCCTACCTTTCCCTTCTACGTCGCAACACCAACATGCTGAATCCTCCTCCCACTTCCCGCATCCCCTCTTCTCCCATCCGCAATCCCTCTCCTCTCACCGCCCCTTCCCCTTCCCCTCTCCCTCCTCCCATGCGTAACCACAAAGTTCCCCGGCGCCCTCTCCAGATTATGATTCCCCCCCTTCAACTCTTTCAAATCCTCATCATCAATCAACCGCTTCTGCCACAGGTGCTGGAAGAGGTGGAAATCCGGCCGACTCGTCCTCAACGACGTTCCCACGGCATGGTGCCTCAGCGCCACATGCTCCATTCGCGCATTCCACGCCGTCCAGCCATCCAGGCACGTGAGCGAGAAGTCTGAGCATAAGGGGCACGTCACGCTCTTCGGCGGTTCCTCGCCCCGGAAGTGCGAGAGGCAGTGGGTGCGCCATTCGTCAATGTCGGTCGACAGGTAGGAGCACGAGAGGAACCAGAAGGCGCATTCGAAGACGGGTTGGCGGATGGAGTTGGGTCGGCGCTCGAGCACGCCGTTGACGTCTTCGAGGAGGGGCACGCCCGAGAAGTGCGAGGCTAGGCCTGTGCTGATTGAGGTTTCGGTGGGAGTGGCGTCCGAGTAGTGGTAGAGGGAGGGTGGGTGCTGGGACGTCGTGGACGACTGGTGGATGCAGGCTGGGGCCATGGAGGAGCAGGAGCGGCTGCTGCGGCGGGAGCGTTGGGAGAGGGAGCACTGGGACCGCTGGGAGCGCTGGGAGCGGGAGATTGCGTCGGTGGAGGTGGAGTCGTGAGAATATATTTGGTAAGTGTAGTCGTCGTAGTCGTAATCCTCGTAGTCGTGGTCGCTATATTGCGATCTCGAAGCCGCAGATGGGGACGCTGCTCCCCGCGCTCGCTCTGGCGGCCCCGCCGCAGGGCCGACGATATCTGGAGGAGCGTCTGAGAAGTGCACCAGGCGGGCGTGAATGTCGCGTGTGGGCGACGCCAGCCATTCGCCGATTGGGGGACGGGTGATGGTGGATTCGAGAATGGAGGCGAGGGATACACCGCGTGTGCTGCCGTTTCTGCTGCTGCTGCTGCTGCTTCTGCTGGTGGGGTCGCCCTCCGGCACTGTGTGGCGCATGCAATCAGCCTTGTTTCTCGGGATGGAAGGGCATCCATGTGGGACCAAGGGATTGGCTGGGAGATGAGACTTACTCGTTGTCGGGTTGGAAGGGCTCCCTTGACGATTGTTGTGCGTTGTTGGTTGAAGCTGACCCGCGAAAAGTGGGAGGATCTGAGATGGCCTTGTTTCGTTTCGGTCAGATCGTTTGGTTTCCCCTGCATGAACCTCAGCAGAGGCTGAGAGCTCTAGCGGAAGCATATGGGCAGAACTCGCCAGCAAGATCCCACTCTGCATGTAGTTTCCACATCATCATGGTTGACGTTGGGTGAGATTCAGTTTGTCGTTCTTGCATGTGCCCAGCATTACAGGAGAAACGGAGCCCATCCCCGCCCATCGGAACCATACTGGACGAATCTGAGCATCTAGTAGGTAGTCCATTCATAGACTGTGCTCACAGCGTACAGTTTTAGCACCTGGTGTTTTTGCCTACCTACATTAATTTCTCTTACTTTAGCTACTTTTACTCTATCTAAATTCAATATATTTAGTAGAAACTATATATTTCTTCTAATAGCTCAATTAAGTTTAAAATATTATTATATTGTAATTACTTGTTACTATAGCTAACTAGCAACCTACTGCGGTAAACATCCCACAAACCTTAACCAAATCTGTTTAAGTTAACTTTCCATCGACGCGCCGATGCCACCAACCCTGGGAATGTCGAGGATACTCAGCATGCATTTTCTCCGTAGAAATCGTACGCCATCCTTGCAGCTCTCGAGAAATATCTCTATTACGTGTCGTGGTATTTTCCCCAGGTGTCATTTTCTCCTGCATTACACTGCTCAGCACGGCTCTAGGCAAGCCCATCGGACACGACGAGCTCTACCGATATACGAACGGTCGTTTCCTCATTGACGAAAAAAGCCAATGCGAACGACGCTACGTGAAATTTAATCTATACGGACTATGTGACGTAGCTGCTTCGGTTGGAGGGTCCAACTCCCCGATCACCGCAATCGAGAAGATGGAAGGGGGCTTTAGTAAGGCCCTTTTAATGAGGAAAGAGGATGGAACAGAGCTCATAACGAAGATACCATGTCCGAATGCCGGGCCGGCGTTCTATACGACAGCGTCTGAAGTGGCGGTCCTACAATATGGTAAAAACGTTGGGCCTGCGTTAGATGTGTCGCTGAGCTAATCATACTATGATATGTAACAGTAAGGCACCATACAACAGTTCCAGTGCCAAAAGTATTAGCGTGGAGTTTCGACCCCCACTCATCGAACCCTGTCGGCTCCGAGTACATTATCATGGAGAAGGCTGCAGGGACTCAGCTCTTTAAAGTATGGAGTGATATGGATGAGCCAAGTCGATTAGCTCTCATTAAACGATTGACCCAGCTAGAGAGTGAACTAGCATCCATCTATTTTCCTGCCTTTGGAAATCTATACCTTCGCCAGTCCGTAGCCGACGAGACTAAGTGCAAACTTCTGGATTCTAGCATTGCCCCTTCGAATGCATATTGCATCGGACCCTCATGCCACCGATCGTGGTTAGTTGAGACAAGTACGGGGACTTCTGACCCTGAGTTAGATAGAGGACCTTGTGAGCCCCTTCACTTCAGTTGATATCTATAACTTATATTATACTAATACATTCTGGTGACAGGGACTTCCATATCTGCATTTGGGATCGCGCTCGCGGAACGAGAGATCTTCCGCATTTTGCACACGCCACCACCGGAGGGATCCGTGATCCGTCATGGCACAATCCGAGAACAGATATCTCTGCTTGAGATGACCATCGAGCTCATGAAATCCTTGGAATCGCATGTTGTCCTAGCGCGATACGGGAAGCCAACGCTCTGGCACACCGACTTGCACATGGGAAATGTCTTCTTTTCCGACGAGGATCCCTCGCAGATTCTATCGATTATCGACTGGCAATCTATATCCGTATCTCCCCTGTTCTCGCAAACCCGTTGGCCAGAGTTCTTGCATCCGCCAAAAAGCTACACGATGGGTTTTGTGAAGCCCGAACTACCGGACGATTTCGACCGACTGAGTCCCGAGGATAGGGATTTGGCAATGTACGAGTGGAAGCAGGCGACAAGAGCAAAGGCATACGAAGTGAGTAGCTACCTCAACAACCGGGAGGCTTTTCACGCCATGAATACCCCAAGTGTCTTCCGGGAACTCTTCGTTCGGTGCGGGAAAACATGGGAGGAGGGCAGTGTCCCACTTCGCGCTTGTCTCATCGAGATATTCCAAACATGGCGAGACTTGGGACTCCCTGACGGCTGTCCCTACACATTCGTAGAAGACGACATCAAGGCGCATGAAGTGGAGTTCAAGGAGTACGAGGAATGGCACAAAGTGCACGAGTTTGCGAGGGAATACTTGGACACAGACGCCGACGGGTGGATCTCGCCAGAAACGGACTTTGGCGAAAAACTCAAGCAGAACAAAGCTCTCTTTGAACTCTTTCTTAATGAGAGTGCTGGAAAGAGGTCTTCACAAGAGGCCAGGAGGATGTGGCCGTTCTCAGAGGGTATATAAATGGTCTCGTCAGAAGGTATCGATGAGCGTCCATACTACCTTAAATGCCGATGCGGGTTGTCCTAACTTCTTCCCAGGTCAATTGGCCCTCAAGGCTCAGTATGGTCCGTATATTATGGCATCCGTCCAACCCATGCTCACCAAATACACTGCCAGACCCGCTGGATGTTCGTATATAAGAATAGCACGCACGCAAGATTCCGTGTGAAACTCTAGTTTGTGCGGAGATGTATCTCACGCGAAGTACGGATACAGTCAACCAATATCACCTGATCGCAATCAAGCATGAAGCAATCTCATATTAGGCTACGAAGTACAAGACATGAATGATGGTACACTGAATACGCAAGCTATAACGATAGGGTGAACCTTCTAACACCCTGATAGCAGTACCTGCATCCAGATACGCATCTAGAGCAGGATACTGCCCGTGTCGAGATGGTGCATGCCGTTTTCGGTCCGATGAACAAGTTGTCCGGATAATCATAACGTATCAAAAATAAAAAAGCCCGCAGGAACGCTGGTAGTGTGGAGTTGAGCGCGTGCAATATGCAGAGTAATTTTTCCTTTTTGTGACTTGGTCACGAGAGTGTTTGCATGATGGATATGGCGATAGAGCATGTCCAGTGAACGATTACAACTCCGAAAAGTGGAATTCCGCTTATTTGGATTTTTGTAAGCCGCTGTTTGGAGCGGTCATGGCAACGCGGGAGCGAGCAAACAGCTACGCTTTCCAGGGTCCCGGGCGAGGATGTAGAACGTCAACCAGTCATACATGGCAAGCATCTGTAGTCTCAAATCCGGTTCCAAAAGGGCTGTAGTTCCATAGCATCGCTGCGGTCATTGAGGATTCAAGACAAGTCATCCACAAGTATTACGCAGTCAGTCGTCGGAGGTACGTCCAGGTAGCGAAGGGAGAAAGCGGACAAGCCACAAGTCATGTACACCCTTAAAAGCGGAAATGCAAGTAAGCATCAATCGTCAGGATCTCAGCGGCATGTGCATCAACGTCACGGCGGTAAAATGACGGCTCTTAGGCACTCCCCGGAGGTTGACCCCCCTGGCCGCCTGGCTGCTGTTGCTGCGCCGCCAGCGACGAGTACCACATCGCGAGATAGTTTTCGTAGCCGCCATACGGGGCATATGGATCAGCGGCAACATTCCCTTGTGCGGGTGCTGCGCCCTGGGCCCCGGCATGAGCTTGGCCGTATGCTGGCTGTTGTTGGTGTGAGTACGCATCACCATAACCTGCGCCATCACGTCCACCACGACGGCCCGGCCCGCCGCCTTGCCTGTCCTTCTGTGCCTGATTGGGTCAGCAAAAATGTATTTCGCGAACTCCATGGTCCACTTACCACTGATTCGACCTTGTCCCAGATAGCCTTCTTTGCGTCATCGATGGCCTGACGAGTGCCAACCAGCCCGATCTCACGTTCAATGTCCGCCCCTGACGCTTGAGAGACGTTGATCTTGCATCCAGTGGTGTGCTGCATTTCCTTGATTGTTTCACCGCCTTTGAATCTATTAGTATCACGCAACTGTACGATCATCCGCAAACGCCATACCTTTCCCAATAATCATACCGACGGCTTCAGAAGGCACGTAGATCGACTCGGTAATCTTACCAGGTCCTGTACTGTAAGGATCCAGGTCACGTCTCGGAGCCGGCTGTCCAGGACCCTCTCCAACTTTGGTATCACTGTCAACAATCTCCATGATGAGCTCTTTGGCTCGGGCGGCAGCAGCAGGACTTCCAATAAGGTTCACGGGGCGTAGTCCGTTCACGCTCTTGCTTTCACCTACGATGTTGACATGGCAACCACTACGCTCTTGCAGGTCACGTATGGTTTCGCCGCCACGACCAATGATGAGGCCAACAGTACGATCAGGAACCATGATCTGGGAAGACTGTTCGCCTTCGCGTAGCGCGGGCAAACTCTTTGCTGCAGCCCCACCGCGTGCACCACGGCCAGTCTCACGAGCAGGATTACCGCCGTTCTCTTCAATTATGCGGTTGATTTCCCGTTTTGCAGTAATTCGCGCACTTGGATTGCCAGTGATACGGCACTGTCGCTGAGGGCCGCTATCTGGGCCATTGATGAACTGGATTCTGGTGCCGGATTCCTGTTCAATGCGACGCAAACTTTCACCCTGGCGTCCGATCACGAGACCTACCAAAGATGATTCAATCAGTATAATCTCTGAATTGTCACTAGGCGGAGGTGTACGATCACGTCCTCCCATTCCCCGCGGAGGAGAGAAAGTGTGACGACCACGAGGGGAGCGTGAACGATCCCTGCCATATCCAATACCGCCACGCCGCGGGTCCTCTCGTCGCTCATCTCGATATGGGTTATAGCTATCTCGCACGTTACTATGTCGTACAGGCGATCGCGAGCGGGAACGCGAGCGTCGATAGGAACGGCCGCTCAGCCGGGGATCTTCTGTGGCTGCTGAATATGTGTAAGCTAGTGGATTAGGTAAATCTGCTACCTACACACCTGAACGCGATCCGTTGTATGAAGAGAGTCCTTTATCAGCCGCAAATCCACGCGCCTTTGCCAGCGCATCTTGGATGTTCACGGTGCCGGTAGAAACTGGGCGGATGGCACCAATGTCAACGGTGCCCGTGCTAGTCGGCTGTGGCAGTGGAAATCCGGGAATAGCTGGTGGCGTAGGGTTCTGCAATGCGCCGGGAAGCCCTGCAGGTAACCCGGGTGGAGGGGGTTGATGAGCAGGCGCCGCCGGAGGTGGGGCCTGTGCTGGTGTTTGCGATTGTTGCTGCTGAGCTGCAATGGTGTTAGTCCTACGCGCTGCCCGAGGCAATGTGGGAACAGAGCATACCCAGTGCTTGCAGTATCGCAGAAATATCTGGTGTGGCAGCCATTGTGTTTGCGCGTCGTGTCGGACCGAGTAATGGCTGGAGGTAGAGTCGCGGATGCAGGTAGAGCCAGTTAACTGAGGCTCGATTGACGGAACTCGGCGCCTCAATACTCAAAGACACAGACGTCTGTGGAGGTTTTTTGTTGGTGGTTCGAGAGAAAGAAGAGTCAAGAGTCGAGCAGATCAAAGAGTTGCGCGCATATTCTTGGCGAAGAGGCTAGTGCGCTAGTGCGTTCCAGGGCTCGTCCAGTGATCACGTGTAAGGCATCCGTACCTATGTAGAGCACCCATGGACATTGTTCGTTATAAGGCTCTTGTAGGAATAACATGCATTCTCGACTGAGTCATAATACTTTCAATGACATAAAAATAGTTGTTTGCGTTGGGTCCATTGCGGCTCTTCCCATGAGACTGCCAACAATCACATATTTGTACGACGAATCTGGGCGCCAATTGGGCCTGGGTAATCGCTCTAATTGCTACAAGAGCAACAATGTGCACCAAATAGCTCATTACTGAATGGTACTAACGTGCACCTGCACTCCGTTGCTTATGTTATCTTTCTAGGATCTCGCGAACGCCAGGTGCATCTCACATGCCACGCCCACATATGCAAATCATTGCTCAACTGACAAAGGAAGAAGACACAATCGAGGCTATTGAAACATCCCATGGGTATTCAGAGAAGGTACGAGTCGCAGATAAGTAGCCGCTGTCACTAACACAAGCGGCGGGAAGCAGGTGAACGCCGAATCTCACTCCGTTTGGAGAGGAGAGCCTCGAACAAGTATAGACAGATAATGGTATAAGGGGCGCGCACTGCGCAGGGGAATGGAAGGTTACCAGAAGTCTTTTAAGGTCAGCGATTCATAAGCTGGGACACATTGTGCCACTTCTGTTTCAGGGCCTCATGCTCCTCGTTGATCTGTTACTGGTCAGAACGGCTGTCACTTGTACAGTTGGATTATACGTACGGTTGCCCATTGCATCTTCGTTGCCACCAGCTCCTTCTCCATCTCTGCCATTTGCTCTTCTAGTGCCCGATTCTCATTGTGTACGACAATGTTCTTCTGCATGACTGTTTCCATTTCCAGCTTCAACCGGGCCTCGACCTCCTCAGGCTGGTGGGCGACGATCTTTTGCAATTCCTCAACCTTTGTCCTGAGCGTCTCATTTTCATCGGCCAAGTTCTCGTTCTCTACTTTCGTCTTCACAAGCTCGGATGCTACTTGAACGTGCTCTGTGTCTGACTGTTCAGCGTGACGCTCAAGCTGCCGAACTTTCATCTCCAGTGAGGCCACCTTGTCTTTCAAACCCTGGAGTTCGGCTTCTCGTTCCTTCTCGATGCGTTGCTGCTCTTTCCACTCAGCCGTATATTGCTTCAGCATCTCAGGAGTAATCTTCACAGAAACAGCGTCCTTCACCAGCATATCTGCACGATAGACCTCCTTGTCAACGCCTCCTGCTTGTCCGAAGAATCCACTTTCAAGGATGGACGATGGCGAGGGTGCTTTATCAATGTAAACATCGAAGAGTCGTTCTTTCAAGAAGGTTGTCAGCGTCGCCATATCTTTCATGCCAAGCAGAGTCTGGGCATTCTTCTGCATCAAGACGATTCCGAATTTTAGTATCGCGGTTTCGAGGCCCTCGCTCAGGATTAAGTCATAGATGCGGAGAACAAGTTGGAGGGGGAAACGGTAAGCGAAAAGCGTCAGGAACCATTGTGTGGCATAGAGCTGTGGCTTGACATCCCGTCGATGAAGATGGCAATAAAGCGCAGGCTCCAGGTCTTCCAAGAGTCGTTCGAACTGGTAAAGATGCAGGTGCAGCCCTGCCATATCGTGCACAAAGAGATCTCGTAGACCGTACTTGTTCATGAGTGTTACAAACAAAGAAAAGGCTTCTTCTTCGGGCATCTAACTTTGGGTCAGCAGACTTCGACTTTATGTCCGATCGGCTTACATTAAACAGCAGCGGCATTGCGATGAAATTCATGCCTTGCGCATATCCCACAGCTTCGTCATACAAGGCATAAGCCTTGCAGACACCGAAAAGCCCATCTTGAAGCCCCGCCGCCATGAGGTATTTCGAGTAACTGGTCCTGGCGCCGAGATCTCGCTTTATGGTCTTCTCCAACTTATGAATGGCGGCATTCTTCTGCTTCTTTTCTGCAGCATATTTGGCCTGGAGTTTGATCATGTCCTCCGGGTTGTCGGTGGCGGTCAGAGGCGAGGGTAAGGGTGCATTCGAGCTGCCGGTAGTGGCTGGGGTAGAGCAATCCGAGTGGACAGAGGACGACGAGGAGGCCAGCGAATCCTTTTCCTTGCCATTCACCGCAGTTTGAACACTTGGCGTTTGAGGAGACTTGATCGCAGTACTCTCCTTGTCCGTACCGCGGGCAACCAGGTCCCTATATAGAATTTCAAGCTCTTCATTCTTACTCTGAGCCAAGACCTGCCAAATCACGCCACGGATCGCTTGAGGTATCCCATTGGCAATGGCCCGATTCAGTTCTTCTGCGCTTGTCCGAGCAACTGCCGCTGGACCCTCGTTCACAACTGATTGCCATAGATCCCAGTCAACTGGTTCTGCAGCATCACCAGGCGGGCCAGTGGCGAATCCAGCAGCCGTACCGGGGGCTAAGTTGGGGTTAACGACGGGTTGGTTCGCAAGGGAGCCACCGATGGGGCTAGTTGGACCAGATGCAACGCCTGGAGTCTGCTCTTCCTTCGCTTCGCCCATGGTGCCAGGAGAAGCCACGCCCATCGAAATGCTAGTTGTGCGTCCGATCAGACCCGCTAGCGCTCCTGCCTGGCCTGGCTCGGTCCCGGACTCTTCTAGAGAGATGCCGGCTTCTTCCCTCATGCGAAGAAACTTGAACCGATCGCGCAGACTAAACTGGCTAGACCGGTTGGTATGCACATCTGTCTCTAATCTGTTCTCAGGGTTGCTCGAAATTGTTGCCAGAGATGCGTTCGTACTTCGCCGTTCCGCAACGGTTGAGGGCGGCGAGTCTGGCTTCTTGCTTGAGGTATTCCGAGAAAGCCAAGAAAACGGACTTGTCAATTTCCTCGTTGGTGGCGGTGCCGGCGGGTTCGATGTGCGTTTGTCCTCTCGCGGTGGGAAGGGTGGCGGAGGAGGGAACTTAACGGGAGACATCCTGCCGGAGAGACCCTGCAACCCGCTCTCGGAGTGCTGTCGAGGTGGCAGTTTGGGTACGAGATCTGGAGATTTGGCGTCTTCTGTTTGATGTTAGTCACATACTTCCAATTGTTTTTGTGATGTAGCATTGGTCTCTACGCCAACCAGCTTGTAGCTCCATGTAGCTCTCCTTGCCAGTGAAGCTGCCGCGTTCACGGGGTTCCTACCTTCTTCTAGAGAGACATCATCCATATCCGACGTTACGGATATTCTATGCGCTGTCAGGAGGGGTGACTTGGTTGAAGACGTGTTCTCCGTTGCGACAGTCTCCGTCTCCTTCCCCTGGTCTGTATCTGCACCTGTGCTTGCCCCATTCGCACTTGCGGAGGCGGGTAGGTCTGGGACGGGCATATCTGGGACGGGCATATCCGAAGACGGCTCTTTAGCGGTGGATGACGACGAGGTCCGGTGACTGAGCAGCGACCGTGATCTGGAGCGCTCAGAATGTGAGGTAGGGCGGGGGTTGATGTCAGTCGCGGCATCTTCGAAGGACTCCTGTGTGGCAGGCACAATAAGTAAGTGCAACTTGTGATGCAGGAGCCTCTAGGCTCTCGAGAGGTGGGCACCTACTCCTTCTCGATCGGAGCTGAGATCGCTCTCGAGGCGGGCGGGCTCGTTCTCCATATTTGCTTTATTCTAGGGCGAGGATCAACGGTTACGCGCCAATGTTGAGGCGATGAATGACGGTCGCAATCGATGCGAGATGGGGTCGAGAGTTGGACAGTGAGAAGAAGAAATAAAAGGAGAGGGCGGCCGTCAGACGGAGCGGGCTCGAGCTCGATGGAGGGTGTGGAGCGTGCTGCGAGGAGGAGGTCGTGTGGAGACAGGGGACGGGGGAGGAAGTTATGGAGGGAGACGGATTGCGCGGGCATCAATGGGAGCAGCAGCGCGGAGTGGCCTCACGGCGCAGAAGCCTTGAGGAAGAGGTGGTTTGGTAAGGTAAGTTGTTCAGGGAGGGCAGGAGCATTCGCCGGGTGCGGTGCAATAATCCTGGAGTGCGATGCAGAAGGGTGTCCTTTTCGGGGAAGGCGGCGAACTGCTCAGACTGGCGTTTCACAAGCGACCTGAAACGCGGCCTACTTAATGAGTGGCTTGCCGCGGGAGAGGCTCATTCATCCGCAGGTCATCAGTTTCTCCATCATTTGCACCTTGACAGCCAGACAGTTCTTTCGTCCTGGATTCTTTGGGTTTTGGCCTTCGAGCGAGTCAAAATGCAGATGCAGCAAGTCACAAACAAGGGAGCCATCCGCGCACAGCCCACACCTGCTCACTGTTGTGTTGTGTCCGCCATGTCGCCAACCAATCAACCACCTGGGCAGCTTTCTCAAGCTGTTCTGTTCTCCTTTCGATGCGTCACGGGGTTTCCAGTCAGCCCTCTCTCATTGAGTGTTACAGTAGTATGTACACGGTATGTCCTAGCAACGGGCCAGCACGGGCATTCGACATATGGATAATATATACCTGGCTCTGGTCACAACCACAATTCTGGTCTGCGGTATTCACCACTCCCGGGGGCACCTGGATTCTCCTCTCAAGTTCCCCCGAAGCCCTGCATACCCGGCGCCTTGGCGCTATCTGTGCTCTCCGGCCCGTCTCTCCTTCCCCGAGATAGTTAACTAACGTGTTCGATCACTCATCCGCCAGGATCACTCATCCGCCAGCCCCACCAAAATCACGACGCGTCTTCTCACAACACTCGCGATGCCACCTCCACAACGTACTCAGCAAGCCCTAGACGAAGGTAGACTAGCTCTAGCTACTGCTGCCCTTCAAAGGGATAAAAAATTATGCGTTAATAGAGCCTCTTTTCTATATAATACTCCTCGTTCAACGCTTCGTGGTCGTCTTGCAGGTAGCCTACCACAAGCTACTGCTAACACACAAAAACGAAAGCTATACCCTACAGAGGAGCAGGCCCTAGTAGATTGGATCCTAGACCTCGACTGACATGGATTTCCACCCCCGATTATCGATGTACGACGAATGGCAGACAATCTACTCGCCGTACATGGCCAAGAAACCTCTCCTCAGCCAGTTGGTGAGAAATGGGTGTCCTGTTTTGTCAACCGCCAGGCAGAACTCCAGACAAAGTGGAATCGCAAGTTCCACTCATAGCGCATGAGATCTGAGGATCCAGTCACGATTCGTACATGGTTCGAGCTTGTAGAGGAGACACGTCAGTTGTACGGCATCCTCGACACAGATATCTACAACTTTGATGAGACTGGCTTTATGATGGGGATTGCTACAACATCAAAAGTCATCACGAGCTCTGAGGTAGTCAGCTGGGCAGTAACTATACAGCCGGGTGACCGTGAGTGGGTAACGATGATTGAGGGGATCAACGCCTCTGGCTGGTCTATCCTACCTTTCGTAATCCTGCTTGGAAAACTGCATCAAGCAAGCTGGTATCAAGGCCTCCCACTCCACTGGGTTATTGCCATTAGTGACAATGGCTGGATGACTGATGAGCTTGGCCTTGAGTGGGTAAAGCACTTCCACCAACATACAGAGTCTCGTACAGCAGGAGCCTACTGACTACTTATCCTTGATGGCCATAGCAGCCACGCTACACCTGAGTTTGACTAGTTCTGCAAAGAGAACAAGATTATCATGCTCTGTATGCTACCACATACATCGCACCTGCTATAGCCACTCGATGTTAGCTGCTTCTCACCTCTCAAACGTATATATGGAAATCAGGTAGCTGAGCTTGCACAGCAAGGCATCTTCCATATCGACAAACAAGACTTCCTACAGATATACCTGGGTATTAGAGAGATAGTTATCTCAGAGCAGAATATACTGGCTGGCTTTCGGATGACAGGGCTAGTCCCAGCTTGTTCAGAATATGTCTTATCGTCGTTAACAGTGGTCAGGATGCTATCTCCACCAGGGACACCGGCCAACACTGAGGTCATATGGACGGCAGAGACACCACATACTATTGCTCAGCTAGAGCAGCAGGCTCGACTTATCCAGGACCACCTTCATCGGCCTTCTCAGAGTCCTACTACTTAGGCTATCCGCCAGCTTGTCAAAGGTTGTCAACTTGCAATGAATTCAGTAACGATCCTTGCAGAGGAGAATAGGAAGCTTCGATAGGCTAGTCAGTGCTGGCAGCGTAAGGAGCAGCAGCGCCGATAGTATATAGCCTGTGGAGGAGCTCTATGGGCAGAGGAAGGTCAATTGCTTGCTATAGAGGCTGAAAGGGTGCTCCAGCAGGTAGAGCAGGCGGGGCAGCCAAGTAGGCCTCGAGCACCACCAACCTGCAGCAAGTGCCACGAGCAAGGCCACAAGAGGACTCAGTGTACTACTAGATAGCACGCATCTAATAGATCAAATTTCTATATATTTT